GCACCATCTAATGTTGAAACCGAACCACTTGGAACCAATAGTTCACAGGGCACCTGTACTTCTCTCCTGTGAGTTTGCTGTGGTAGCAGCACAGTTTAAAACAGCAGATTTAACCTATTGGGAAAGTCTTGTTCTATTCTTAGTTCCTAAGTTACTCAGTTAAGAGTTCCTAGTAGTAAATACTGAGGTGTTTTGTAATTATAATAATTTTCAAGCAATGTTAAAAATCCTTCCACATGTATCTTTCCACATTCACTTGTTTGTTTATTCAACTAATTTTTATTACAAGCCTGTTATGTGCCAGAAACTGAGATACTGAGGGAACAGAGGTGAATAACAACATTCTATTAACAGAGCAAGAAACTAAAAAACTAATCTTTCAAGAGTGACAGACTATGAAGAAAGGTAAAATGGGTCAGAGAATGCAGCAGGATGTTATTTAAACTGATTGTCAAGGCAGAGCTCCTAATGATATGACATCTGCACAGAGAGCACACTGACAGAAAGGAACAAGCACGGGGACATTGAAGCTGTATTGTTCCAAGCAGCAGGAATAATAAAGACCCTGAGGCAGTAATAAACTTGCAGTGCAGAGACAAGCAAGTCAAGAGTGGTTAAAGCAGAGAGGAATTGGGGACATAGCTCAGGGGCTAAGTGTTTGCCTAGCATACATGAGCTCTGGGTTCAATCCCCAGTATAATGCAGGACCTCATAGGTCAGAGTAAGGAGCCTGGATAATCTGGAGAGGATTCCATGCAGGGAAGAAATGTGATGAGGGAGAGGGTGGGACAAGGGGGCAGGGGGGAGAAATGACCCAAACAATGTATGCACATGTGAATAAATGATTAAAAAAAGAAAGAAAGAAAGAAATGTGACGAAAAAAATCTCTCTAGCTTGTTCTAGCTGTTCAGCAAACTGTAGGAAGACCAACTGAGGGCTAGTAGAGCAGCAGTAGTCCATGGGAAAGATGCTAGAGAAGTGGGATATAGTGGAACAGGGTGGAAGACATGGTCATAAATGGCTGGATTCCAGGCATACAGTCAGTCTGTCGGTAGGACAGACCAGCAGATGTGGAGATTGCAAGAAAAGAGATTGAGCCGGGTGCCAGTGGCTTACACTGTAATCCTAGCTACTCAGGAGGCAGAGATCGGGAGGACTGGAGTTTGAAGCCAGCCCAGGCAAATAGTTTGAGAGACCCTATCTCAAAAATACCCAACACACACACACACACACACAAAACAAAAAACAGGGCTGACAGAGCAGCTCAAGAGGAACAGTGTCTGCCTAGCAAGTGTGAGACCCTGAGTTCAAACCCTAGTACCATCAAAAAAAAGAAAAAAAAAAAAAACCAACCCAGAGAGCACAATCAAAGCTGGCTTTTAGGTTTCCGACCTGAGCAACTGGATAAATGGAGAAGCCCTTTACTGAACCAGGCAAGACAGGGAGAGGGGCATGTGTGAGGGGCATGGCAGCACACATCTGTGATTTCAAAATCTGGGAGGCAGATGCACAAAGATTGCCAGACCCTTCCTCAAAGAATCAGGGGTTAGGGATGTAGCTCAGCGCTTACCTAGCATGGAAAAGACCTTGGCTTTGATGCTCAGCAATAAAGAAAAAATATCTCACCTTGTCCACCACATTGCAAATATTGTTTCCCAACTTATTTTTTAGCTTTGTCCATGGAGCCTTTGATAAGTAGAGGTGACTTTTATTTTTAGGCAGTGAAATCTGTCTTGCTTTTCCTTATTTGTTCAATGCTTAGTTCATTTAGGCTCACCACAAAATTTACCTTTACTTAATTCATTACTATTAAAGGTTTCTGTCTCTGGTATCAGTCCCCAAAAAGTCTTCCGTATTTTTCGGTACTTTACATTACTTAGACTCAAATATCAACTCTATGTGAAATTTATTCCGTGGTATGGTATGAGATCAGAAGTCCTATCATAGCCTGACCCTCTCCCTAACAAAACTGACTCCCCATCCACAAACACAGCCATTTAACTCCATTCTCTCTGCTGTCTCCTGTTGACTCAAGGGAAGAAATACAAATCCCAAGTCACAAAAAAAGAACAAAACATAGAAAAAAATTTTTTAAAACACAAAAAAAACCCAAGTCACCAGAAGCTCTCCTCCAAAGACTACCCTCTCTCCTCTCTGGTCTCCCTACATCCATCATCCATCTTTAACATCCTTTTCCGCCTACTTTTTTTTTTTTTTTTTTTTGCGGTACTGAGGTTTGAACTCAGGACCTACACCTTGAGCCAGTCCACCAGCCCATTTTTGTGATTTTTTTTTTTTTTCGAGAGATAGGGTCTCATGAACTATTTGCTTGGGTTAGCTTCAACCTCGATCCTCCTTATCTCTGTCTCCTGAGTAGTCAGGCTTACAGAGTAGCTAGGATCCCATGTTTCTCCAACCTATTTGTTACACTATCCTCATCCACTAAACTCCTTTCTAATGGAGGCTTTTTTTCAGCCTCTAGGGTATACCTAGTTCATTTCTTCCTCAGGTCCTTTGCCTTAAAAGCTCTTGCTCTATAATGGCTTAGATGACTACCTGCTTTTTTGACCACTTGGGTAATGTCAATTTCAGACAGGCCTTCCCAGGCCCAGACACCATCTCATTTAAAGTACCCATAACCCTAGTGACTTTCCCTAGCATTATCTCCATTCACCTGACATTAACTGAATTACGCTGTTTCTTCATTTATTCTTATGTTTATTGTCTGACTTCTTTGCCTTTTCCTACAAAAAGTGCTTTAGAAGGCAAGGTCCTTGTTTTTTTTTTTTGTTCAGCTGTGTATCCCCACCACCTGTTGTGCTGTCACATTGCAGGTGCTCAATTAATATTTGTGGGGTAGGCTTCCTATCCAAACTTGTAAAGAACCCTTAAGATTCGACTCGGCTCGTTTAACGTTGATAATTCTAAAGTATGGAATCGGTGATCCTTCTCTCTGCCCAGTCAAGTCACTGCGGACACAGCGCTAAGCTTGCTTAAATCCTTGCAAAACTTAACTCTGGGAGGCTAGACCCCGCACAACCTACAACCATTTTCCTGCTGGTTACCACCAGTAGGCAACAAGAAGCGCCCAAGTTTTCCAAGTCACCTTCGGGCCCCGCCCGCTGGCGCGGGAAAGAGGAGCGGCAGGACAGCGCAGCTTACCAGTTCATCCGGACTCAGGACTCCGAACTGCACTCTCTTGATGGTGCGCAGCGGGCATGCGCTGTCCCCGGAGGGGGGGCCACCGCCGTGCATGGTGAGGCAGGCGCGCTGCGCAGGCGCAAACCTCGCTACAAAAAGCCTGCGCCACCTCCGCCTAGGTGCTCAGACCCAGTCGGGCCGGCCGGCGGGAAGGACCTCCCCGAGTTGGGAGGAAAAAGCCGAAAGAGAGAAAGGTGGGGGAGGGAAGGAGGCGGGGAAAACGAAAAGGAGCGAAAGGAACCCTTCTTCCGGAGGTTTTTCGGCTCTCGAGAAGGAAAAAAAGAGGGGAGAAAGGAGGAGGTTTGGGGGGGAAGGAAGAAGAAAAAGGGTAGCGAATAAGTAAGTAACCGGGCTCCTGAACGGCAGAGGTTACGGCAGTTTGTCTCTCCCCCTTCCGGGAGCCGCCTTCTTCTCCAACCGTCCCGGTCGCGCTCTCGGCGCTTCTGAGAAGCGAAGAGCCGAATGACGCCTTTTATAGATTCGGCCCCACATACCCCACCCCTTCCTTTCCCGCCCTCCTTTGCGCTACGGGGCTGCCTGCGCTGGCCTGCACGGAACGCGCGCTGGAGTTGTTGATCCACCCTCCCTGTCTCCCTTGTTGGGTGACCTTTTGAAATGACAAGAGGGGAATTTTTCTAATCCTGCCACGTCCCCCCTCACTAGTCCGCTCTTGCACTGTTGACGGTTTGAAGACTAGAGGATAAAATCAGACTTTTATTCTACTTTGGAGCACGGTTTCGTCTCCAGCAAAAGTCTCTCTATATCACCCCCTAGGTGGAAAATGGTCTGTCCTCCGAATTGGTAATGAGGGGGGGCCGGTCGGGTCCTCCCGACTGAGTTCACCGGCGGAGAGTTGGGCGGCCGTTGTTTATGAATATTCATTATCATGCTGAATATGCATAAGCAGCTCAAGATGGCGAATCCAGTCACCTGTCCGGAAGTAGCCGATATTTGTCGAACGTCCTCCAAGAATGAGTGGGCATCGTCGGGTTTGTACTGGAGCTTTGAAACGAGCCTTACTCCCCTGCTTAGCCGCTTCAAGAAGCCTCAGCTCGGAGACCTGCTCGGGAAGGAGGCCTGGCCACTGTCCGGGAGAGATCACGCGATTGGGACAATCGGGGGGGGGGGGGGGGGAACAGATTAGTCATGGGGCGGGATACGAAATCCTGGGAAATATGGGGTCAAGGAATCTGAATGTTAGGAAATCCTTCACTTTAAAGAATATTTCTGAAATAAGATGGAGGGGCAGGGATCCCAAGGGATCCGTGACTTCCACTCTCCCTCCAAAGGCAGAGATGACACTAACTGCACAGTCACATTTAGAGTGCACCTTGTTTGATGTCAGTGTCACGTCACCACCCCTTGGCGGGGGGAGGAAGGGGGGGCATACCAGGAGGAAAAGAAACCTTTGCCCAGGGAAAAAAACACTCCCCTCCCCCAGTGCAGCTGCTGCCTCTGCCTGCACACTCCAGCCGCAATGCTCTTCTCCCTGCTGCAGAGGGAAAATACCCCCCATGGCCCACAGCCAGCCTGCCTCAGCTCCTTGGATCTGAGACTTTACTCCTTAGTTATGCCCTGGTTTGCAGGACCCAGCCTAGACTCCATATCCCTTGGTTCCCATATTTGTTTCCGATCTTCCAGGTATCCCTCTCCACCAAATCCCTAGTCACCCTTGAATCTAAGAGGTGTCCCTCTCCCATATCAGTTCTTTCCAGGCACTTGTTCTCCCATGTTTGTATTCCAGTCTCTCTCCTATTTACCCTTGCCCCACCCCCAACCCCAGATTCTCAAGTTCCATCTCACTCCTCCACCTGTTGTTCCTTCTCACAACTGAGGTTCTGGGCAGTGATGATGGAAATGCTGCCCAACACGACCCCTGCCCCCACGATGTCAAAAGGTGTCACAGTCTCAGAGAGCACATAGTACTGCAGCATCAGGGCCACCACTACCTCAGAGTGCAAAACAGCGCACACCAGAGCAGGGTTTGCTTTGGTGACTGCATAGCTCACACACACAAAGGAGACCAAAGCAAGGATCCCCACTACCCCCACACAACTCCAACTCAAAGGGTCCTTGGGTAGCACAGGGGTCTGCAGCACAAAAAGTGCCGGCACACAGCCCATTAGCCCCACCAAACCAAATAGGAAGAGCACTGTCAGCAGGCAGGAGGGGAAGTGCAGGGTTCGGTAGACCTGCAGCCCCAGGAACAAGGCCAGTCCTCCCAGAAAAGCCACCACATAGCCTAGGATGGTGTAGAAATCCCCGGTCCCCTCCTGCAATGTTCCTAGTCCAGGTCCCACAATAATGATTAGTCCCAAGGTGCTACCCAACAGGCCACACCAGTCATAGCCACTGAGTCCTTGGCTCTCAAGGCAGAGTGCGAAGAGGGTAGAGCACAAGGTGGAAGAACCTTTACGAACGGTGGCAGCGTTCCCAGCAGGCACCATCTGAACTGCACTGTAGGCACATCCAATGCTGATGATGTTGAACATGGCATGAAGGAAGGCCCACCCCCGGACATCAGGAGGTCCCAGCAGTGGGTCACCACGCAGCTTAAGTAGCAGGGCAGTGGGGAGGTGGAAGAGGCATCGACAGATAAGCAGCTCCAGAGAGGGCAAGTGGGAAGCCTGGTAAGCCATACGGGTGAAGGGGCCCACGAAGCCAGCGGGCAGGCCCCCACCCAGCAAGGCCACAAGCAGGCCCTTGGTGGTATCGGAGGTCCGACAGCACTGGTGCGAGGGGAGGCTGGGTGGAGTAGAGGGCTGCGATGGCTGGGTGAAGTCAGGCATGTTGTAGGGGTGACTGCCAGCCTGTTAGGGAGAAAGGAGCTTGGACGTGAGGGCAGCCACAGCCTGGGGCAGGGTGAAACCTAGGCTGTGGTCTGGGACCCTGTAGAAGAGAAACTAGGAGCCAGAAAGGGCCTGAAAGATAGATGAGGTGGTACATTGTGGGCCTTGAACATCTAAAGCAGGAAGCAGAGAGTGAACAGTCCTGGAGCACTGAGCATCAATCATGTTTTTTTCTGAGTAGGCTGATCACAGGAGGAGAAAGAGACAACCCAAGGGTGGTCTGTTGGTTTTAGAAGGTGGGGACAGCTTCAGATGCTGTGTATTGTATCTGTGTAATTGTCACAGCTTCAGAGGTTCCCAGATATACCATTATGAAATGTATTTGTGGGTATCTCTAGGACCGCTAGGAAGTTTTAGGGAAGGAGGGGAAAGAGGGTAACCAGGAGCAGAGTGTTATCCTCTCTGCTATATCCCTGACCCCTATACTTACCATCTTTCCTTGGACTTCCTCTTATCCTCCTGACTCAGGGGCCCTGAGCCCCTCAGAGCTCCAGCCATTGTGACCTAGTTGGAGTGAGGGTGCGGTTCACTGGAACCTTCCTGGGGGGGGGCTATTTTCTCATTTTTTCCAACTCATCTTGTTTTATATCTTTGTCTCCATGACTCCAAAGTTTGGTTCTTTTTTTCTCTCTCTCTCTCTTTATGACTAACTCTGTGATGAGAGAAGAGTTCGTTGGCTTTAAGTTAGTTTACATCTTGCCTTGTTTCTCAAAGGTTTTAAGGAGAGGGCTGGCTCCTCTGTCTCCTGAGTTTTTAATTTTCCACCACCAGGGAGGAGTCCCTGGGATTGTCCCTCTGGAGTTTCCAGAATGTTTCTTTGGAGTGTGCTTCCACCTGCTATTTTGCTGGTGCTGTCCCAGGAGGACCACACCAAGGCCTCTGCATTTGTGCACAAGTACATAGATGTGGATATTTCCATCCTTGGAGGCAAAGTACAAGCTGAGTGTTTATCCACACGGGTGATCACTGATGTATGCTCTGGTCTGTAGAGTTAGGGTATTCCGTGCCCGTAGGTCTTCCTTGTCCCCGCACATTCCTGGGGTGGGGGGGCGGTGTGCACGCGTGCCTGGGGAGCCCTATGAGTGTGCTGACTATAAATTTGTAGGTCCCACGGGGCCCGACTGTAAGTCTGCCATGTTGTATGTCTGCCGCCTGGGAGAGAGACAGACAGAGAACGAGAGAGAGAGACAGAAAGAGAGAGAGACAGAAACAGAGAGTGTGTGTGTGTGCGCGCTATTGAGCGATATGCACTGCTGAGTGAAGGGCGTGCAGGGGGAAGGGCGGAGGAGTCCCTACCCACGGAGTGGGTGGTCGTGAGACCCTACGGGGGCACTGCAACCCGGCCCGCCCCCGCCCGGTGGCTTTGCGCCCCGTGGTTCCTTGTATGCGATCAGCCCGACCAAGGCCACGGACGCTGGAACGTAGTGCCGGTGTCAGCTGCGCTGCGCCGGCCTTCTCTCGGCGGCGGCGGCGCTGGGGAGGGGGGGGGACTGTTTCCGGGGGTGGGGGTGGGGGTAGGACCGGGGCGGGGGGAGCCGATGATGTCAGCGGCGGCGGCGGCAGCGGGGCCGGGCCGGGGCCGGGCGCTGGGGGGGCCGGGGCCGGAGCCGGAGCCGGAGCTGGAGGCGGGCGAAATCGGAGCAGCCGGGGGCGGCCACGGTGATGAGCCGGGCCTGGTGGACTGGGCGCCATCGCAGTCAGGTGGGCCCCGGGGCGAACCGGGCAGGGCCAGGGCGGACCGGAGCCGACTGCCGGGCCCCCTCCCCGCTGCCCGGCGCCGCGGGGGACCGGGCCGCGCCCCAAGCCGCGACCTCTCCCTTTTGGGGTTGACATGGGGGCACGGGGGTCGGGGGCTGAGTAGGCCCCGCCTCCAGGCGCGCACGGCGCTGGGGGGCGACCAAGGGGGAGGCCTTGGTATGGCGTCCGAGCGAGTGGCGACTGGGGGACTCGGTCGCTTGGGGGGGCCGTCAAAGGGGCAGCTCTCACTCCTCCTTTGAAGGGTTAATTCTGCAGCCTAATGTCCCCCTCCCCTGTGGGGCAGGCTTGGGGTGGGGTGGGGCGGGTGTGAACCCGGGCTAGCGCTGCAAGCTGTTGGGAGGGTGATGGCGTAGGAGCCAGGGAGAGAGGGGGAGGGGTGGGCCGCTGGGCGTCCCAGAGTTGGGGTGTGCGGGGTGCGCCATGAGAGCAGGGGTCCAAGAACCGCCGGGCAGAGCGCAGGGTTGTGGCTGTGAGTCTTGGAGATTGTGTCTCCTAACATGGTGTTGGGGCAGGTAAACCGCTCCTGGGCACCACCGTTTGCTCTTTGGCACTTAAGTCCGGGTAAGGCCCTTACTGGGCCATAAAGATAGAAAGCCAAGAGGGGCGTTCAGTGTTGTGGGGCCGAATTACAAGATGTGGCCCTGTGCCTTTGATGACAGATGGGTATTCTAAGCAGGGCACAATACCCTGACAGCAGAGTTTGTTCAATGTGGGGTTGTATATATGTTTTCTACCAGCATGTGTTTTCTTGCTCTTGTGTTGCGCATGTGAACTGTTTAGGAGCTGTTGTTTTCTGCGTAGCTAGCGTGGTGTATGTGTTGTGAAGGGCACCAGAATGCAGGGTGTATGTGCTCATTTGGAAGTGGCAGTTGTGGACCTTTCAGTCAGAAGGGATGTCTGGGTCCCATTTCTGTAATTCTGCTGAGGTGTGGTCCAGCTGTGGCTGAGGACAGGCTGGTGGATGGGTTTGTGTGTCTGTGATGAGTGAGTTGCACAGGGGCTGCATTTGTGGAACTCAGATCCCACTGATCATGAGAGTGAAAAACCCCAAGGTGTGCCTCTGGTGCCTGTGGGTCAGCTGGCACTGGTTGAGGAGCTCAGGGTGGGATGTGCAAGTTGTGTTTATGGGATAATGGGCAGCCAAGCAAGGGGAAGGTTGTGTGTTTGCAACGTTCTCCACGGGATTCTTTTGTGACGTCGTTCATGGGGGCCTGTCTGGGCTGTCCTTCAGGCTGGTAGGCAAGCTGGTCAGAAAACACTTGTGGGGAAGGGAGGTGGCATGACAAGGGCAATATGGGCCTCAAACCAAGGAGGCCAGCCATAAGCTGTGTGTGCGTTGCCTGCCTTCTGTGTGCTGAAGTGGTGGTGTGGGGCTGCCCAGGGGATGTCATGGGAAGGTGAGGAGATAAATATGGAGCAGAGCAAGGACAGCAGACAGGAGGCATGGGTGCTGTCGGGATGGCGCAGCTCTTTTGCAGGGTCTGTGTGCTTGCCCCTCACCCAGTGTGTCAGGGTCACAGGGAGGAGAGTCTTGGTGCCTGCAAGGGAAGTGAGTTTAGACAGAATGGCTCCTTGGCCATGTTTATGTAAAGGTCGGGTGTGACTTTTGTCACTAAATTGAAAAAAAGAAATGTGAAGTTTTCAGCCTCCTACTTCCGCATGCCCTCTCCTCTCTTTGTCCCCTTGAGGGATCTCTGATGCACACTGGGCCCCACTCCCGTGACTGGAAGGGCCTCAGACAGAATTTGCTCAGTAGGCAGATTCCTCAGAACAGGTTTTCCTCACCTTTGGGGCCTGGGCCCTTCTGTGGGGGAGGGGGTGTGCACATGCATGCTCACTCCAATTGCTCACAAAATCATGTACTACGTGGCCCATGGAAGGGTGTACATGTTCACTGTGCCTGTGGGAGGGGTACTATGACTGGATCCTCTGTGGCAGGAGGGAGCTGGCTGTGTGAGACCTGCACAGCAGGTGCAACACTGGAGCCCTACACTGGAAATGAAGAGTTCTGGTGGCTGTGCAACTTGCTCTCTTTTTCTCAGTGCACCTCAGTTCCACATCTGTAAAATGGGGCTAACTGTCCTACTTACCTTCCAGCAGCACTCGGGAAACAGATCTGAGGCATAGTGACAGTTGGGGACTGTGCCTGTGCCAGCCTCTATCAGCCCTCTGCCAGCACTGAGAATCCCCTCTGACTTTGATAAGAACAATAGCTATAAACACTGGGTTTGCACTGGCTGCATACCAGGCACCATTCCCAGTGCTTTTGGGTACCATCATGCATCTAGACCTCATAGCAGGTAATTCAGATTACCTTGTGTTTTCAGGTAAGCCAACTGAAGCCCAGAGAAGTTAAGTAATTTGCCCAGAGTCACTTAGCTAGTAAGAGGTAAAGCTCTATTTGAACCCAAGCAGTGAGGTTCCAGATCCTGTGCTCTTGACTGCTATACTCTGCTGCCTTTCTGGATCTTGCTGTGCATCTCCCATACCACTTTCTGCAGAACTCAGCATCTCACCAATCAGTTTCCAAAGATCAGTACGCAAAGACGGAGTCCCAGCCCAGGCTGGGAGAACCTAAGCCTCTGCTGCTATGTAATGTGGGGCACAAAATGTTGATGACTTAGAGGAAGGAGAGATTGGTTGTCCTTGTTCTGTGGGTCAGGGAAGGCCAAGGAGGATGTGGCCTTGAGTTAGAGCTTAACATTTTGTAGGGGTGTTGAGAAAAGGTAAGGGAAAGGGTGTTGCCTGCAAAAGAGCCCCCAGAGGCAAAGGCATGGAGGTGAAATATACAGAAGTTGGAAAGTACATTGGGTGTTTGAAGAGAGAATAACACAGAGAAGCCTAGAACTCCGCCAGAGCCCTAAGTGCCTGGTGGAGAAATCTGAACTTTATTCTGGAGTCAGTGAGGACCTTGGGAAACTTTGAGCCCAGGAGTGATGGCTAGGGATCACCAGTTAAGTATGCTGACCCTTGAAGAGACAAGATAAGCCTAGAAGCAAGGGAACAGCTGAGAGCCCATGGCCTCGGACCATGTCAGTGTTAACAAGGACTTGAGCTAGCTTGAGGGCCAGAAGAATGTTGGGAGGGATTCCTGAGCCATTCCCAAGCTTGGCCCACAGTTTCAGCCAGACTTGGTGACTGCTGGATTTGAGAGTGAGGGAAAGGGTGGAGTTAGACATGACACATTTAGCACTTAGCACGTGAGACTTGGTGTGGTGATTTATGTAACCAGCTGCCTGGCCCATAGGCCCTTCAGGGAAGGATCCAGCAGTATGGCAGAGGGACAGAATCAGCATCTGTGGTCAGCCAGGCCTGAATTCAAGTCTTGACTCTGCTGTGTGACCTTGAGCAAGGTACATCCCTCCCTGAACCTCAGTTTCCTTTTCAGTAAAATTGGGAGAATATAAATACCTATTGTAAGCACCTATTTTTGGATATGATAAAATGAGACAAAGCATGTAAAAGCTTTTTTGTGAGTACCCAAAAAATCATCAAGTTTTAATCATCCTCCCCAGCTCCTGGCTGACTTGGATTAGCACTGAGTAGACAGGCTATAAACAGACTCCTTTTTTTTTTTGATATAGGGTCTGGTTGTATAGCCCAGGCTGGCCTCAAACTTGTGATCCTCCTGCCTAAGCCTCCCAAATTCTGAGGTTACAGACATACATCACCATACCTGGCTTCCAGGCAAACTCTTTCATTTACCAGAGTTACTATTATTATTATTATTTTGATGCTGGGTTGAAATCCAGGCCTCCTACATGCTAGGCAAGGACTCTACCACTGAGGTACACACCAGCCCCTAGATTTTTTTTTTTCTTTTTTACCTCCCATTGTGTACTAGGCACTATTCTAAGGAGTAGAGATGCTTCAGTAAACAAGCAGGCAAAAATTTCTACCCCTGTCCTCCTGGGAGTCTACATTCTAGACATAAATGAGCAATGTGTCTTACTAAGTGACAAGGAGAAAAAGTAGGATGGGAAAGATGAAATTTTGGGAGGTGGTCAGGGAAGGCCCCTAGGCAAGGTGACTTTTGAATCAAGGCTTAAAAGAGGTATGTAGAGGAAGGAACATTCCAGGTGGAGGGAACAGCATGAGGTAGAGTATATCTGGTGAATGTGCTCAAATCCCACCTCAGTGGAACCTCTGAAGTCACACAGGTAGGCAAGAGAAGAGAAGCTGTAAGAACAAATAAACTGAAAACCACAGTCATCAAACTTACCTTGAAGGCCAAATTCTGCCTATTTTCCTTCACCACTTCCCTCACCATTTTCCAGGGCTGAATTCCAAGACTCGGTATTGCTCGGTACCCAGAGAAGATTGGTTCTAGGACATCCCAAAGATACTGAAATCCTTGGATGTTCAAGTCCCTTATATAAAATGGCACAGTATTTGCATCTAACCTATACATATCCTCCATATACTTTAAATTATCTCTACTTATAATAATAATATAGGTGGGGTTAGTGGAGTAGCTCAAGTGGTAAGAGCACCTGCCTACCAAGCATGAGGGCACTGAGTTCAAACCCCAGTGCCACCAAAAAAAAAAAAAAAAAGCTAAAATAATGATATAATTTGCCATGTAAATAGTTGTTATACAGTAGTGTTTAGGAAATAATAACAAGGAAATAAAGTCTTTACATGTTCAGTAAAGCAGCAATTTTTTCCCAAATATTTTTTGTCTTCAGTTGGTTGAATCTACCAGTTGTTAGCTCATTTCATCTTTACAGCAACCCTACAAAGTGGGAACTGTTAATCATCCCCACCTTATAGACAAAGAAACTTAAATACCAAGAGGCAAAGTAACTTTTTCCAAGGTCAAGTAGCTAGTGTCTTCTTCACTTCCCATAAGCCCTTGTTGGGGAGTTGAACTCAGGAGAGCTGGGTCCAAACCCCAGGTGCAACAAGAACAGGGACAAATCACCCCACCACTACGTTCCCTTGACCTGAAAATAAGTGTAGAGTGAACACTCACTGTGATCGTTTGAGTGTTGAAACGAGATGATGCTAATAAAATACTTAACACTATACTTTAGTCATAAGTATTTCATAAAGACCGTGATGATGATGATGATTTTGGGTGACCTGTAAGGGTCAGTTCAGCTTTGGGTCTATGTGGGTGCAAGTCCAAGTATGGTTGTAGTCCTCACACATGTGGTTGTGCAGGCAGGCAGGTCTGGCCTTGGTAAATGGGGACTGGCATTGAACCTTGGCTTTGCTCACCTGCACAGGGCTGCTACCTCCCAGAGGAAAGGGCCTTCTAATTTTCACAAAGGTGCCAGGTGGGCTAGTGGCACTTCAGTGGGGGCTATAAACATGTTTTTCATAATGACATAGTATGGTAATTAGGAACACAGGCTTTGGAGCCAAACTGTGGTCAGATCCCAGCCTAGCTACTAAGTGGTCATACATCCTTGGGCAAGGTACCTAGCATGTTGGGGCTTCATCTTTTTTTTTTTTTTTTAAATGGGACTGGGGTTTGAACTCAGGGCTTTCTAATTGCAAAGCAGGCACTCTATTGCTTGAACTATGCCTACAGTCCATTTTGCTCTGTTTTTGTTTTGTTTTGTTTGTGATGGGGTCTCAAGAACTATTTGCCATAGCTAGCTTTGAACCTCAGTCCTCCCCACCTCAGTCTCCCAAGTAGCTAAGGATTTACAGGCGTGAACCACTTGCACCCCACCTCAGTCATCTTAATGTGGGGGAGCTAACTGCTATCTTTTAGGTTAGTGATGAGAAAAAAATGAAGTAATGCAAATAAAATGCTAGCTCTCGGTGTTCCAGTGGGCCTGGGGTTATCATGGAAAGGAACGGGAGGTCTGAACATAAATAGCCCATGGTTGGACTGGGCCTCTTCCCCCAGACTCCTAGCCTAGTCACAGTCCAGCAAGGAAATACTTGACCAATTTCTCGAGCTGTGTTTGGCAGTTAGTGTTAAAACTTTTTGACTATCTGGGCTGGAGGTGTGGCTCAAGAGGTAGAGTACCTGCCGAGCAAGCATGAAGCCCTGAGTTCAAACCCCAGTATGGACACATAAAAAAAAATTTTTTTTGACTATCATCCTATTTACCACCTTCTTTTTTTCCCCTCAAGGAGCAGTGTCAGGGCCATCTTTTAGGGAACATGAAGTGGCATGTTATGGGGAGATAATTTAGTACAGATACTAAATAACAGATAATATAGGTAATAAAGGAACATTTTTGGATTTGGATGAGAAACCCCTTATGCAGAACATTTCTTTTTTGTTATTTTATCATCTTTATTTATTTTGCAGTACTGGGGTTTGAACTCAGGGCCTACACCTTGAGCCACTTCACCAGCCCTTTTTTTTGTGATGGGTTTTTTTGAGATAGGGTCTCAAGAACTATTTGCCTGATAGTTCGAATTGCAATCCTGATCTCTGCCTCCTGGGTAGCTAGGATTACAGGCGTGAGCCACCGGCGCCCAGCTATAATTCAATTTTTGAGACACATTTCTCTCTCTTTTTTTTTTGGCAGTACTAGAGTTCTAATTCAGAGCTTCACACTTGCTAGGCAGGCACTCTACCACTTGAGTCATCCCATAGCACTATACAGAACATTTCTGAGGATATGTGAGACCCAGGGCTTTTGGGAGGATGCCCCCACCAAAAGACCCACACTCTCCGGTCAGCAGGCCCCATTTTTATTGGCAGGTGTGTGATTTTTGGATAAGGCATTTGTATGGCTCTGAAAAATGGGAACCCAAAGACCCTGTGATGCCCACAGGGGAAACAGTTTTGCAGAGCTGTCTGGCTGGCAACTGCCATAGCTCCTGTTGTCTGCCATTCGTTTTGGATGAACCTCCCAGCAAGAAGTGAAGTACGGGTTCCATTTCCCTGCTTTTAAAGCCAAAATCTGTGGACCTAGAGGTCTCAGAAGAAGAGTGAGACACAAGTTTCTTCATTCCTGGTCTGCTGATGTTTCCAGTGCCTGCATGAGGCTAGAGCAAGCAGACTCATAGTGTTAGTGAGTGGTCTTCAGTGGTTACCTGGCATAAGAACCAGGAACCCTCTTTTAAGATTTACTGGGCTGGGAATTTGGGAAGAGGCCCTCTCCTAATTTGAATAGCTAGCAGTTTGGGTCAATAAAAAGCTCAATTTTGATATGTAAATAAGCCCATTGTGATAAAAGACAACATGCAAATCTTTGATTTCCTTTGAGCTCCAAAACTGAGCCAAAGGCATTTAAGAGAGATCTGTCAGGCTTTTCTGAACTGTGCTGCTGCGTTGTTTGGAGCTGAATTGGGAATATGCAAATTATCTTGTTGCTGTACTTCTCTGGGTCCCACAGAACAAGGCTCTGCAATAATCTGTGTGACCTCTGAGGTCTGATTGGATGCAGCCAAACAAATAACCTGACAGAGGCTTCTAGACGCGATCAGGATCTGCAGTGTAGCTCTAATGTCCTCTCTGACCCTAACTGCTGCACCACTGTCCACTGCCTGGGGTCATTTTTTTCCCATTTCCATCCTGAAGGACCCGTTCCTGTCTCTTCCTCTCGGTTCCCTTGACATGGTTTCTGTTTCTCCACAGAAGGAGGAGGCTGGGCAGAAGGGACTCGCTGAGCCACCCCCGACTCCACTTCATGTTGGCTGTGTTCTCAGGTGAGAGGGTGCTGAGAGGACTGCAGCTATGAAAAAAATCACACCTAAGGCAGCAAGCTAGCAAGGGCAGCCATTTTGTCCAGGCTGGTAGTGCTGGAAAATGGTTACAGGAAATCTCCTTCCAAGGAGAGAGAGAGTTGCATTGCTTACCTCTCTAGACTGTGACCCTGAAGGTCATAACCCCTTGGCCTTCACCATGACCTGAGGAATCCCTGGTCTTTTCCAGCCCACTAGACTTGGGCTTAATCTCTGTCTTCTGTGACCTGAAATGACTGTCTTTATACCAAACTCTCTCTCTCTCTCTCTCTCTCTCTCTCTCTCTCTCTCTCTCTCTCTCTCTCGGGATCTGTTTGCAAAGCAGGCGCTGTACCGCTTGAGCACTAGAAATGGGGTTTTTCGAACTATTTGCCTGGACTGGCCCGGAACCTCCTGATCTCAGCTTTCCAAGTAGCTAGGTTTGTAGGCATGAGCCACAGGTGCCCGGCTTACACCAGATTCTGACCAGCAGCCTCTGGCCCCCTCACAGTTCATCTCCCTGGTCTCAGGCCCCTGACCTCTGCCTAGCCTCTGAGACTCCCCCTGGCCTCTTCTCCCCACATCTAGGCTGGCGCCATGCCACCTCCTGCAGAGGTGACGGATCCGTCCCATGCCCCAGCTGTCCTGCGTCAGCTCAATGAGCAGCGGCTCCGAGGCCTCTTCTGTGACGTCACCCTTATAGCTGGAGACACCAAGTTCCCTGCTCACCGCAGCGTCCTGGCTGCCTCTAGTCCTTTCTTCAGAGAGGCCCTGCTAGCTTCAGCCCCACTGCCCCTCCCACCAGTTACTGGGGGCTCAGCTCCCAATCCTGCAACCACCACAGCTGCCTCCTCTTCCTCTTCCTCTTCCTCCTCCTCCTCCTCCTCCTCATCCTCCTCCTCCCCTTCTTCCTCCTCCTCCTCCTCCTCCTCCTCGTCTCCCCCTCCAGCCTCTCCCCCTGCTTTATCCCCACCCCGGGTCCTGGAGCTGCCAGGGGTCCCAGCAGCTGCCTTCTCTGATGTCCTCAACTTCATCTATAGTGCCCGGCTTGCACTCCCTGGTGGTGGAGGTGATGGGGCAGCTGTAGCAGAGATTGGAGCTCTGGGACGGCGGCTGGGCATCTCCCGCCTGCAGGGCCTAGGGGAGGAAGGTGATGCCTGGGTACCTCCTGCCCCAGCTCCTGTGGCCACCTCCCAGCCTGAAGAAGACAGCTTTGGGCCTGCGCCGAGGCCAGATGAAGAGTGGGAGGGTGACAAGGCTGGGCCCCAAGCCTCTGACTCACAGCCCCCCCTGTCCCGACGGCCCCTCCCCTGCCCTCGATGTGGAAAGAGCTTCATCCATCCCAAGCGGCTGCAGACCCATGAGGCCCAGTGTCGGCGGGGGGCCAGTACTCGGGGATCTACAGGACTGGGAGCCCAGGGCCCTGGTCCTGGTGGTCCTGCAGGAGTGGATGCCTCAGCCCTGCCCCCACCAGTGGGCTTCCGAGGTGGCCCTGAGCACTTGGTGAAGGTGGTGGGCGGCCATGTGCTGTATGTATGTGCTGCCTGTGAGCGTTCCTACGTGACCCTGTCCAGCCTGAAGCGGCACAGCAATGTACACTCATGGCGGAGGAAGTACCCCTGTCGCTACTGTGAGAAGGTGTTTGCGCTGGCTGAGTACCGCACCAAGCATGAGGTGTGGCACACTGGGGAGCGCAGGTGAGTGGCCTGGGCCTGGGGAGTGGAAGGGAGTGGGGAGGGGCCAAAAGTCAGCACTCAGAGGCCACTAGGACAAGAGAGGTAATGGGCAAAGCCTGGGACCTAGAAAGTTGTCCATCCACATTGGAGTCTCCTTTCATCCTGGTGTCTGTTCCCTGCCACTCACCCACCTGCCTCAGCATCTTGCCTGCCATTACCTGGCTTGGTGTGATGGGGAAAAGCAGGAAAAATTTGCCCACATAGTAGAGGGCTATGGGAATATTTACTCAGAATAGTCACTGGTATTTCCATAGTGTATCCCTGTTCGTAAGTCATTTTTCCATTTTGTCTTTTGTGCTTCAAAAGAAAGCTTTGTGAGTTAGGATGTATGATTATTCCCAATTCACAGATGAAACATCTGAGGCTGAACGTCTGGCTTCTGGTGGTGGGGGGAGGGCACTGAGCTAGGACTGGAGCCCCACTGGAGGCTGGCAGGGTGAGGCAAGCAGCATGAAGGGAGAGTGAACAGATGGCTGCAGAGGACATGGGAAGATGAGTCCATGGTTTCAGGGCCCCAGACTCAAGTAGCTCTGTTCCTGCCCTATTCCCTACTGTCCTGGCCCAGGTATCAGTGCATCTTCTGCTGGGAAACCTTTGTCACCTATTATAACCTGAAGACCCACCAGCGAGCCTTCCATGGCATTAGCCCTGGCCTCCTAGCCAGTGAGAAGACACCCAATGGAGGCTACAAGCCCAAGCTTAATACCCTCAAGCTATACCGCCTGCTCCCTATGCGGGCAGCCAAGAGGCCCTACAAGACATACAGCCAGGGAGCCGTCGAAGCCCCTCTTTCTCCAAGCCTCCACACATCGGCCCCTGCGGCAGTGGCAGCCAGCCCCCCACCCAGGCCCCCACCTGCTCCAGAACCTGGCCCACCCCCCTCTGTCATCACCTTTGCTCACCCAGCTCCCTCTGTCATTGTCCATGGGAGCAGTAGCAGTGGTGGAGCGGGGAGTGGGCCAGCCAGCACAGGAGGGTCCCAAGCAGCCTCCGTCATCACTTATACTGCTCCCCCGAGACCCCCCAAGAAACGGGAGTACCCACCTCCTCCCCCTGAACCTGCAGCAACACCCACCACCCCAGCTTCTACCACCATCAGCCCAGCCACAGCCGCAGGGCCAGCCACGGCCACAGAGGAGGCCAAGGGCCGGAATCCGAGGGCAGGGAGGACTCTGACTTATACTGCCAAGCCTGTGGGTGGAATTGGCGGGGGTGCGGGTCCCCCCACAGGGACAAGCCGGGGCTCTTCTCAGCTACAGGCTCCACCTCCACTGTGTCAGATCACTGTGCGAATTGGGGAGGAGGCCATCGTCAAGCGCCGCATCTCAGAAACCGACTTGCGTCCTGGGGAACTGAGTGGAGAGGAGGTGGAGGAGAGTGAGGAGGAAGAAGAAGAGGAGGAGGAAGAGGAGGAGGAAGAGGAAGAAGAGGAGGAATCAAAGGCTGGTGGGGAGGATCAGCTCTGGAGACCCTACTACTCCTACAAACCTAAGCGCAAAGCTGGAGCTACCAGCGGGGGTAGTAGTGGGGGCAATGGGATGCCCCGAGGTCGACGGCCACCACGCTGGAGGCAGAAGCTGGAACGGAGGAGCTGGGAGGAGACTCCAGCAGTGGAAGGCCCAGCAGGGCGTGCACGTGGTGAGCGGAGGCACCGCTGTGGGGACTGTGCCCAGGCTTTTGCCACCCTGAGGAAGCTTCGAAAACACCAGGAGGCTCACAGTGGGGGCTCCCACAGCTCCCGGGCTGGAAGGAGGCCTTCTACCCGCTTCACCTGTCCCCACTGTGCAAAGGTGTGCAAGACGGCAGCTGCCCTGAGCCGACATGGGCAGAGGCATGCTGCAGAGCGGCCTGGGGGCACCCCCACACCTGTCATTGCCTATTCCAAGGGCAGTGCTGGCACCAGGCCTGGGGATGTGAAGGAGGAGGCCCCCCAAGAGATGCAAGTGTCCTCATCCAGTGGGGAGGCAGGTGGTGGGAGCACTGCTGCTGAGGAGGCTTCAGAGACTGCCTCACTCCAGGACCCTGTCATCTCAGGGGGTGAGGAGCCCCCAGTAGCAGGGGGGGCCAGCTATGTGTACCCACCTGTGCAGGAATTTCCACTGGCCCTGATAGGGAGTGGCCGGGAACCTGGCGGTGGCAGAGGAAAACCTGGGAGTGAGGGGCCAGCGGGGGCTTCAGAAGGGGACAGGATGGAGGGGATGGGGGCTGCCAAAGTCACCTTCTACCCTGAGCCCTATCCACTTGTCTATGGTCCCCAGCTCCTTGCTGCCTACCCTTACAACTTCAGCAACTTGGCTGCTCTCCCAGTTGCTCTCAACATGGTCCTACCTGATGAGAAGGGCGGGGGAACCCTTCCTTTCCTACCAGGGGTCTTCAGCTACGCAGTGAATCCTCAAGCAGCACCTCCTACTCCTCCAACTCCACCTCCCCCAACTCTTCCTCCACCAGTTCCTCCTAAGGGAGAAGGGGAAAGGGTAGAGGTTGAGAGAACCCAGAAGGGAGATGTAGGGTGAGTTTTAAAGCTAGACCCCCATTTCACCAGATGCCACCCTTCCTGAACCCCCCACCACTACCAGCTCCCTGGCCTCCCTGCCCCTTGGGAGCCCCAACACACTCTTGTGCAGGGACTTGGGGGACCCTGGAGCTCAGGGGTTGGGCTGCTTTGTGTAAGATTGTAGTTTTCCCATCTCCTGGGAAGGGATCTTTGGTGGTTCCCCTCTCAATCTTCCTCCAGGGAATGGCCCCCATGAGGGGCAGGGCCAGCTCCCATCCCTTCTCCAGCCCTTGGGGCAACTGAGCAATATACTTATTTGAATCTCATGGCCCCCACCAGCTCTGAATGTCTACCCTGCTCCCCTGATTTGTAAACCTATGGGGAAACCATCTCTCACCTCATGATCCCTGCTCACTCTGAAGCTTTCTCTAAGCCCTTCCCCAGATGCTTCCTAGCACATTCCATTCTTTGTGGCCCAGGGCCTGGACCAGACCATTGTGATACCCAGCACACCTGCCAGGGAGCATGGCTTTGGATTCCGTTCTTCCCAAGGGTGGGTTTCTCTGTCCTTGTTTCCTTCACATCAAGATGCCATGCCTTCCTTGGCTTCCATGCCTTTGGATCTTCCATATTTCTTCCTCTACTCCTAGATTTTGGAGATGGCCTTGCCCAATCCAGGTTAAAAAAGAGGTTTGGGAGGGAGGGCAACCCCTGTGTTCCACAGCTAAGCACTTTTCCAGTCTAGGGCAGGGAAATCTTGGCCCTTCCTTGACTCCCAAATCCAGTGACACCCCCCCCCCATCCTTCCAAGGCAAAAGAGGTGAATAGATCACACCTTTTCCTGACTTTATATGTGGTGTCTTCTGGGCTAAACCACATTTGGGAGCCAGGAGGGAAGAGCTCCATTTGGGATGGAAAAGAGAATCTACTTTCTCCCTGCTTCCCTCCCCCTCCATGGTTTCTCCCAAACTAGACCAAATAGCCAGAAAAAATATAGGGGTTGGATAGGTGGGTAAGCCCAAGATTTGCACATGACCTTCCATCCTTACCTTTACCTCCACCTTCCCCAATGTCATTCTCACCAATCACTCCAGATGGTTTTGGAGGGAACCGTCCTACTTTACTGGTGGGCTTTGGGGTATCCCCACCAACTTGCCCTCCAAAATAGCACCTTATACCCCATCTTTGACTCAGTTCCCCACACCCAAAGATCCCAGCCAAGGGATGGGGCACAGGGACCTTCAATAGTCCCTAATCCCTAATTTGCACTAGTTAACCCTGGTCAGGGGTCCCTATATTTCCTTCCAGTGGGGAAGATGAAGAAATGTCTGCTCCTAGTTCTCTTTGAAAACAGGGCCTCCATGCTCTGTGGTTGGATGAACATTTTCCATTCCAGCCACCTCCCTCCAAGGGGAGAGCCAGTTTGGGGGAGCAATTTGACAAATGGGAATTAGAGGAGTGCAGTTTAAAAGTGGGAAAGGTTGCTGTCATCAAAATGGCAGCTTTTCTCCCAGCTACTGTTTTTTGGGGCCAAGATGGCTGCCCTCTTAGCAACTGCGGAGAGGGCAAGATCATGGCTTTTGGAGAGGTGAGTTTGAGGAGGTCCCTCCTACCGTCTCCTTCCCTCCCAGTGTATAGGAAGGGGAAGTTTTTGACAGGCTCCCTGAATGTTAACCACGGAGGAGTCACTCTATTCCTCCTCTGTCTCTTTGCACTTTTCTTGGTCTTGGCCACAGCCTGAGTGAAGAATTTCCTACTGAATGTACCAAGTTCCAATTTTTAAGGGTGGGGGGAGGGGTAGGTTTTCAAATGGGGGAAAAAAACGCAAAAAAATCACTACAAATTCCCACAAGTCTTGTTTTCTGGCACTTTAGAAAAACTGCGAAATAATACATAATAAAGAATACATATATATATCTACACACAAATTATATCTATATATACAGCGGAACCACCAGAGAGACTGAGGAAGGCCTGGAGGCAGGGGACAGATGTGTTGACAGTACCCCTATATACTTCACCTGCACTCCTCTGAGTAAAACAGGCACAGGAGAATTGAAGGGGTTGAGGATGGCAGGGAATTTGAGTTTCAGAATAGGTCAAAATTCCAAAAGCATGTACATCTTGGGAATTGAGATTGTAGACATTTATTTTTTTTAATATGATTAAGGAAAATAGCTTCCAGAATTTAGTGATTCTGGGCAACAAGATTGTGGCAAAGTGAAGACTAAAATATATGTATTTGAGCTGGGGAATTTGAATATCGTGAATTTCAGATGTTGGAAATTCGGGATTTTGCCATTTTGTCATTTGAAAATGATCATGTCTTGTAAGTTAGTGCCCTCTTTCCCCATGTTCTCTGGGAAGAAGGGTGCTGGAGTGGGAAGGCCACTGGTTCTGTGCCACAGCACGCAAGATTTAGAATTACAGACTCTAGCTCTATATGTAGTGAGGACCCAGATTTTAGAGAAACTGACCAATATTTATCTCCGCATTGTGTGTGTGTGTCCAACTCTCTAGGCCAATAAACCAACAAGACAAATGAACTGTGCTCCACAGTGGGATGCTAGGTGCAATTATTTGTGTGGCTGGTGGGTTTGGGGAAAGGGACATGCTTGCCTTGTCCCACAGGGATCCTGGGACTTGATAGCTCTATTCTCCCTCTTAAAACAACTTTCAGCAGTTGAGTAGGTGTAGGGCTCCTTGACTCCAAGTGTTTCACTGTAATCGTCATAACTACTAGGCTCCAGCTGACTGGTCTGATCTCCAGGCAGAAACATGAATTCAGTAACTCATTCCACATCACACAGCCTGTGTGCACAAGTGCTGGATGCAGCATCTCTGTATCCCTGAATAACACTGTCTTAAACAAGTCCAACCCTTTTTTCAGTTTGAAAGTATATTGAGGCTCAAAATGTGTCATGGCCATAGAGACGTGACCTTTTTCTATCCCTACCCTCACTATTGGCTTCAACTCCTTGCCTGTTTTCCCCTCCTCTATATCTTTTCTAATGTTATGGAGTGATGGGCAGGTGGACAGGAAGGAGCTTTTGTGGACTTTTGGCACCAATAGCTTGACCAGAGTGTGAAGCCACTCTAGCAAGTTGCTGCCGACAGGAGTATCAGGGCCAGTGTTACTGTAGTTTTTAAAACATTTTTCAAAAGAAGCCAGAAATCCAAATGTCTCTATGAAATATCCAAATTTTAAAACTAGCAAGTTAATTCAAATTTAACACAACATGGGCTAAACAGCAATTTGCAAACTATGATATACACTGTCAGGGTATTTACTATGGGACATATACTATATTATTAGCTTTATTTTAAAGAGGTGGAAACTGAGGTACAGAGCAGTTTAGTGGTTTGAGCACCAAAGCCAGAATTTGAATCTTTAAAATGCTTTTTTTCTTCCCCCATTAAAAATAGAGCCTTTTAGGGGTGGGGGCAGGGGGGAGAAATAAACCAAGCCTTGTATGCACATATGAATAATAAAAGAAAAATGGAAAAAAAAATAGAGCCTTCTAGAAATAACTTGTTTACATACTGAAGGTAGTATTCCTTATTACAAAAGATAATGACAGAAAAATGATTCGTTTCACCATGCAAATGTAGGCACTATTAATTGGTGTATTTCCTTCCAGACATTTTTTCCCCCTCTTTAACAAATATTAAGCACTTATTTTGGGGTCAAGACCTGTGTGAGGTGCTGGGCACATTACATTCCTGCCCTCATAAGGCTTACAATCTAGTTCCTACTCTTTGTTCTAGTTCACTGGGGACCTAAGCTTTCACATCCAAAAGAGCTTCTTCAAGACCCAAAGAGTAAATAAGCTGATGTGCATTTCAGGTGGGTTCAAGGTACCCTTCTCAGAAGCCCTCAATCTCGCTTCAAAGCCCTCCCCAGAAAAGAAGTAAGAGGACTGGATTCCTACTGAAAGAGTTACGAGGCAGAGAGGTATGGGGCTTGAGAGTACAGGTACCTCTCAGTTCAACCGGGCCTCCAGTCCTCAAGGAAAAGGGTCAGGAGGGGGCAAGTGATATGTGGCGTCTAGGAAAATGACTAAGGTCCCGACGCTCGTGAAGATGATGAAGGTCCACAGGAAGAGGCGATCCACTACCATGGCCACAAACTGCCAATCCTCCTTCAGCTGAAGTTAGGCAGAGGAAACCTCCTAAGCTCCAGGACCCGAGGCCTGGAGAAGCCCGCCCCCAGAGCTTCGTATCCCGCCGGGGTCTTCCTACCCCGAGTCAGAGAAAAAAAGCCGGAGCGCAACAGGAAAGCGAGACCAGCCGTTACTAGGAATAAAGAACCATTTGGAAAGCAGGGGATGGGACCAAATAAAGCATAACTCCAATCAGAAGCGGAAGCGAATACTAGGGGCGGGACTTGAATTTGGGGTGGAGCAAGGTACCTTGGCTCTGCCCTGCTCCACCGACTTTGGACTTACTGCATCATGGTCCTCCTGTTCCTGAAGCTGCCGAGCGACGTAACTGATCGAGGAAACGACCTCCCTGAGCTCCGGAGGCAGGCCCACGGCCCGATTTGTACCATCGATAAGTCTCCGCAGGTCCGGGACAGACAGTTCAGACTGGAACCTGGAAAAGGTGTGACTGTTTGGCACACTCCTGGCACAAAGGGACAGCCAGCGCCGTTACCTAGGCCCTTGTTCCAACTGCCTCCTCCACAACCTGCCAGTACTCAAAATCTGAGAAGGCCCTTCAATATCTCCCCGCCAGCGCGACCTCTCCAGACTTCTGCAACTTCCTCCACCCCTCTGAGCTTCCCCGCCTTCTCGCACAGCGAGCAGCAGAAAGAATACAACTCCCATGATGCTCAAGCATAGGCCGACAGCTTCCGCCAGCCTCTGGGAATTGTAGTTCTCCCTCTCCCAAGGTTGTAGGTTCTACCTGTTGGGTTTGGAGAAGAGAAAATCGTTTGGCGGCTTCCGAATGAAATATTCATCTGTTCCCCGACCCCAGACACTTCCTGGAGAAGAGTGATGGGGCTCCGGCAACTGGTCTTTCTCAGGTTTGGGCCTTTTCAGACCCAGGTACCGAGGGAGCGTGTGGATAAAGATCTGTAGAGTAGAAAAGCATTTTGGAGGGGGCTCTCATATTTTCAGACCACAAAGAACACAGCCAATCACCCCCACCCCACGTGTCTATTCCTGTACATGCATGCACATGGTCTCCCACAGAGCTATACAGACAAGGAAATGCAACTGCACAGGTTAATAAGCTGGGGATTGAATCCAGGGCCTCAACTGTGGTAGGCAAGTACTCTACTATTTGAAACATGTCCTCAGCCTTTTTTGTTTTGTATTTTGTTTTTGAGATAGGGTCTTGCTAAAGGGCTGACCTCAAATGCATGATCCTCCTGCTTTCACCTCCCAAGTAGCTGGGATTTTCCTGTTTCCTCCTGCTTCTGCCTCCCAAGTCTACCACTATGCCCAGCCACCTTAGGAGCTCTTTAATAGGTTGGAAGACATCCTGAGAGGAGAGGTTCTGAGGGCTTCCCCCCTAAACAGTACCTACTCCTGAGAATGTTTTCCTGGGACCCAAGATGGGTAGTATTGTTGAAGAGAGTATGGAATCTACCCAATGACAATGATGGAAAGGTAAAATTAATTGTACAGTCTTTTAACACCCAACAGGCTTTGGCACTTTAACACTCTACCAGGTAGCTATACTTCTCCCAAGGTCTATAAAAGGAAAATTGAGGTTGGTGGGAGGAAGGAATGATATCTGGACAAAAAGCCAAATACTAGGATTAGGAATTAACATAGGTTAGAGGAGATCTATCTTACCTGACGAACCCAAAGAGGCATTTGGTGAGTGTGGGGTGATCGGTGGTGTAGGTTAAGGACCACAACACTTAGGATGACTGAGAAGGTGACGAGGATCATGGTAAACATGAGATACTTGATAATGATGGGGACCGCCAGGGAAGTCTCAGGCACTTTGTCTGCTAGCAGCAGCAGGAACACAGTAAGGGTCAGCAAGGCAAAGATGGAGAGCCCCATCTTCTCTCCTTGGAGGGCAGAGGGGAAGGCAGAAAGATTGAGCTGTGCCAGAAGGAAATCACTGTGGCATAATCAGTGACCTTTGTTTCCAGCCCACTCGAGGACAGGCCATCTGTATGCAAATCACTCCTATATTTGTTCCTCCAGCCTGGACTTCCCTGAACTCCAGACTCATATCCAAATGCCTACTCAACTTTTCCATTGTATATACAATAGACATCTCAAACTTAACTTGTCCAAAACCTAATTCCTTTACTACCAGAGCTGTCTCTCTCACCCACACATATGCATGCACACCCATCTCATCTCATCTCCAATCCATAGCAAACTCTTTTGACTAAAGCTGAAATATATCCTGAAACTGATGAGATAGTGTCTACCACACTGATCCTAGCCACTACTACCATCTTGTTGAAACATAAAGCAGATTGTATCACTCCTTTCTCCAAAACACAGTGACACCTCATTATCAGCATAAAAGCAAAGCCCTAGTTGGATGTGGTGACTAGTCTGGGCAACGAGAAAGAGAGAGAGAGAGAGAGAGAGAGAGAGAGAGAGAGAGAGATAAGGGAGGAAGGAAAAGTTTTAAAAAGTCCTTCTTTGTACTATGGCCTACAAAGATTTTCCCATTAGCTTCCTGACTTCATCTGTTTTGCCCCTTGCTTACTTCAATTATTCTCTTCCATGGCCTTCTCCCTGCCCACCTCCTTCAAGTCAAATATTCCCTTTTCGATGAGGCACTTGCTGACATCCCACTTTGTACTGTATTGGTTTAATTATTTTGCAGTGTAGGGTCTGAAACCAGGGACTCCAGAATGATAGTACAGTGCTCTATCACTGAGCTACACCTCCAGTCCTGACATCCTGTTTTTAAATTGCAACCTCTATCCCCATTCTCATCTTCCCAATCCACTATCTTACTTTATTTTCCTCTTTAGGACTTGTCTTATGTACCATATAGTAGACTTACTTGTTTATTTACTGACACATATCCCCCTTAATAGATGTAAATTCCACAAGGCCAGAGTTTTACTTTTCTTTTCTTTTTTAAATTAATGTATTTTCTTTGAGCCCAGTCTGGCCTTGAACTCAAGATTCTCCTGCTTCTGCCTCCCCAGTGTTGGGAGTGAGGTGTGTGCCATCATGCCTGGCCCTGATCAGGAATCAAACCCAGGGCTTTGCACATGGTAGGCAAGTACTCTACCACTGAGTTACATCCCCAAACCAATTTTTATCTTTTCTTATTCACTGATGCATTCCCAGTGCCTAGCACATTACAGGTACTCAACAAATGTATTTGCATGAATGAATGGACCGGCCTCTGTAGCTTTTTCAGGAATCTGTAGCTTTTTTAGGAAAAATATAGCAATTTGAAGGATCTAAAAATGAAACAGTATACAAGGATACTCTGGGTGGCTGATTCCTCCTGTGGCATACAAGAGACATTGCAAACTTCATGAAAGGTATTGAAGTAAATAATCATTATGGTTCACTACACTTTAGTCCTACAGTATTTTTATTTTGTTTATTTTTTTGGTAATACTAGGGTTTGAATTCAGGGCTTCACACTTGCTATGTTTCCTAGGCAGACACTCTACCACATGACTCACTCCACCAGCCTTGTTTTTGTATTGGTTTTGTTTTGTATTGTTTTTTTTTTTTCTCCAGATTGTGTCTCTATTTGCCTGGGCTGGCTTCGAACTGTGATCCTCCTCATCTCTGCCTCTTGAATAGCTAGGATTACAGGCATGAGTCACCAGTGCCCAAGATTTTTCCCGCTCAAAGAGGATTTAAGGGTTATATTTTTAGGTTTCTACAGCTGCATCACTCTCCTGTAGACAGAGAACATGATGCCAGAGAGGAAGAAAGATGTTTTAAATACGAAAGATAAAGATATTGGGTCTCTAAATAAAACTGGCACTAATCAAGATTGGAATATTAACACTGCCCCTTTCTGTGTAATGTCAGACAAAGACTTAAACTCTCTCAGCCTCTCTATCCCTATCTGTAAAGTGGGAATGACAATTTGGTACTTACCTGGAATATTGTAAAGATTAGAATTGAGTTGATACATATAATATGATGGTTGTATTACCTTATAGTAACTGCTCAAAAATAGTAAAAAAAAAAAAAAAAAGCCAGGCTCCAGTGGTTCACACCTGTAATCCTAGCTACTCGGGAGGCAGAGATCAGGAGGATTGAGGTTCAAAGCCAGCCCAGGCAAACAGTTCTTTGAGACCCTATCTCTAAAAAACCCTTCACAGAAAAGAAAAAAGAAAAAGTAAAAAACAAAACCAAACAAATTAAAAACACACTTACATAGAACTTACTGGGTATCAGGCATAGTTTTGTTAACTCAGTCAATCCTCAAAATAATCCTAAGGCTCCAGGTATGGATTGAGCAGTGCAGCACCTGCCTAGCAAGCTCCAGGCCCTAAGTTCAAACTCCAGTACCAACAAAATAAATGATGCCAGAGAGATAATGATTGTCCCTATTTCTAGATCAGGAAACAGAGGAAAGGAATTTTCTCAGAGTTACCTTGTTACTACATTATGCTGCTAGAGAAATGTTGACTATTATTTCCCAGGGAGATACACAGTTAAGGTACTAGTGGGTGTCTGAAAAGTGGGGAGAGGGGATAATTAACTTATCCTAGAATTTGGTAGATCCAAAAAATGGAGGTTCCATGGGTAAGAGGCTAGGACTGTAAAGGAGTGGGGACAGGCCAGCGGCCTGTAGGCTGTAGGGATGTAGAACCTGAAGTTGAATCCACTTGGGAATGCTGAAGTGCAATCCATGATGGTCCTTACCTAAGATGGCAGGAAAACCATCTTTTGGATGAAACCCTTACCTGCATCTGGTGGCAGGTAGAAGACAAAGATGGCCAGGAGAGTGATGAGAATGCACGGGGCAATGACATTGACCAGGTAGAAGAGTGGCTTCCGTCGGATAATGAGGTAGAAGGTGACTTCCTGCCGCTGTCCTTCTCTCCCTCCCCTAGGATCACCTGGAGGCTGGATTAGCCTAGAGGGCTTGTGGATAATCTCCCATTGGCCATTCTCTTGGTGGGGGGGGCGGTGACAGAAGAAGGGGACACAGATGTGAGAGCAGTGCCAGGGATGGCACACTGTGCTGGGCAGCCCATCTCTAATAAACTTAACAAAATCTCAATATCCGTATTTGTAAAGTGTTGATAGTCATACCCATCTTGCTGACCCCAATACAGTTACATTAGGCATCACTGGCAGAATATATTTATCAGCCTGTTAAGAACTGGAAATCAGAAACTATGGATGTGGGAGCCATACCCACTCACCAATGAAGGTCCCTTCATGAATGTAGATTTCCTGCCGCTCCTGCCCATCAGGACCCAGGCTGGTATACAGGCTGACCTCTGAGCTATCATAGCTGTAAGAACTAAACACCATGGTGCAGTTCTGCCAGTCGAAGGGAAAGTAGGTGACCTGGATAGATGGAGAGTCACTGGAACTGCCAGAGAACTGGTCAAGGCTGAGGTCATTGATGAGGGCACAGGATATGGGGCACAAAGGAGACAGGGACCTCAAGGGAAGGTCACAGGGACTTGGGATTGCAGAGGAATTGATGAGTAATTAAGGGAGGCCACTGGGAAAATGGAGGAGGGTTACAGAGGAAGACTGGAAGTCAAAAAAAAAAAAAGTGTACAAAGAAAAGGACACTCAATAGAAAATCAGAAAAAATAAAGCAGGGTCATGGGGGGTAATGGAGGAGGGATGAATTGCTGGGGAGTCAGGTTGTCTAAGAGGTGGGGCCTGGAAACCTGGATGCTGCAGCTACTGCGATAGATGCCTGGAGGCTGCCAGCGCACGGAGCCGTCGGAGGACACCACGACGTTAATGTCCAGAGCGACATCAAAATTACCGTCATTGCTGTAGGGGAGGGATCTTCTCATCTGGGATCTGGACCCATCCTCCGGAAGCCCCGCCCCTCGGAGGCCCCACCCGACCTCCCAAGCTTTGGAAAGATCTTACTTGTTCAGCAGCACCACGTCAGGGAGCCACACCGATTCAGCTGTGATGCGCAGCAAGTCGATGCCATCGTGATCCGCAGGGTCCCAGCTTAGCCTGTAATCAGTCCACTCCTAGGAAAACAGAAGCTAAAGGGCTATTCGGAGGCTAGAAGCCAAGGAAGGATTTGGGATGTCAGCAAGCCCAGGAAGGGGTGCAAGGGAGGGAAATGACACAAGCATTGGCTGTAGGTCAAAGGGTCTGGGTTCTGGCTTCACCTACGTCAGCGAATTTCCCTTCCCTGGCACCAGGTCCCAATTTTTTTAGTTTATAAAAAAGAAAAAGAGATTGCACTAGCCATCCTCTAAAACTGGCTTTCAAACTGCAGTTCACGACCCTTCAGTGGATGGGGATTCAAATTAGTGATCCCAACCCCTTGTTTTAAAAATTAGAATGTAAAATGCATATAATGCAACTCGGTTAGGAATTGTTTACTGAAGCTACTGTTTCAGTTATAAATGTGTTTTCTGAGGTCATGGTACACTTTTTATTCATTTTTTGAGGTACCTGGGCTTAAACTCAGGGCCTACACCTTGAGCCACTCCACCAGCCCTTTTTGTGTTAGGTATTTTCGAGATAGGGTCTCGCGAATTTATTTGCCCGAGCTGGCTTCGAACCTGATCTCTGACTCATGACTCCTCAGTAGCTAGGATTACAGGCATGAGTCACCGGCACCCGGCTGATACAAAAATTCTTATTGGGCCAGACATTCGCAGAAATTGTAAAGACATTGGGACCCCCCTACCCTACCCCACGGGATCTCCATACCAGGTCTAAGTACACCTTTGTACTCATCTCTTCATCCTTCTCGTTCTAGAAGGGAAAAATTTAAAGAGCAGAGGTGCAATGAGGTAGAGGGAAATGGGGGCTCGGCAAGTCCACCTCTCCCTGGAAACTTTGGGTACTTTCTTTGAGCCCCACTTTTTTGGATCCAAATCTGAGTTAGATTAAGCCCGGCCTCCACCTCAGAAACACCCATCCTCCTGTTTACTCGGCCTCTTTACTTACCATCACCCTGGATCTGTTCCGGGACCCACCCACAGTTTACAATCCACTCAACCCTGTATCTCCGCTAGGGCAGTTCATTGACCAGTGGAGCACCAAGCTCCGCCCCGCCCTGTCAGAACCTTATTTGGTCCTGCCTCAAGGTCCATCCCCCAGCAAGTCCATGTGTTCCAGCTCTACCTGAAGATCTCGCACTCAACTCTGCTCTGGGCTTGCCCAGCAGCCACGCCCACGAACTTGTTCATTGGCCGGATTTCTACTCAATCTCTGCTAAAGGCCTGCCCATCTCTCTGCCTGGCCTCACCCCCACTTAGGTCCCGCCCCCAGCCTAGCCATGGGTCCTGCCTTGCCTCCCAGACGGTCCACTAGCCCCGCCTCAACCCCACGCGTGCGCCCTCACCAAGCTGATGAGTTGCGCCAGGATGAGACCAATGCTGACCCCGACCCGGTCTCCCACCTCCCGCGCCGGCCGCACGGAGCTATCATAGCCCGAGAAAAGTTTCTCGCGGAGTCGGCCTTCCGCCTCCGAGCCGCGGGCGCCTGCGTATGGAAAGAGCACTAAGTGAATCCCTGGTGCCCGGTCAAGACCGCTGCCCCTGACACTGCCTCTTTGGGACCCAGACTGACTTACCTGGGGCGAACAGCACCCCTAGCACCCCCAGAAGCAGCAGCAGCGCTCCTGGGGTCATGGCCCGACTGCGTCGTGCAGTGAGTTTGCTGGAAGAGTCGCCGAGACCTCCACAGCAAGGGAAGTGACGAGGCGCCCAGGAATGTGCACCTGTTTTGGGGGGATAGCTGCCAACCCACCGGCCCCGCCCTCGGGACTTAATCCCGCCCCCGAGCAACTGTTGTCACCCGCCACTCACAGATGACAGACAACACTTCAGTTGTATAAATCGTCTTTAATTGAGAAAGCATGGAGACCCGGTCCTCTGGAAGCAGAGCCGGGAGATGGGTGGAGCCTGAGCTGGTGTTTGTATGGGTGAGGGGGGCATCTCTTGCAACAAGCCAGAAGTAAAAGAGCCTGAGGAAAAGTGACCTGCTTTGAGCACTAACCCCTCTGTTAGAGCCTACTCAATTATACCAGCCTAGGTCTGCAATGGCTAGGAGTCTCCGTCTTGGTTCCCTAGTGGAGTTCCCCGCTTCTCCAGGCCTGCCACTGGCTCTCCATGTTTTTCAGAACAGTCTAGTCAGGCCCTTTTTGGGTACCTAAAACCCAGCTGAGGTTATAAGCTGTAAGGTAAAGCAAGTTCTATTGAATTAGAAGCTCTGGGGGTATATGAGGTCTGGAACCTAAGAGGCCCTCACCTTCCTTGGCCTGACCTGTAGGAGAGAGAAGTAGGACTTATTGCTGAGTTGGGGTCTCTTCACTGGGAGTTGGGGGGGGGAGTTGTCAAGGTTGTGTCCCATTTGTTATTTTTAATCTATACTCACTGCCCTTAAAGACCTCAGCTTTAAAGGGGATCTGGAAAAGGAATTCCTGCTGAGGTAGCTAAGTGTTCATGTCCCCTCAACCCAGACAACAGGTTCAATCATGCAATGCTTTTGGCTCCTTCCTCCTCCCAGCTATGAGCCAGAGATCATTCCAAAATTCCACTACCCTTCCCCAGACTCCGTTTTCCTGGCAGGATCCCAGCTGAAATGAACTGAGTGTCAAAATAGGGAAGAATAAGATTTTTAGAAAATTATCTAGGAAAAAAACAAGAAGTGGTTCCTAATTCAACCAGAAATAATTTGTTCTTTTTTGTTTGAGGCAGGATCTTGCTTCTACAGCCCAAGCTGGCCTTGAACTCACTGTGTATGTAGCCCAGGGTGGCCTCAAACTTTCAATTCTCCTGCCTCAGCCTCCCAAGGCCACCACACCCAGCTCAGAACTAATTAGTTCTTTGTGGATTATAACTGGGTCCTTTCCAGAGCTCGTCTTTAACAGGTATTACTAGAGAAAATGGGAGGGTGGGCCTAGAACTAACTCTAGAGCAATAATATGGCTATATAGGCTCTAGTTCCATCTTGGAGAGAAGAGCTGAGAGTCATGGTCTATATCCTAGAGCTGAGATTCAGGAAGAAGTATGGCTCCAATAAAGGTAAAGAACACCATGCTCTAGAATTAGGTGTCTCTGGGATAAGAAGATTGAACCTGTGGTGACCTGAGACTGATCCAAGTTCAGGCCAAGGCCAACAGCAAAACAGGGCTCAAATCCAGCCTCTCTCTACTTGGAAGACAGGGGTCCATCTGGGTCAAGGATTGAAGCCTGATGGATCCAGATCTGACCCTGGCAGCATGCCTAGGTCCCTAGTACAGAAATGGCCCTGGCTGGGGTGTCTGATATACCAGAACCTGCCCAGACCAAGGCAAAAGGTAGAGTGGGAAAAGAAGGAAACAAATCCTGAGCTCCAGTGGCCCTGTAAATCTATGGCTCAGCGGCAATGAAAATGGGCACAGGGCTCTATGAACTGGCTGAGCTGGGATGGGGAGTGTTTATGTCCTGGACTTGTCAGTTTTGGAACCCCCAGTGCCATCTCAGGGAAAGGCTTTGGGGGGGTATAAGTGTGAAAATAAAGAAGTGATCAGCCAGGACCATTTTCAGACATCCCCATCTCTGACCCTCTCCAGGTCCAAGAATCTCAGCAGCCCCACAAGTCCCTGCCAGCCCCTAGCTCCCTCAGGGTAGAGCACCTGGTGGGACCTGACTGCTCAGAGCATATTTGTGGCAGCAGGGGTGAGAGCAGGGCCAGGAACAGAGCTTCAAGACAGGCCGTGGTGTCTTGGGAGTGCAAGAAGCCTCCACTCCAGGGACTACATCTCAGGGGGCAGGGGGACTGGAAGGGGAAGTCTCAGGGACACTGTGGAGAGAAGGCTCCCGGTACATGGCCACTGTGAAGGGGAGAGAGAGAGGAGCAGGGAAGGAGAGTTAGGCACAGAGAGATGCAGGCAGAACTCTGAGAGGATTCCCTTCCCCTATACTTGCCCTCTGAGAACTCCAACCCAAAGAAGGAGAGCTCCCCAAACCCACAAAGGTCAAAGCCTCCCTATCTTGGCATGTTGTAACAGGATCCTTTTAACATTCATAGCCTGGACTGGGTGTCACTAAACATCCATGTTAAGGTCAATACCCTCCCATGTGCCCCACCTTTTCTTGAGTCCATACCCACCCTCTAGGAGCTTGGGCACAAAGTGGGCAGCTGCCTTGGTCTTCTTGACTCGGTTTCCCTTCATGACCTGGCCCTCCTTATCCAGGCCTAGGTACCAGGCCCGACCAGAACGGCGCTGGCGGTAAAGAGCAGAGGCGTACAGGACATAGTAATTCTCAAAGACGCATTCCTTAAAGCGACACTCAGCTGTGAAATGTGGCTGAGGAGACAAAGATCCAGAAAGGCACAAACAGAGAAACAGAACGATACATCACTAGCAAAAGGAAGCCCCGGGGAAGAACAAGCCAGGATATAATTCCTGCAGGGGAGGAGGAAAGCAACTCCTGAGTCCATGTAGGAACCAGAGCAAAGGGAGGACAAGGAAGAGCCTGGTAGGCCACTGAGGGTTCAGAACTAGACCTGAGGGGGAGGAGGGGGAGGCCTAGAATAAGATCCAAAGCCCTATTCTGAATGACTCTGGGGGTATTCCCAGATATTCATTATTCCCATTAATAATGAAGTCTGGAGCAGATAAGACACAGGGCCCCTAAAAGGCTGCAAGGGTTGGATTTCCAAAGAGCCTGAGGGTACTTCGTGGGGGTGTGCAAGAGTAGGATTGAATGCACCCTAGAGGAGGAACTTTGGAGTAGGTAGTGATCTGCCAAAGCTGAAGGAACTGAGTCCTGGGTGCAAAATGTCTGTAGCTGAGGAAGGTTGTATGCTGGGGGCTTCCCCAGTACTCCAGGCCACTCAGCCTCATTGTCTCACCGAGCTGTACAGCAGCCCTTCAGCGTTCATAGCCACATAGTGACCCAGCTTGGCACTCTGAATGGTGACCACACGGAGCCCCACTGGGATCAGGTTGAAGTGGGCTGAGGAAGGAGAGAGGAAATATCAGTACCCAGAAGCCTCTCTCCATCTGACCTCCTCCCTCCCCCCACCCAATCTCAGTTCCACTACTTCCTCTGGGAGTCAGGGAGACACTGAAGGCAACAGAGCCTGAAGAGGGAAAAGGATTGTCATCAACTATCCGCCTCTTCTCCCTTCCTATCCAGCAGCTGGCTTCCCCTCTCACTGAAGGAGCTGGTGTCCTCTGGGGTGCCCTGGATGCTTCCGTCGGGATTCGCCTGGAGGTAGAAACCCTGGCGGCAGAACAGTTTGGTGACGATGCCTTTGAGCTGAGGCTCTGGAGAGAGAGAGAAAGACATTCATCTTTGGAAATGACATCTCTGTTCCCAGAAATATTCCTACACTTGGCGGGATCACCTCACAGGAAAGAAAGGAGAATGGAGTGCAGGAAGAGGGTCTCAGGGCCCCAGCTCTCTTACCCTCCAAGCAAGCTGTCCCCACCTCTCTGTGACTCTTGAGGAAGCTAGGGTGTGGATCCCTTCTGTTTCCTCTAACCAAGAGCTTTCAGTTTAATTTATTGAAATTTATTTAAATGGCTTAATTCCTACTCTACAGCTCAACCAGAAGCGGGGGAGGGGTTGGGGAGGAGGATGAGAAGAGATACATCAAAAGGCAGCAGCCAGAGCGAGACAACGCAGGGCTGCTGAATGGGCAGTGTGTTTGCGAATGGTGGGGGGCAAGGTGACCACAGGGAAGGGGCTGCCCCCTCAGAAGTGGGGGTGGGACTGGGCCTGACGCTGACTCAGCACCTGCTGCTGCTGCTGCGGCTGCCGCTTGCTTGGTGCGGGCCTTGGCTTGGCCCAGAGCCGGCCTGTCTGACACTGACCCATCTGTCTGTCTGTCTTATCTGTCAGTCTGCTAGCTCGCGGGGGCCCCATTTCTCCCTGAGGCTCAACCGCTCCCCTTCAGCCAGGTAACCCGCCTGAGGTGGGGGACATTCATATCACATCAAAAAAATGGGGGAGAGGGGGCTGAGAAGATGGAGCTGCAGGCTGAGTCACGTGGGGCCGGGTCCCACTCAGAGGGTGGGCTGCGGACGGTACCACTGCGGCTGGCTGGTGGCGGGGGAAGAGGGCGCGACGGGCTGCCTATAGGGGAACTGGGACCAGACTGGGGCGGGGCCAGAGGTACTTCTTGACTATCGTACCTGGACGGGGACCACAATCTAACCCTCATAACTCTCCTCCCAGTTGCTTGCTCTCTCGCGACTTCTCTGTTCCCCCTTGTAGGTGGTACGACCCCCAAGTCTCTGTGCGGGTCTCCAGCAGTGAACTGTGTCTGAGTTCTGACCGGCACTGGGTCCTCTGAGCCTGTGGAACTCGATTTTGGAGTCGCACGGGGATAATGGGAGGGGGGTGCCAAGCTCCCTTCTTGAAGCTCAGGTCACAGGGGGAGGGCTCCCAGAGGGGCTGGCTGACGAGTTAGCTGCAAGGACACCGGGGGGAGAGCAGGAGAGACTGGCTCCCAGTCAAGCGAGCTGGACCAGGAGGAACCGAGCCAAGGCGTGGAGGAGCGGGAGAACCGGGCGGGGGCGGGGCGGCCCGAGCTACAGAAATCCTCCGGGTGACCCAGGCGCCCACAACCCCCTAGGCCCCTCCGCTCCGGATTGAAAGAATCGCGAGAACCTGCACGTAGACAGAGGACGGTGGGGGTGGGGACTCCGATGTTGGGGGGCGGGGAGCATGCAGGAACTGCGAGTCTTGGGGCGCTAGATTTAGCCCCTCAAACCTTCCCTTTGCCCTCGAAAGCAAGGAGACTCGGCGTTACGGACAAAAGAGGAGGGAAACTGAGGCTAGTCCGATAGACTTTGTCATCCTGGCCCACCCCTTTCCACTTTCGAGGACCACCCCCTCGGTTGGGCCCCATTCTTCAGAGTCCCTGGACTCAACCTCCCGGGCAGAGAGACCTCTGGCCCGGAGACCCCGCCCCAGCCGCACTCACCCGGGCCGCGGTCGGGTCGCGCAGGCCGCCCCCCGCACAGTCGCACCTTGGACAGCAGGATGAGGAGCTGCTTCTGGCAAAGGGATTTGGTGCCGCGCGGACACACGCGCCGCTGCGCTGACACCGGCCGGCTGCCCCCGGGCTCACGGACCTCTCGCTTCTGCCGGATCAGGCTACTGGCCAGCGCCGCCATGGCGCCCCAGGAGGAGACACCCCCAACCAGCAGGCGCCCAAAGCGCGCTGGGCTTCCCCACAAGAGTCTTCTCACCGGGGCATGCTGTTGACGCTTAGGACCCAACTCACCGCCCCACCCACGAGACCTGAGGTTAAGCCCCAGACTCCCCCACGTCCCCCCAACAGCCGCCAGCCCTCACCCTGGGGCCCTGTGTTAGCTCCTGCGGATCCAGCAGCCTATGCACTCCTCAGCTGACCTCACCCACGAATTTTGTCCCTTGCTGAAAACTACCCCCTTCCTTCCTCTCCTTTGTCCCCACTTCCCTTTCCCCAAAGCCAAGACCTGGATAATTCTCAATATCCGCCCTGTTTTGGGGCTACACTCCTGCCTAATCCATTGTTGTAATCTAATAGGTGTAGGTCCTTTAGTTTTGGGGTACTAGCTCATTCCATCCTTGCTGGGCCGCTGTCAATGTCAGAGAGGAACCCAATCTTGATGCCTTTTCCTTTGCTACCCTCTAAATGGAGTGGATCCCTCACTTTTTCCCTGAATCCCCCCAACAGGTCTCAGAATATCCAGGCTGTCCAGGTTCACTAAGAAGGTGTTCCCAGATCTGCTGGCTGGACAATGCCTATTTTCGCTGTCACCCCCATTTCTAGTAGCATAGGGTTCCAGCTGCTAAGACCGTTTCCTCACTTTATCATCCTCCACTCCTTTTGAAGTCACCTCCAAATCAGTCCTTCCTAGTGCATACACCAGGTGATGGTCTGGAGGACCCTCTGTCACCTCAAAATAAGAAGCATCGATGTCTTTGTTTTCTGATTGCCCCTTAATTTCCTCAGGAACAGCTGGTGCTGTTTAGATCCCACGCCTTTCAATCTAACCAGCCCCTCAAGAGAGGAGTGCACCCACGTTGTCACCACTCCCCAAATGTGAACAGGCCCCCAATAAATCAGAGAGCATCAGAGCTTCCTGTGACAGGGCTTCCTCATCTTTCCTGGGACTGCCTAAAGCACCCCCTCTTCCTTGCCCCGACGCCCCTCAACCTGTCCTGTCCTGTTGATCCAGACGACGAGTGGCGCTGGCTCCAGCTCCAGGCTCCTCCCTCCCTGTCCCTGCAAGCCGAGCTTCCCCCCACGCCGGGGTAGGCGTCCCGGACCCCCAGGAAGGAGTGAGGATGTCTCTGCAGAGCGTCCCGGTCGGAGAAGTCAGAGCACTGGGCCTGGCGGCTGATCCAGGCAAAGCGGTGACAGTGGTGGCAGCGGCGGCAGCGGCTGTGGGAAGCTGAGGCGGCGACGGCGGCGGAGACAGCTCCCCCTCCTCGGAGAGCCGGCCCGGGGGCGGGGCAGGGGGCGGAGACGCTGGGAAAGTGGGGGGTGAAGCTGGTCAGGCAGAACCCTGGGGTTCCTTGGAAGCGGGGAGTGGGGACAGTATTACAGGCAAGGCGGCGCCCGAGGCAAGGCCGCACTTCCCGAGGTTCAGAGGAGGAGGGACAAGGAATCCTGAACCGAATCTTGGGGGTTGGGGGAAGCGGTGGAGGTTGGTGGAAGAGGTTGGGCTTTAGATGCCATGGCAGACGGCGGGAGAATAGAGAGGGACCCTACTGACTGGATGGAAGTGAGGACAGACTGGATGAGGAAATTAGGGGGGAGGGGAGTGGAGAAATGGGAGCGGCTGTGAGATCCAGCCTCCTTAATGTCCTGCTTTTTGTGTGTGCCAAGTTGATAAATTCCATGTTCCATACCTCTCTCCTTTCTGCGTTCGGTCAACAAATACATTCCTCCCAACTCTACTGACTCTGAAAGAATTGGGGAAAGACGGTTGCGAGAGGCAGTCCCCGGGCGGGAGGAGTGTTGGCCAGATCTGAAGAACCCAATGACTTGCGCCAGGAGCAAGGTGGGGAAATGGGAAGGACCTAGGGAGGCCTTCTAGAAGACAGACTTTGGGCCCAGGGCACACATTGTGTCTCCCATGAGATGAACGAGCAATCCTCTCCATGTTCCGCTCGCCAATGGAAACACTTTCCACGCGGGTAGTAGCGTCTTTAATGAACCCCGCCCCCCATACCCGCTAAACCGCCCCCCTTGCGAGCAACCTTAGCTTCTTCCACCGCAGCACGCAGGGCATGGGCAGGGTCTCCGCGAAGCTGGGCCAATGACCCGAGTAGGGCAACGGAACCGTCTCCTGCACAGAGCTTTCGGCCGCTCAGAAAATAGTGGGGCAGAATCCCGGCCTCGAGCACGCGGCCCAGCTCATCTAGCAGCCCAAGGCAGCAAGCGCCCGCATTTTCCGGCCGCGCTAGGTACAGCGCGGGCAGTCGCTCGCACGCCCAGTACAGCAACGTCCGCAGGAGGTAGGGCGCCGCGGCCCGGGTCCCGGCCACCAGTGGGCGCAGCAGCGCCTGGGCCGCCGCGTGCGCCTGCAGTAGTGGCTCTGGTATGCGCGGTTTGAGCGCTAGTTCCTGGCGAGCAAAGCAGAGCTGCCAGCGGGAGGTGCCTGGCTGCTCTGTGCTGCCTCCCGGCACCAGGTAAAAGGAGGCCGAATCGGAAGCCAGCGGACCCGCCCACGAGTGGCTCCGAGCCCCCTCAGGCCAGCCCGCCACAGACACCACCGGGATCAGATCGAAAAGAAGGAGGCGGCGAGGGGGCCCCGGCGTTGCCAGGAGGATAGTGGTGAAACCCGCGTGGCGAGCTGCGTGCACCAGGCGCGGGGCACCGGGCACCGGTACCAGGGACTCTGCGACCCTAGCCAGCGTAGCGAAGAACCAAGCAGCCACTTGGGCGGGACACAATGTGGGCCACTCCCCAGGAGCGTCCGACGATTTCGGGACTGTGCATTCGACGTCTGCTTCGGTGACGTCACTAAATGTTTTCAATGAGGGAGAGCCAATATCGGTGACGTCATGGTGAGGCGACCCCGGCTCTGAAAGATCTCTAGGTGATTTTTCCAAAGACAAGTGAGGCTCAGGCTTTGGGACGTAATAGTCCTCGGAGTTTTGTGGCTCCTTGGAACTTCTTTCACTAGCGGTTTGGCCAATCAAATCACGTTCTTCTGGGACAGGGGGTCCTAGGCAATCCTGCCACGCCTCCCGGACCGAGGTTCCTAGAACCAGCTCTGGGAGGCGGAGCCATGCGTAACAGGATTCCAAGTCCAGCAGCAGCTCTGGCCCACTGCCGTCCAGCGAAAACACTGGCACTAGGAGTGTGAAGCCGGCGTCATAGTGAGGTCCTCGGGCATAGGGACCTAAGGGTGCATGCCCCAGATCCAGGGAGCCCTCGCGAATCCCACCACGAAGCAGCAACAGCTCTGTTTGGGCCGGAAAACGGGGGTCCCGGCGGTGAACTAGACCTAAAGGAAGAGAAAGGATCATGAGGGCGTAGTCGTCCAAAGCCTGGGCAGAGAGTGGCGACGCTGAGGGCTGCTAATACCCACAGGAAAGAAGGTAACTTACCAAGCAAAGAGAAGACAAAGTCCTTGGCCCGGAGAAGGTCGGCTCCCGGCTTGGGCCCGTCACTCCAGCTCTCCTGGACACCCAGTTCCTGAATCAGCTGGGTCAGTTCCTGAAGCTGCGCTCCTGAGCAGAAGTCAATGTCCGTGAGCGGCCGGGCTGGAGCCGGGGGTGGCGGGCCCCACCAAGTGCCACTCCCCCAGACTGCGGAAGCCATGATACTTTATCGTTTTGAGCTAGGGGAAACACAGACGGGAGGTAGCCTAGACGGACCTATCCTTTGCTGCAAAAAACTCTGTTTTTCCCTCTTTCCAAGGCCGAGCGAATGCCCCAGTTCACAAATGAGTCTGCAGATGATTGGTTTCGTCTTCAAAATGAACAAATGAATACCTCCTTGCTCCTTGCTCTTTTTTCATATGCAGGTCCCCTCCCCCGTGAACCGGTTCACTTGACTCAGCAGGTAAAAATAGCTTTGGGCCCCTCCTACAGAATGCAGTAGCCAGTCTTCTCCATCGCCCCTTAGATAGCTCCCCTTATCTCTTTTTCAGAAGAGGTTTATTGATCTGTGGCTTCCCCCTTAGCGGTAGCTGCAAAGATGGGGGAGAGAAAAGACGCAAGGATTCAACAGGTAACTTCTTCCTGATGCCCGCATGCCTACGCCCCTAAATTTCGACCACGCCCTTTTCTAGAGGCTGTCGGGTGGTTCCGCCTGATCCCGCCTCCAGTGAGAATTCAGTCACGCCTTTCGCCCTGCTAAGATCTCGTGCTACCCTGGGAGTTGTAGTTTGTTGCCTGTGCTAGCAGTGCACTAGAGCCACGCCTCCACATCCTTTCCGGTACAACCGAAGTAGTGCCTAACGGAAGTTGTAGTTTCTATGGAGGCATATTATTGTGTCCAGTCCACCCCACACAAACATGGAGTTGGAGTAGATAATTGGATGGATTTGAATAGCAAATAATGAAGGACACCCTGTATCCCAGGTGTGAGTAGAGGTGTCCTGGTCGCTTAGATATGAGGGTCCTTCCATGAAATTATGACTTCCTCATTTTAGAGACGGGGAGACTGCAACCTAGAAAAGTTACACTTGATTTGGGAGGCTTAGGCAGAAGGGTTGCAAGTTTGAGGCCAGAACGGGCAATTTAGTGAGACACTGTCTCAAGAAACAAAAAAAAGTTACACATCACTTGTCCAAGGTCTGAGTTTAGGTAGGTTTTAAAAAGGGTTCCCTGGCTGGGTGGGGATACATCGTCTTGGAACCAGTTGTGATAATGTTAAGGTAGGTACAGTGGTGACCTAGGAATGGGCATCTGACTCGTGGAAGAGTCATACCTACTAGCAATGCAGACTTCAGACATGCAGGAGTCATGGCAGGGAACATTTTGGAATTTTACTATTATATGTACACGGAAGAGTTATCTGTAATCTACTACTCAGGAAGATCGAGGTTCAAAGACAGGCTGGGTAAATAGTTCAGGAGGCCCTATCTTGAAAATACCCACCACAAAAGAACAGGGCTGGCAGAGTAGCTCAAGTAAGTGGCAGGTGGCAGAGCTCCTGCCTAAGCAAGCATGAGACCCTGAGTTCAAACCCCAATACTTCCAAAAAAGGAGGAGGAGAAGGAGGAGGAGGAGGAGGAGAAGGAGGAGGAGGAGGAGGAGTTATCAGGTCCAGAGGAAACTCCAAGCTTGGTGGGGTCAGGGCAATGGAAAATGATTAAGGGCAGGAAATTGTTTTCAGTAACCTAGGCTACCAGGGACCATAATGAAGGATTGAATACATCTCAAACACAGAATGGGATCAGGAGTCAGGATAATGAGTCAGAAAGATAGGAAACCAGTGGCAGGCTAACAGATCAGACAGTCCATTGCTGGGCAAGGAATTCTTACATTTCTTTTGCCTATAATTTCTCTCTGGAGATGATCCTAAATCCTTGGGCAAGAGAATTAAACAGGGAAACCTTGAAAAATTAGAGGTGTGTAGGGGAGGAGACTACTTAGAACCAGAGCTCAACTTGGAAAGCCCAGATCTCACGAATTCCTATCACTGACAAGGAAAGCCCTTAAACCTCAGCCACCAGGGCTGGAGAACAGAGCACCAAAACACAGGCCAGAACTGGGAACAGAGGTTTCCATATCTGATTGTGACCCAAGAGGATAGACCAGAAAAACTGAAGATGGAACCCTTTCTCAGAGTTTGGAATAACCAGGCATCGGGTATCCCTACATCTCATCTCCTCCCCAGAGGGTGGTCTCTGAGCCACCCTAAAAAGAATAAAGTTCTCTGGGCTCAATGGGAGCCTTGAAAATGTTGGCGATGGGTGCCAAGGGGAAGGAATTTTTTTAAACTCTAAAGCATTACTCTCCAACAGTATAGAATTTTCTGTGATGGAAATGTTCTCAAATTTGTGGTGTCCAATACAGTAGCCACTAGTCACATGTGGCTGTTTTTTTATTTTAATTTTAATTTTTTTTTTTTTTAGCACGGGTTTGAACTCAGGGCTTCACACTTGCTAGGCAGATAGGCAGATACTCTTACCACTTGAACCACTCTGCCAGCCCTTTTTTTGTGATGGATTTTTCAAGATAGGGTCTGGAGAAATAATTGCCCAGGGCTGGCTTTGAATAGCGATCCTTCTGATCTCTACCTCCTGAGTAGCTACGATTATAGGTGGCCGGCTTTTCTTTTCTTTTTTTTTTTTTTGTATCCCAGGCTAGCCTCAAACTCTCGATCCTCCTGCCTCAGCCTCCCAAGTGCTGGGACTATAGTCACAGGCTGCCATGACCAGCTCAGAATTTTTAATTTTAATTGACATTGTAATAGCCACATTTGGCTAGTGACTACTGTATTGGAAATCCAGCTCTAGAGACTGGAAGATAATGAGCTTGTCTGTGGAGCTATGGAGGAAGAGCAGGGATGTAATAGTGCCAGTCCTCCTCAGACTCCTCCCAATCTGTGCCTCAGGATTGGGAATGGGGTGGATTGTCTTCAAACAAGCACAGAACACTTCTCTTGCCCCTTTATTCCTTGTCCACATTTTCCCCGTTTTTGTTCAAGGTTCTCATCACATTCTGATACCCGCACTCCTTAAGGGTCTCCCCTGAATTGCTGGGTGCCTCTTGGCGTAGGCGCCTGGGAAACAGAGCTTCACACTTGTCCCTATTCACTGTGAACTGTTTCTGGCGGGCATCAAAGACCACATGACCTGCCCGAGTGCCTTGTCCAGGGCAGTGAGGCCTCCAGTTGGTCTTGGGGGGCATAGACATCTGGCGATAGTTCTGGCAGGCTAAAAGAGCTGTATCCACAGGGTGGTATACCCAGTCTTGGCTGCCCGCCCGCCAGGAGGATGGCTGCAGCTCAATTATTACAGGTATCTCTGAGAAGGTTTGCAGGTCAGAGGAAATCATCTGGGCCTTGGAAGGGCAGAGGTTTTGATTAATTGGGACAGAAGTCCAGGATGCATGCTGCTGTACGTCCTCTTTTTGAGAAGCCATCTCATACACAAATGGCTTCATCAGGGAGGACGTTGGCTTCAGGGTGTGAAGTGGGCCTGAGACTCGGACAGAATTTGTATCTTGAACAAGGCTTGGATTCTTACGGAGGTCAGGATCTGAGATGAGGCATGAGTCCTTGTGGAGGTCAGCTTCCTGGGCAAGGCCTAGATTCTTGGGGAGGCCAGAGTCTTGGGCAAGTGCTGTGTCCTTATGAAGGTCAGGATCTAGATTAATTCCAGGGCACTTATGGAGGTTAGGGTCTTGGCTGTACTCTGGGCTCCTGTAAACTCCAACATCTTGAGTAAGATTCAATCTTTTTTCAGCTTCAGTGCCTTGGGTAAGGCCTGGACTCTTGTGGCAATCAGAAACTTGGGTAAGTCCTGGGATCTTGTAGACTCCAGAATCATGGGTAAGGCCTAGGTTCTTGTAGTCTCCTGAGTCTCGGGTGATGCCTGTGCTCTTATGGAGGCAAGAGGTTTGGACAAGCCTTGGGATGTTGTGGTTACCAGATTCCTGGGTATGTTCTGAGCTCATGTTGACTTCAGAGTCTTGGGTAAGGCATGAGTTCTGTGGTCTAGAATCTTGGGTAAGGTCTGGGCTCCTATAGACTATTGGATCTTGGACATTGTCTGTACTCTTGTAACCTCCAGAATCTTGAGGAGGGCCTGGTCTCTTTTGGTTAGTTTCTTGGGAGAGATCTTGATTTTTGTTTACTGTAGTGTCTTGGTTTAATTCAACACTCCTATAGACTTCAGAATCTTGCATAAAGCCCAAACTCCTCTGAAAATCAGAAGATTGGGTAAATGGTATGTTCTTATGGAGATCAGCAGGTTGAGTGAGACATGGGCTTCTATAGACACCAGCATCTTGAGTAGGAACCGGACTCTGTGGGGGGCCAGTATCTTGGGTAATGACTGGATTCTCTTGAAGCCCAGAGTCTTGAGAAAGGCTCAGATTCTTGCAGAGATAAGGGTCTTGAGTGAGGCCTGGGAACTTCTGGAGGCCTAGATTTTGAGCAAGACCTGGATTATTGTGGAGGCCTGGATCTTGTATAAGGCCTGGGTCCTTGTGGAGGCCTAGATTTTGGGAAAGGCCTGGATTCCTGGGAACTCTGGAGTTTTTGGAAAGACATGGGGTCTTTTGTAGGCTGGGATCTTGGATAAAGCCTTGACTCTCAGAGCATTGGGGTTGGATCAAGGATTGGGAAATTGTGGAGAACTGGGAAGGGATAGGGAGGTCGGAAGGGAGGAAAAATGGAGAAGACTTGGAAGCTGGGAGAAATGTAGGTGCTTCGGTTAAGTTGGAGGGCTTTTGATGGTTGCTGGATTGAGGAAAGACAAAGGTTCTTGGAGGAACAAGTGGCAGAGAAAGAGTGCATGGTGAAGGAAGAGTGGATGATGAGCTCTGAGCAATGTTTGGAGAATGAAAGCAAGGTTTAGAAGGAGCAGCATCTTGGGTATAGACCAGGAACTTGGGATAGACTGGAGCCTGGGCATCTGTGTTTTTCCTTGCAGAACTGCAAGGATGGAAGCTGCAATAAGGGAAGGTCTTTGGCTGGAAGAACTTGTCTTTGACATCATCTGAGATCTTCCATTCCATGTTCCCCAATTCCAGGTAGCCAAGTATAGATCTTGAAGGAGGCTCAGTGCTGTCCTTACCATGTTGCTTTGATGTCTTCTCAGATGTACCAGAACTTACTAGGCCCTGCCCCTCTTGGTGCCTGGAGAAAATATGCAGGTCGTTTCTGGAATAACTAGAGTTCTGAGTGTTATACTTATGGAAGATATTCTGCTTCACCCTGCGGGCATCATAGACCACATGGCCAGTGGAGAGGCTAGGACCAAAGGCTGCCAGGGTAGAAGGAACAGGAGTTGGGATAGGGTTAAGGGTAGTGGCAGGGACAGGAGCAGAGGGTGAAGTGGTAGTCATGGCCATAACCAGTGATGGGGCTGAGGTTGGGATGCAGACTGGGCTGGGGGCTGGAGTAGAAGCTAGGACAGGAGGAGGGACCTGCACAAAAGTTGAGGGAGGGGCTAGGGCAGAGGTTGGGGCAAAAACAACGGTGTGAGGATGAGAATGGGCTGGTGTGTCTGGGACTTGAGCTGATGTCTGCTCAGGGACTTGGTCCTGGGAGTGTGTCCTGGTCTGGGCTGAGGTGTAGACTGGGTCATGACCCTGAGAGTGGGCTGGGGGATATGCAGGGGCCTGAGCTGGAGGGTGGGTTGAAGTATGCTCAGGGTTGTATGTCTGGGAATAGCTGTGCTCAGGGCTGTGGGCTAGAACCTGGACAGGAAGAGGGACTGGGGTATGGGTTTGAGCCTGAGCTGAGGCATGAGCTGGGGTGGGGACTGGAGAATAGGCTAGGGTGGGAGCTGAGGCATGGGATGGGGTGAGGACTGGGGCAAGGGATGGGGAGGGAGTTGGGGCATGAGGTGGGGTGGGAGCTGAGGCATGGGATGAGGTGAGGACTTGGGCAAGGGATGGGGAGGGAGTTAGGGCATTGGGTGGGGTGGGAGCTGAGGCATGGGATGGGGTGAGGACTGGGGCAAGGGATGGGGAGGGAGTTGGGGCATGAGGTGGGGTGGGAGTTGAGGCCTGGGATGGGGTGAGGACTGGGGCAAGGGATGGGGAGGGAGTTGGGGCATGGGGTGGGGTGGGAGTTGAGGCCTGGGATGGGGTGAGAACTGGGGCAAGGGATGGGGAGGGAGTTGGGGCATGGGGTGGGGTGGGAGCAAGGGCCTGTGATGGGGTGAGGACTGGGGCCAGGGATGGAGTTGGGTCATGGGTTAGGGTGGGAGCTGGGGCATGGGCTGGGGTAGGGGGTGATGCATGGGCTGGGATGGGGGCATCACTGTGGTCCAGGATAGGTGCTGGAGTAAGGACTGGGTCATGGGCTGCTGGGGGATGAGCTGAGGAGTGCTCAAGACCCTGTGCCTGGGAGTGCATATGCTCTGGAGTGTGAGTCTGGGACTTTGTGGGGGGCTTTTCAGGGATGTGGGCTGAGGAGTGGGTCTGGGCCTGGGCTCGGTCCCGGACTGGGTCATAGTCTGGGGCCTTAGTTTTGCTGTCTTGGGGTAAATAGAATGGAATCATGTCCAACTTGCTCATCTTCAAGAACTGGGCAGAAATCTCTGGCCTGGAGAGAAAGGATGTCTGGCCCTGAGGGGCCTCCCCAGCTCCCATTATCCCCTCCTTCCACAGTCCCCATGGAACCTCCATGGGAGCCCCAGCATGTCCACAATGAGGTGGCATCCAGCAGCACCTAGAAACCTTCTCATCATTTGTGTCTGGTATCCATGAGTCAAGGTGATTAGCATGTCCGAGCAGGAAGTTGGGGCGATGATGGAAGCGGGAAGAGACTCTAGAGCATCGGTTCTTGGGATCCACAGTGCAGTGCATGCACACGGGCTGGCTGCCTAGACCGCTGGGCTGCTTGTCTGCAAGGAAAGGAGGGATGCGACAAGGCCTGGGTGCCTGACATGCTGAGAATGGGGGTGGAGAGAGAAGAAAAAGGACAGTCTACATTCCTTGGAGCCCATGCTGGGGCCAACTCACCTTTTGGAAAAAAATGATGGAAAAGAATCCGCAAGGAGCTCTTCAGATGCCTCCAGAGCTGAGGAGAATCCAGAAGTAGGGTGACCCCTGGAGAACAACCTTTTTCTGGCCACATCCCAGCAGCCCTCCCACTTCAGTCCCTTCAAGACCCTAGAGCTCAGGCCAGGCACATCTGTAATCCCAGCATTCGGGAGGCTGAGGCAGGAAGATGTGAAGGCCAGCCTGGGCAACATGGCAAAATCCTGTCACACAAAACAAAAACCCCAAGACCCCAGAGCTCCCCCAACCCTGCTGCCCAGACCCTGCCCTAACCAGAGTCACCACGTTGATCCCCACGTTGAGCAAGATGAAGCTGCCCAAAATCAGAAGAATTGAGTCTCCTAAGTCCTGGCACTTCCTGAGGTTGGTGCCAGAGCACACTTGAGCTCCATGGTAGGCTCGCTCACCCATGGCCTGGGGTCCCAGGACTACCTGGGCCCCCTGATCCCCACATACTCACTAGGAAACATACTCCTCTGGTGGGGGAGGGGAGAAGGACTGAATCATAATGGGGCAGGTAGTTGGGATCACAATGAGGGAGGTAGAGGAAGAGGAGGGTCCAGGGTGAAGTTCCTTGGTAACCAAGTGTGGGAAACCTAAGCCTAGAGGCCCCACATCTCCCCACCTTGGTTATTCCCTCATTGTGCTCTGAAAACATTCATTCCACTAGTCCTGCAGTTTCAGTTGAGAATCCAGAATTCTTTACCCCTTGGTCACACCTGAGACTGGAAGACATTGGCCTCAGATCCTTGGCTGGAATCTAGATTCATGGCTTTCTTCCTGTCTGCACTTGATCAGCCTAGAACCCCCAGGTCTGGATTCTCACCTGGTTTTGTTTGTTTTTGTTTTTGTGTGATCTTGGGGTTTGAACTCAGGGCCTCATGCTTGCTAGGCAGGTACTCTACCACTTGAGCCCCTCCTGCAGCCCTTTTTTGCATTGGGTACTTTTGAGGTAGGGCCTCAAGAATTATTTTCCTGGGCTGGCTTCTGTGATCCTTCTGATCTCTGCCTCCTGAGTAGCTAGGATTACAGGTGTGAGCCACCACTGCCCAACTTGACCTAAGTTTTTCTTTTTGTTTTGAGTGCACTGGGGTTTGAACTCAGGGCCTCATGCTTTCCAGGCAGGTACTCTTACTGTTTGAGACACTCCACCAGCTTGACCTCAGTTTCTTAAGTAGGGCTGAACCTCTGAACCTCCTTTGGGAACAGGGAGAGCAGAGACAGAATGAGTGCTCAGAGCCCCCTGGTTTGGAGTCTGCAGCTAAAAGACCTTAGTGTGCTGTACAGGACCAGGAGGGGCCCACTGACAGAAGCATGGCCACTGAGTGAGGGGAACTTCATGTCAAGGAGGAGACACTGGATTCTTATTTTAGGGCCCCAGACTTGCAGAAGGAGAGGTGCTTCCAAACCACAGACCACCACAGAGTTTCCTGGACTCTTTATTCCTCTTCTCCATGCCCTGCCCCACCACCCGTATTCGTCTTCTGGTCAGTTAAGTTTCCCAGTCCTGCTTCTGTGCAGAGAAGGCCTCAAGACTGAGGTGGAAGGTGGTGGCAGTGAGTTGGCACGAGCTCTGCTCTCTTGCACCTGCCGCTTCAGCTCCAGGCTGTCATATACATGGTAGTTGGCATTGCCACCTGGATTCCTACTGAGTGGGATGAAGGTGGTTGGGGGTGGGTTGGAATCAGCAGCCTGGACATCAGGCAGGGGCTGGGAGGAGTGAGGGAGCAAGGCTGAACTGGCAGCTGGAGCCCGCTGGCATGAGACCTCGCCCAATGCCGTGAGGGAGGTGGAGGTGGTCAGAGGGTGCCTAGTGGGCAGAGTGTCAGCCCAGTCTGCTGCTCTACGGCGCAAATCATGAGAATCCGGAGAGCTATAACCCAAGTGTCCTACGGATGGGTGCGGGCTGCGGCTGGGCTGGCTGTAAGCATGGCCTGGGAGACCCCGCTGGTGAGACTGTGTGGAGCTGTGTTCACGGTGGCTCTGGGATTCAAACCTGGGATTTCGGGACACAAAGGCAGGGGAGGGTTCACAGTCCTCCATACCACGCCGCGGTCGCTGATCCCAGGCATCATGGAGAATCTGGCCCCCTGAAGAGTAAGGGCTGTGGCCCCCAGGGGCCCAGGTAGGGTTGGCGGGGAGCCGGCGGGGAGGTACTGGAGATGAAGCCCACGGTTCAGTCTCCACATTGCCCCAATTTCGGGACTGTGAGCAATGGGGTAAGTAGGAATGCAGCCTCAGCTCTGACTTGGCCTCCACACGCTTGGGCAAGCGGCGCAGCTCTGGTGACAGGTAAAGAGAGGGTGGTGGCAGGCTGGCCAGGATTCCACCTTGCCGGCCCCACAGCCCCACATTGGAGGGCAGACCCATTTGCTGATAGAATCCACCCCAACCCTTACGTAGGTACTTGGGAGTTGGGAAGGACAGCTCATTCTCCCCCAGGCAGGAATCCCTGTCCTCCAGGTCAAAAAAGGGCGCTGGTCGCATCTGTGATGTCTTGCGGCTGTGATGTTGGTTACGAAAGACTGGGCGGCCATGAGAGAATTTTCTGGGGTTCTTTGTCCTCTGCTGGTGGCTGCAGGGGCGACGGCGGCGACCTTGGTGGCGGTGGCTGTGACTGTGACTACAGCCATTGCGGTGATGGTAACAGGAAGAAGAGGAGTAGCGTGTGGGTTGGGCCATCACCTGTACAGGATCCAGTGTGCAGTGGATGTGGACATCCTGGACCCTGGCTGGGGGATCTTTAGGGGCGCACTCACTAGCCTGGGCTTCATCTGGGGGAGACAATAGTCCATGAAGTCAGGGCAATTACAGAAGAATTCAGTGTTGAGAACAGTGGGGCCTGGTTTTCTAGGGCCGCAGTGGTAGTGGTGGGAAGATGCTCAACTCTTTAGCTGCAATACTTACTTTTCTGATTCATCCAGTGGGTCATCTTGTCTAAGGCATTCTGAAACCCATTCCACATCTGGGGGTGATGGGAGAGATGGGAGTGAAGGCCAGGTTCTCCAACCCCGCCCTGCCCCCGGCTAGACCACTCCTGAAGGTGGAGTTGCAAGCTGTAGCTGGCTCCCCTGCTCAACCCTCTTCACCCCAGGGGTCCATAGCCATCACTGACCACAGTTGCCACATTGATGCTAATGTTCACAAGAACAATAAGGCTCAGCAGCAGGAACAGGATGTCCTCAGCATCCTGGGGGCTTTCTTGGTATTGATTACAACACCCCAGGGTGTCATGCCATAGTTGGTTTTCCATGGTGGGGGGGGTCCTAGGGCCACCTGGGCCACCCCCACCCCCCCACCCCACCTGGCCCTGACCCACACTGCCCTCAGGCCAGTACCTGGAGATACCTACTAGCTGGTGAGGGAGTCAGGTCATAATGACACAAATTGGGGAGAGTCATAATGCAGAAGTAGCAGCTCTTTTATCCTCTCTGCTGGCCCTTTACACAGCCATCTCAACCCTTGGCTTCTACTTGATAGAACCTGGTCCCCAGATGCACCAGAGTTCAATTCATTGCTCTGTCTCCATGAGACTTGCTTAACCCCACACCTGGTTCTTGATCTGAAAATATGGCAGCTACAGTCTTGAAACAGTCTTTACGGGGACTGGATCATCCACAAAGGATTTCCATCTCATTGTTCTTTTGAGACATGCCTACTGTGAGACCAGCAGCCACAGGGACTGAGAAAATGGATGACAACAAGAGTCTCCTCTTGCTGTATATCTCCTTTGGGATTATAGGCATGCACAGTCGGTGCATGCCTATAATCCCAGCCCTTGGGAGGCTGAGGCAGGAGGATGGCAAGTTCCAGGCCAGTGAGACTCTCAAAAAAAAAAAAGCTCCTCTCTAGGGTTATCTTGCTGTATTAATTTTTCCATCTCCTGACCATTTCCATATCACATTTCCTCTAGTACACATCCCTGCTCAGCGCTTCCTGACCAGGGATTGCAGTTCTAGGTTTTGATGGTCCCTGAGCCCATTGGTTACTTTGCTTCAGAGTCAGACAGCTTTCTACCTTGCTGAGGTTGCTGCTTCTGCCATAACCTGCCCCAACTATGGGCTTGTTTCTCTTCTTCCAACCCAGCTGTCTTTCTACTGACCCACCCCTACTACAAGTTGAAAACCTGGTGGCTGCCATGAAATGTGATGGTATAGGCCTGTAAAACCAGCATGTGGGAGCTGAGGTAGGAGGATCTGGAGTTCCAGGCTAGCCTGGACTGTAGGAGAAACCCTGTCTCAAAAAACAAAACAAAACAAAACCCAAAAACCACACATGAAGTTAATAAAGCATAAAATAGATGTAATTGTTGACATGACAGAAGGAGTCTTTCTTGTAAACTAGGTTCATCACTGGAGTCTGTGAAAGTGGCACCCTGAGCATGGCAAGTCATTTTTTACACAATAAACTACTCCATAAAAATGGAGGACAAGCCGGGCACCAGTGGCTCATGCCTATAATCCTAGCCACTCAGGAGGTAGAGATCAGGAGGATCGAGGTTCAAAGCCAGCACAGGCAAATAGTTCTTGAGACCCTATTTGGAAAAAACCCAACATAAAAAAAGAGCTGGTGGAATGGCTCAAGGTGTAGACCTTGAGTTTAAACCCCAGTACCACAAAAAAAAAAAAAAAAAAAAGGACAAACCAGTGAGTATTTCCAATTAAGCCTCCAACACAATAGCTGCTGGTTCTGGTGTAGAATCCAGTTTTGGTTGGATGTAAGTGAACAGAGCATTAGGGTGATTCACAGGTCTGCTCACATTCCAGGATTGCATCAAGTGTAGAAGGTGAAGTTCATTTCCTTTAGCAGAGGCTCACCATGGCTCTTCGTTCCCAAAATGTGTGTGTGTGTGTGTGTGTGTGTGTGTGTGTGCGCGCGCGTGCATATGCATAGAATCCCAGCCATCTAGTGGAGCAAGGATTGAGTTTTCTTGCTGCTCAGTGGATAGAATATTCTGATGAGGTCATATGGTAAACTGAGACAGGTGGGAGATTCTGGTAAACTAAGCTGACTTGGTGGCAGTGGGGATTTATCAACCAGTAGGAATGGGGAACCAACAGTCTGAGGTTAGTTCCTTGGTGTCTGTGTGACCATGAGCAAGTCACTTGGCCTCTAATCTGTGACATAGAAAGGAGCGAGTCACAGAGGCTATGATATTATGGTGAGGCTTCTCTTGAGAGTGTCCCCAGTATGTCATCTCCTGTTCCAAGTCTGCTTGAGGGTACAGGAGCTTCAGGTTCTGTCTGGGGAACTGTGAGGGCCCAGAGAGTCTCCCTCTGTTACCCCTGCCCAAAGAAACCAGGGCTTAAGAGGGAACCATGCCTCCACTGGCGCTGCAACTAAAATCTGTGCTCTGGTAATGACCAGAGCTAGGGAAGTGGGGATGGGGTCTCTCTAGTGCAGAACTGCCTGGGAATCTAGCAGTCCAGAATTCCTGGACTTAGGAATTCCCTGGGCACTAAAGAAAAAGTATAAACCAGGCACCTGTAGCTCACATGTGTAATCCTAGCTACTTGGGAGGCTGAGATGGGGTGGGTCATGGTTCAAGGCCAGTTGGGAAAATAGTTCACAAGACCCCATCTCCAAAATAACCAGAGTGGAGGTACGGTTCAAGCAGTAGAGTGTCTGCTAGTTCCACCAAAAAAAAAAAAAAAAAAGAAGAAGGAAAAGGAAAACAGTAGAAGGGCTGAAGGGCTGGCAGTTTTGTCCAAGTGTCAGAGCACCTGCCTAGTGAGCACAAGGCCATGAGTTCAAAAGTAAACAGTGTAGACGCAGTTGGGAGCTTTGCAACCCAGACAGGACTGGGAACGGGCCCAGGACAAGAAGCTTGAAGAGGGTCCTCAGAAGTCCTATTGCTAGAGATTATATCCTCAGCAACCAGGGATTCTGGGTGCTGTGTGGGCCTGCCCCTCCACACCAGCACAAATCACCTCTTCTCTCCTTTTTATTTTTTTCCTGTCACCTCCCCTTCAGGGGACGATATACCCAGTCCTTGCCTTTCCCCTCAGCAGTGCTGGATCCAGAGGCCAAGGGGTAACAGTGGGTCAAGGCCTCCACCTCCCGGGTCAGTTCCTGAAGCCGCCTCCTCACATCCCGGGCATCATAAGCTATTCGGCCTGAGGAGCAGCGCTGGGTGACTTCAGGGACAATTGCGGGGCCCAGGAAGGGTGGTGGGGCAGGCTGGGACTCTGATTCCTCTGTCTCAGCACCTGCCCGCATCCCCACCCCATTATTCTTCTGGCTCAGAGCCTCTGGGCTGGGAGGTGGGGGGTTCACGGTATATACATAGGCCTCGAAGGCCCAGATCCGACCGGATATCTGTTTTGAGGGGCCTTCCCTCCACTGTTGGCTGGAAGCGGATGGTTTGGGGAGGTGGCTCCAGAGCATCCTGAGCCCAGGATTCCCAGATCTCCTGGGCGGGTTGGAAGCCTTCCCAAGCCTTGGGGCCATCCCACTGGTGAGAGCAGATCTCTGGCTGTTTTGGGGGCTTCTCATCATCACTGTCAGGGTCCCAAGCTACTGGATGGTGGGGATGGCGTGATGGAGAGGTTCGATGGTGCCGATGCCGACGAGTGGGTGGGGGTGTCACGGTCATCTTCACAGGGTCCACGGTGCATCGAAGATGGACTGAAGGGTAGTTCTGCTTCCTCAAGGAATGGGTCTGCTTCCCAGGTGAGGATAACTTAGCTGTTTCTGTGGATGGGGAGAAGTGAGACTGGTCGAAAGACCAGTTTATACAGGGAGGGGAAGCAGGGCACCACTATAGTATATGAGAGGGGAAAGTGGCAAGGGGCAGCTTACAGTGGAGGCAGAGGGGGGGATTGGGGCAGGGCTAGATTGCTTGGTTTCTGCCCCACCTATGCCCTAATCTCCTAATCCCCAGTCCTGCTTACCTTTTTCACAAATGATATGGAATATTCTGTGTAAGACGACACGAAGCCGGCTCCAGAGCTAGGGGTGGTAAGACATGGTGATCCTAGGCAGATCCTTGCTGCCAGGCCCGCACCCCAGCCATCCCACCAGCACCCTCCCACCTAGCCTTGCCCTGACCAGGGTCACCACATTGATGCCAATGTTAACACAGATGATGAGACCCAATAGCAACAGGATGGAGTTGCCCATATCCTGGCAGTTGTTGGTGTTGGGGTTTTGGTATGAGGCCCACCCAGGCCGTGGCCTCTCAGCCATGGCCATGGCGGTCCCTAGGGCCACCAGGGCCCTTAGGCCCCCAGCCCACTGTGCCCACAGTGTCCACTGGCTTGCCTATCTGACCCAGAGGGCCCTGAGGGTGAGCGGGTCACAATGATGCTGGGGCTTTTCCCTCACAATGTGAGGCTACTCTCAAAGACCTGGGCCCAGCCAGGATTGACTTCCAGCCTGAGCCCAGGCCTCAGCAGGGCCAGACCCTCCATCTTGCATGCCTCTTTTGCATTCAGCATCCTGGACCAGTCCACTAGCCCTTTGGCCTGTTTGCCGTTGGTCCCCACCAGTCCCCACCCTTCCTGGAACTACACCAGTCTCTGCACAGACCCAGGTTCTGAGTTTTTGGGACTGGAGGTGTGGCTCAAGTGGTGGAGAGCCTGCTTTGTTAATGCAAAGCTTTGAGTTCAAACCCCAGTCCCACCAAAAACAAACAACAAAACTGAATTTTTGGGTTTTTTGAGACAGTCTCACTATGTAGCCCAGGCTGGCCTAAAACTCATGATCTTCCTGCCTCAGCCTCCTGAGTGCTGGAATTACAAACACGTGTGGCCATCCAGGACCCTGATCTTAATTTACCAATCTCATTACCATGGAAACTTAGCACCAGCACCCACTCCCCCCTCATCTCAGGCCTATTCACTGAAAAAGGGCTATAGCCCACCCTCCGACCTTCTCACATAACAGCAGACACACCAACAGTTAAACTTTTGTATTTACAATATTCTCTTCATCTTTTGCCAGGTTTAAAAATGTATACAGAGCCGCAAAGGGTTGGGTTGGAGACATGGGATCATCAGGGAATTGTTCTGGAGGGGCTGGGCATTGGAGTCCGTGGCTGTATCTTGGGGTCCCCCAGCCCCCTCCCATGCCCCAGTTCTGGGGTTATCTGCCTACAGGGCTCAGGGCCCAAGTAGCTAGCATTTGGAGGGCATGGCTGTTCCAAGAAGAGCTAGACCAGGCAGGGGGAAACGGCCAGGAAAAAACTACATTTTCATGGGTGGAGGTGGGAGAAGGGACAGTCAAAAGGCAAAGTTCTGGGGCTCAAGACCAAGGTTTCTGGACCTGGGTGTCAGTGGAAGACAGCACCCCACCCCTACTAGTTTGGCACTAGTATCTCACAGAAAGCCACACAGCACATGAGGATTCATTTGTTCCTCCACCACTGATATCCCTTAAAACCCTTCCTGACACTCTTTTCCCCAGAGGCCCAAGCCCAAGGACCACTGGACAACTGTCTCCACATTTCTTTTCAAAATCTTCCTGGTGGTGCCTGCCCCAGCCCTGTCTCCCACAGCCCCCTCCATCTGTTCTTCAGTGCAGCTGACCTCATTCTCCACGAAACCTTTCTCCTTGGTCCCTCCCCCAGCTCCCTCCACTGCTCCTTTCCTTTGGCCCTAGCAGCCAGGAAGGGTAGGCAGGTCAAAGAAGATGAGGAGAGTAGGCTGATCTGACCCCGCAAGGGTCAGCTTCAAAGCAGGAGACAGGGATGGAGAATGGGGAAATGAGGCAGAGAGGGATGACACAGGGACAAAACACAGGCAGGGGTCCCCTTAGCTTCCATATCCCTCTGTCCTATATTCCACCTGCCCTGGCCTAGGACTGGGGGATCCTTGGCACATTTTGAAGGTCTTCCCTCCCCGAAACCCATCTACCCAGTTTGGCACGGATGAGCAATGATCTGAGGACTGAGGGAAAGGCTCAGGCCCCGTGAGGGCTTTGGTCAAACATGCATGGCCTCTCTGGGTGGCACATGCCATGCCCCTCTTCCTCCCATCCCATCCCATCCCATCCCCCAACTCAGCATCTCAGGGTTTGTACATCCCCTTCAGCTTCTCAACTTGAAGCCTTATTCCCACCTGCTGTGTGAAGAGGAACTGAGTGCTGGCCCTGAGGCATGGGGGATGCAGGGAGGTGCTGGGGAGAGAGGGACCCTCTGCCTGGGAAACACACATCCACATGCAAGAACATGTTTCCACTGAGTGAAATGTGTCCTGGACAGTGGGAAATAAGTTTCCAGGCAGCACCAGGATGCACAGATCTCCCTTCCCCCTGGCAGGAAATCTGTGTCTGTCTTCTGGAAGGCGAGGGCCTTCCTGGGAGAACGTGCTTCATCTGTTCTGTGCCATGGGGGAGAAACATGCTTTGCAGGGCCAGGGAGCAGAGGGGAGGCAGGGGGCCTATGATTTCCTTGCTGCTCCCCAGATAGCACTGCGTGTTGTCTGGTGGTCAAGGGTCACTCTATGTGAACACATCACTTCCAGGGTCTCCAGGGGAGTGGGAGAGGGAGGAAGGGGGTGGGGAGAAGGTATGAGGGAACAGGATTCTGGGGTACAAATCCCCACAGAAATTCTTTGAAGGGGCCAACATGTGTCCAGGGCGGCAAAAAAAACCTCACCCTGCACATGGGAAAACACCCCCTCATGAGGAAAGCACGCCTCCACGTGGGAAAAGACTTCCACATTTCCACACACCGAAGACTGGTGTCCCAATGGAGGGCAAAAAACACCCCCCAGGTGTTCAAAGGCCCAGGTCCAGAGAAGAGAATGGGTCTCTCTGTATGGGAAAAACACGCATCCCAGTGAGGAATCCCATGTCCACCTTAATGCTGCTCGATGCCATGTGACAACTCCACAGGAGAAAAGCCTGTTGCCAAGTCCTCCTCCCTGCCTTTGGAGTGGCCCGGGCTGGGGAGGGCTGGGGAGGAGGACCTCCCCTAGCGGCCCCCTATACCCGAGTGGTGGAGTGGGGATGGGGTAGCGTGTTGTTGTGGCTAGTAGCGGCAGGGGGAGGTGGGGGGAAGGGCCCAAAGGGATGGAGAGAAGGGGGCGGCGGTGGTGGTGGTGGCCCCAGGCCACTGGGCAGCAGGGTTAGGGCTCCGGGGGCCAAGAGAGGCACATCGTCCGGTGCCCGGCGCAGGGCCAGGGTGTAGTCGGGTGGGCAGGCAGGGCGCAGTGCTTCAGCAGGGTCCGCCCCAACGCCGCCACCCCGCTTTAACTGCAGTGACACCAGCTCCTCCTCTGGGGGCAGCTCACGGCCAGCTGCAGGGAGCAGGGGGCCCCCACCAGGCACACCTGAGCCTGAGCCTCCAGGCGGGCTAAGCCGCCTGCATCGCAGCTCCTGCCTCCGGTCTCGCTTGTAGTAGAGGGCAGCAAAGGCAAGGATGTTGAGGAAGAGGAGGGAGGCACCCACAGCCACAGTGACGCTTAGCTCCGTGGAGTAGTCCCGCGAGTCCCCAGGGAAGCGGTCATAGGCTCTTGGGCCTGGCTCAGGCTCAGGCTCAGGTGGCAGGGTGACGGGTGGTGGGGGCCGGCGTGTGCCTGGGGCTCCAGGAGGTGGGCGAGGTGGCCAGCGAGTGGCATAGGGAGGCAGGCGTGTGGTGGTAGTGAAGAGCTCAGTGTGCAGGTTGTGTAGGTGGGGCACAAGCTCCAGCCAGAAGGCCACCTTGTTGGCACGGTAGTTGTCACGCACTCGTGGCTTCAAGCCTATGTGCAGGTACTGCTTCTCCTTGCTGTTGAACTTGCTCCATACTACCTCCTCAAAGCGGTTGGGCTTGGTGTGGATGAACTTGGTGTCCTGTGGCACTGGCTGGTTGGGATCACTGTGGACATAGAACAGCAAGGAAAGGAAGAGTGAGGGCGAGGCTCCAAAGGAGGGTGAGGTAGCAGAGGGGAGGGAGAGGACAGAGATTGAAAGAGATGAGGAAAGAGCAAGAAAAGCCAAGAGAAAAAGTCATGGGGGCAGAGAGACAGACATGGATAGGAAGGGACAAAGAAACTGCCAGAGACAGAGCCAGAGAGGTAAAAAGAGATGAAGACAGATTACCAGAGACAGCCAGAGATGAGGACAGAGGGACAGAGATAGATAAAGAGATATCTAGCCAGGCACTGGTGGCTCATGCCTGTAATCCTAGCTACTCAGGAAGCAGAGATCAGGAGGATTGTGGATTGAAGTCAGCCTGGGCAAATAGTCTGCGAGACCCTATCTCGAAAAAACCCTTCACAAAAAAGGGCTGGTGGAGTGGTGGACAGCCAGGGCAAAAGCAGTCAGAGCCAGAGATGGCAAAAAGTAAACAGATCAAAGAGGAAAAGAGAGAGATATCAATAGACTTCAGAAGAGAGGCAGAGCCACAAAGACAGACACAAACCCTTACATACTTAAGACACAGACCAGAGCTGTCAGAAAGGGGCAGAGCACTTGCAGGGGGTGGGGGGTGGGGGGTGGGGGCTGTGGAGGGGATGGTGGTAGGAGACAAGGGAGAAAGGAGACAAGCTAAAGTCACAGAAGGAGCCCACCAGAAAGGACAGGGGTCTAACTCTGCTGAATCTCCCCAACCCTCAGTGCCTAGTACAGAGAAGGTGTTCAGCAGTGTCTGAGTTGTTCTCACTACAGCCAGGGAAGGCAAGAACCAGTGTCTTCTGGAGGAATGATGGCTGTGTGAAGGAAGGTGGGGGAGAGAGGGCCAGTAGAAGATGGAGAGGGTGCCTCAGTTTGCAGGGATGTCCCACCCGGCCCCACCAGTCCCTCTGGCCCTCACCCAGTCTTGGCGAAGTTCGTCCAGTAGGTCATGACCACTGCGCTTAGCATGACATCATTCTTGGAGAAGTTGCAGGGGAAGAGGTCAGTGGCGCCCACCATAGGCACACCAAATACATAGGGCAGTTCATCCCCATGCGCTGCATCTGCCCACTCTGGCCGGCCCTCGGCCTGGCAGTGGTGGTAGAAGGTGTAAAAGTAGACAGGGGACTGGTAGTCAGCATGCAGCTTGGCGGTGGCCACAGCTGGGGCCACCCACTGGTGGTCAGTAAAGAGCGCCAGAAGGGTCTTCCGCCGCATCTCGCCATTGTCCCGGTCAGCCCAGTCTGTATACATGAACTTGATGGTCTCCCGCAGCACATCCTTGCCCTCTGGGTAGCCATATAAGTTGTCCACAAAGTTGGAAACAGTGAAGTCGAAGGCGCTGGCAGACACACCATCCTCACTCTCCGCAGAGTCCTCCACGAACTTGAGGCCCTCTCCTTGGTTGACACCAATGAGCATGTCATAGTTGAGGAATTCTCCCTGCTGCATGAGGATCTCAGGATCATCAGGGACCACATCGCCGTCCACCACGGGCCCGAAGGCGATGTGGTAGCTGGGGAGAAGGGGCAGCATGTTGTCACCTCTGCTTGTGGGCCTCTTCTGGGCCCATGGCCCACTAAGCCCAACATGCAGGTGCCTCCTGCTGCCCAGAAGACCTTTCTCCCCTACATGAAGAGCTCCCACAATCCTTCAGGGAATATGGCCTCTCTGAAAGTCTTCCTGAAGCCTTTCATGACACCCTGTGTTCGCTTGCTCTATTTGGTCATCTGCACTGAGGGAAGGCTGCTAAGAGAAAGCCACTAGAGGGGCCTGAAGCCCACCTCTCCTTGCCCAGTGGAGTACACACAGGCCAGTAACGTCCTGGACCCAGCCCTCTGCCACCCCCATACCGGGCGGGCTGCACATCCTGGTCCACCAGCTCCCGGGAAGGCTTCCTGCGTAGACACTCCACGGCTTCGGCGCTGTCCTCCCGGTCACAGCCCACCTTGGCTGCCAGAAGCCGCGTGTACTTGAGCGGCTGGTAGTTGACAGACCAGCTGGAAATGGCAGTGCCACTCTGGGCAATGGCCTTCTGGAACAGCCCTGGTGGAAAGGCAGATTTCAGGCTAAGCTGAGAGTATCAGCCAGTGGGAAAAGGGAAACTTAGTAGGATCAGGGCTGGGGGGAAATTAAGACAAGTTGGGGAGGCTGCTGGTACCTTCTGAATGGTGGGAGAGGATCAGCAGGTTGACACAGGAAGCCCCTGCCCCGGATCCAAAGATGGTGATTCGCTCGGGGTCACCCCCAAAGTGGGCAATGTTCTCCCTGAGCCAGCGCAGGGCCTGGATCTGATCCAGGAGCCCATAGTTGCCTTTTGCAGCCTGGTCCCCAGTACTGAGAAAACCTGTAGGGAGAAGAAGGGGAGGTGTCACAGCATCCTTGCCCGCTTTTTGGGCAGTTTAGTCCAGTCTAGAAACCATTCTGCTGGGTTTAGAGTAACTCGGCCCACCAGGTCTGTCTCCCAGATCCCACCCCCCAAAGTTGGCTGCCCACCCTCACCGAGCACCCCAAGACGGTAGTTGAGCGTGGCTACGATGACGTTGCCATAGGCGGCCAGGACTGAGCCATCAAACATGTTCCCGGTGCCCTCCATGTAGGAACCGCCATGTAGAAACAGCATCACAGGCTTCTTCCCGGAGTCCCGGATATCTGCGTGGGGAGAGGGTGGCAGGTGGGCCAGGAGATTGGGGATAATGACACAGTCAGACCAGAAGCAGCACCATAGAGCTCCCAGGCCTGCTGAGGATTAGACTGGAGCTCAGGGAATTTGTCACTCCCATCCCTGGGGGGCAAGACCGGATTCCCCCTCCTCCCTCCCCAGCTAGCCTGGAGGAAGGTCCCTCCTCACCCCAGACCAGCATGTCTTCAACCACCTCACCAAATGCCAGGCAGACCTCCCAAGCAGCCCCACAGAGACCAGGGTGGGAAGTAACCCTCTTCAGGGCATCTGCTAGAGCCAGGGACCCCTCCACACACACAGGAAACCTCTCTCCTGCTCGTGGGAAGAGCACCCTGAGGCTGGAGCTAGGGCTGGAGGTGGTGGGAGGGTCCTGGCGTATTCTCAGACTCAGGCTTGGGCCTTGGCTCCACATGGCACCCTAGTCTGTGGGTGAAGGGTGCCAGGCCCTAGGGTCCCTGGGGCTTGGTCTCTTCCCCGCCCTAATTCCTTTCTAGGTCACCTCCCCAGTTTCCATGGCAACCCCCAGCCTAATTCCTGTGGCAGGAGGAGGCAAGGTGGGAAAAAGCCTACCTAATGAATAGGGTGCAGCTCTGAGTCTTGGACTGGCCTGAGCTCTGGTTCCTGCACTGGACCCCTCTTGCCACACCCCAAAAAGATCCTTTAATAACTGCCATATACAGTAGGCCCTTGAGACTCTGGACCTGACTGATGGATGATAAATTCCCAAAGAGGTTCGGAGTCTGAGAGGCTTGCCAGGGTCTCTAAGGCTACTGTCCCCTTCAATGGTGCTCCCCCATGATTCAGTCACAGTGCCACGGCTGGAGTCACCTGGCCTTTTCCTGACATCTGTCACTTGCCCAGATGCTCAGAAACAAGAACCAGGCTGAGCCCCCACAGCTGGTTCTCAGTACCTTGGCCACCTCCCTCATCCTGTTAGAAACTGTCTTCTGCCAGAAGGTCACAAGGACATGCTCTTTGACACTGCCCTGCCAGCTTCCAGCCTCCTGATTCTTAGGCCTTCTCTGTAGCCTCCTGACTTTCTTCAGCCAGAGCTCCCAAGTGGGTAGCTTCCTCACTGTCCTTCGCAAATCTTGTTCTTCCCTTCATTCCTGACTTTGCAGCAGTTTCAGGCCGGACTTTCCTTCCCTCCAAGGCCCTGTGCTAAATGTCTTTGGTTTCTCTCCCACCCTCCCCCCACCCCTCTCCCAGTGTGTGGGGAGGGGAGTCAGAAAGGGAAGGTAGCAGGAATGGGGCTGGGGCAACAAGAATTCAAAACCAACAACAAAAACAGGATCAAGAAAGAAGAAAGAAAGAAAGAAAAAACAACAACCAAAAAGCAAGAAGCTCTCGGGGCAGATTCAACAAGAAAAGAAAAAACAAAAAGCTCCATTTTGGAAAAAAAGAAAAAAAAGAAAAAAATTCTTTGCATTTTTTTTTTTTTCAAAATTTTGTGGTGAAACTTCAAGATATTGGGCCCTGTTTTCAAAAATTTCCAAATTACTTGATTTAATTCGAATGTTTGCATTTTCTGTGTTGACAGGCTTTTGGAAATTGTAACAGGTTTCTGATGTTTCAATTGTGTCATCAATTTGCCAGCTTTGAACTTTTTTTCAAATATGGTTTTGCTCCAAATTAAAAATTTCTTTTTTCAAATGATACATTTCATGTTTCAAAACAGTCCAAATTTCTTTCAGACGCTAAACATTTTATCCAATTCTTTGGGGTTTTTTTCTGACAGTCCAATTTCTTTTCTTTGTTTTTACTTATTTTCACAATGGTTAACTTTTCTTGTAGGTTATCTAGTGGGTCCAACATTGTTCAAATTTTGTTTGAAGTTTTCATAATTCTTTTTTCCAATTATTAACAATTTTTCTTTTCTTTTCTTTTTCGATTTTTAGTTGGGAGAACGAATGAGGGGCCTTGAGGGCTTTGGGGCATTTAGTTAGGGGCAGGGCCATGAACTCCTCTTATAAGCAATCACATGCAGCAGCGGGATTTTTAAATCTACCTGTGTCTGGCGGATTGAGCGTCGCCTCGTCACGTTTTTTTGTGAGCGGACCTAAGACCGGGAACACAAAACAGAGAAAAAAGGACAATTTTGTGGGGAAAGATGGGGGTCAGGGGAGGTGGTGGATGGGGAGGGGAGGAGAGAAAGCAGAAAAGGGGAGGGTGGGGAGAGGCAGAAAAAATAAGCCAAAAAAAGCAAAATTTGTTTGCAAGAAAAAGAAACCAAGAAAAGAGAAAACGCTTCTACAACCCAATTTTGTTCCCCTCCCCGGAAAAAGTCATGCCCCAAAGAAAAGGCGGGTTTTGGGGGATGGGGTGCCTGAGTGGGCTGAGGCCTGTCTTAAGACATATTGACTTGGCTGGAAAGGATTTGGCTTGTTGGTGTGTTTGCTAGTTGCTGGAAATGAAACATGTTAGAGGTGGGGTGGGGGAGGGGGAGGGGAAGCCCCTGGGAGACCAAGGCTGGCTTGCCACCTAGGCCACCTCTCAGGAATGCCTCCTTCAGAGCCAGCCAAGTGTTGCCTGCTGCCCCACCCAGGTTGTAGAGGGAGGCTGTGCAGAAAGGACTGTTTCTCTCTGGACCAATCTGGAAGGCAGAGGATAGGATGGGGCTGGGGGCAACCCCAGAAGCCCTCTGCTCCCCATTGAAGGGCTATGGGTAGGTCAGCTAGGGCTGTCCACCTACCCACCTACCAGCCTTACCCACCAATATTTCTCTTTCATCCATACTCACAGGCCTGGCTTCTCACCCCAGCTCCCCAATGTGGGCAAAGCAGGGAAAGGGGTCATCAGGTCTTGCCCTCCACTCCAATTCATACCTCCATATTCCCGCCAACCTCATCCCTTACCCAGGATTCATCTCCTTCCCCCAAAAATTGTGATTTTCCCACCAGCGCCGTCCCCAGCTCCATTGCCAAAGAGTCCTCCTCCCCTCTTGGGAGTCTGCAAATAGGGAACAGGAAATACAGTGCCCTGGGCCAGTCTGACATGTAAGGTACAGTACAGACTGGCAGGCACAAAGTGTTCCCAGTATCAGTGAAAGGCTCCAGACTGGGCCCGGGCTTCTTTCAGATCAGAGGAGAACTAGAACTCAGAGACCTCAAGGAGTTCTCAGACTGACTGGTTTTTCTTCAATGGCTGGAGGAGGGATGGGTCAGCAAGGCCCAGGACAGCTCTGGAAGACTTCTCCTAACTGGCAATGATGGCCCCATAGGGACCACTTGGGAACAGGCCTTCCTTTTGAGAAGGTCTGATGGGGATGAAGTCAGCAGGGTATGCAAGCTTGTGAGAAATGGAAGAGTGTGTGAGTATGTGTGTGTGTGTGTGTGTGTGTGTGTGTGTGCATGCGCCCCTGAGTCAACCTCTTCCTACTAGAACTAGTGTGAAGGTTCCGTGAGATCACCTGAATGTGTCAGACCCCAATGGTCTGACACAATGGTTAAAAGTACAGAAAGTGTGGGGGTAGGGGACAGACAATTTGTGTGGAGGTGTTGAAGTGGAAAGTTCAGTGGTAAGAAGAACTGGGTGTTTCAGCCCCCAGGACAAGGACATAGGGTAGATGGCCTATGTGAATAAATGGAGTGTCCAAGAGTGCAGTTGAGATGAGATAGAGTCTCTGTGGAGGTACTGAGGTGAGGGACTCGCAGGTAGGAGGGCACTGGAATAGGTGGTCTATGAGGGATGTGAGTAGATGGCACTCTTGTGGAGGGTGTTGACAAACTGGAGAGGATGTGTGGAGTGTGCTGGGATAAATGGTCTAAGGAGATTAGAGTGTTTAGAATTTGGATGGGATTAGAGTAGATGATGTTTCCATGCACTGTGTGTACAAGTTGTCAGGAGATGTGATTTACACAAGGAGATGGAAGTTAAGGTGCCTGGCTGGAATGAGGGGCATAGGATGCGCAGTCTATATGGGAGGTATAAGGAATGGATGTAGGCGGGTTGAGGGTCATGAGTCATTCTGTGATCAGCATAGAGGATTCTGGGTGCAAAATGCTGGAGTACTTGATCTGTCAATAGGGTGTGCTGTCACCACCTGAGGTACCTTTGGTGCAAATGATCTCCAGGTAGGCGCCAGGGTAAACAAAGTGTGAGAAGTGGTGAGGGTGTTGGGTACTGTGGTGAGTGGCCTGCTGGAGTACACAGTCCATGAGCAGGATTCTGGAAGTTAAAAGCACATGATCAATATCCAGGGATTCTGCGGAATTTGGGCCTGTGCTGAGTGATGGAGTACCCTTTCAGGGGCATATTGGGCATATTTAATCTTGAGATGGTGGGAACTGTGACTTGTGGGTATGGGAGCACATGGTTGGTGTACAGGTTGGCTGGGAACACGATCTGTGTTGAGTAGTTGAGACTCATTCCATTGTAAGACTAGAGTATATAATGTGGGAGTGTTGGGGTACATTAGGGGTTCCTGGGTACCAAGCCTGTATGTAGGGTTGTTGGAAACATGGACTGGGGTGAGGATGCAGCAGTGGACTGGCTCTGTGGAGGTGTTGGCATGTTTTGGAGTGGTGAGATGGTGAGTCAGAAGAGTAATGTGGAGGCTGTTGGTGAGTATGGTTTTTTGGGTGGCTGGAATCTGTTGTAGATAGCTGGAAGGTGTTCCGGTTAATCTTGGTGTATGGAAGGCTGGTGTATGGAAGCCTGTGCTGGGGCTATGGAGCAATCCTGTAGTGGGCCAGGAGTTCATTAATAAGAAGAGCAGCTTAGAGTCCCAGGGAGGATGTTCTTCTGATGGGGAAGGGTTGACTGTGCTGCTGTGCTGTGGGTAGAGAGGCCCTTGGCAAGAAGCTTCCCTGATTTTCAGGGATGTATAGGATTTCTGAATTGGTGATAAAAATCCTCAGAAGAGGATGAGTACCAAGGTACTGAGCTCAGGTGAAGGGCTCTGGGGGCCACATGGAAGTCGGCCCAGGTTGGCCTGGGGGCAGAGAGCCTAATCCTTAAGCTGTGGACATAGCTAAAGTCCAGGCCCACAGGCAGGAGGTGGGACAAAGCTGGAGCATCTGTGCAGGTGATGGAGTCATCACCTCAACACCCAGTGGTCAAAGAAATTAAGCGGCTGACTGTGTACCTCTTTGAAAAAAGGGCGGATGAGTCTAGCCTAGTGCTCCTGGCACAACCGGCAGGTACCCCTTACCGTCCTCAGAGTATATGTAGATGCTGAAGGGACATACTGCCCCTCACTTCCCCCACCGAGGCCCAGATCAGGGACCAGGTCCAGCGCCTGAGGGTCTGCGTGTGCGTTTGTGGGCTTCGTCCACAGAGTACCCAGCCTTGTGCCAGCGCCCTTACCGTCCTCGGTGGGCACGTAGAGGTTGAGGTACAGGCAGTCCTCGCTCTGGTTCTGCACGTAGGTGGCGGCTGCCTCCAAGTTGTCGGTGAACCATACAGGCAGCATGATGGCCGGGAGGGCCCCGTGCAGGTTCTGCGGGCAGGCGGGCGGCAGGGTGGTGGCGTTGCGCACGCCGGGCCACGAGGCGGGTGCCTCAGGCGGCTGGAAGCGGCGGGCGCCCAGGGGCGGTGTGGCGTAGGGCACGCCCAAGAACTGCACGACTGGGCCCAGGATCTCGTTGTTGAGCTCGCGCCGCACACCGCGCACTCGCCCGTAGGCTGTGTTCACCACTGGGAAGCGCTCCTCTCCTAGGCTGCCGAGGCCCTGGCCTGGGCTGCCCGGGGAGCCTCCTCCAGGACCCCCTCCCCCCCGTTGAGCCCCAGCCAGCCCCACCAGACACAGCGCCAGGAGCCACATGCTGATAGGGGGACCCCCCCTCCCTCCCCGGGACCCCCCCCCTCGGAGAGAGAGAGAAGGGGGGGGAGAGGGAGGGAGGCCCCCCTCGCCCCGGGAGGGAGGAGGGGGCGGGGGGGGGAAAGGAGGAGGAGGAGGGCGAGTTGGGACCTGGGTTAGACGGGACAGAGTAAGGGTCTGTTCCTCTCCATGGAGGGGGAATGGGGTGGGGAGGGGGAAGGAGGCGGGAGAAGGTGCAGGCAGGCCCGACCTGTGGCAGGGACAGGGCGTGCAAGATACAGACAGACAGACAGACAGAAAAATACAGAGAAGTGGAAGAAGGGAAGGGAAATTGGATGGGGCAGACAGAAAGGAGTGGGGAAACAGAAGAGACAAGTGGTTAGTGACTTGGCTTTCAAACCAAGTTGCTCCCCTTCTTCCACCCACAGGCCCCCTGGCAATTACCCCTACCCCCAGCTATCATCCTCCCTTTTGTCATCCTCCCTTTAACAGACACCCACGTTGAGGGTGGGGGTCAGGTGTGCAGGACAGAGTCAGAGAAGAGGGTGAGCTCCAGAAACCCAGTGTGCCCTCCCCTTTAAGTTTTTTATTCATTTTTGTGGTGCTGGGGGATTGAACCCAGGGCCTTGTTCATCCTAGCCTTTCCAGTCTCTTTATACCTCCCAAGTAGGATCTCCCCAGGGACTTAGGAGTCCCAGTCCCCACCTCCCTGGGAGGGAATGAGAGAGACAAGGAAGAAAAAAATAAAAATACCAAAATACCAAGTCATTAATTAGCAGGAAGTGGCAGGTTTGTTTATACGTGTTAATTATTTCTCAGCTGTAATTTCATGGTGCTGAACCCCCCACTCCAGGCCAGGCTGAAGCCTTTCTTTGGACTATACAAACCAGCACCTCCTCTCCCCTTCAGCATACCATTCCCTGAGGATTTATGCCACCTGGGACCCTTTTCTCCCCAGGTCCTTCCATTTCTTCCCTCAGAAGTTGGGGAGCCTAGAGGCAGGGGTGAGAGTAGGGAGGGGATGCTGGAGGGGCAAATGCGGGGACAGATGCGTGATCCTGCAGCCGGTTGCTCAGCGACAGGATGCTGCCCTGCAATGTTACCTCGGCAACGGGCTGCAGCTTTAACCCTGGAAGGGGGGGGTCTGGAGGAAGAGGGGAAGGGGCTGGCTTGGTTGTAGGGTCCATTCAGGGCATGAGGGAGAAAAGAAGGCAGAGGCATGAGTCAGAATGCTAGAGTTCCATCAACCTTAGCATTGAAGAAGAAGTATATATGGTGAGGGAAAGGGGAGTCTGGGGGCATTGAGAACCCTAAAAGATCTGCCTCTTGCTCCCTTCTCTTGTTAGCTAATCAGAGCCTAGTCTAGCCTAGTGATCAGGCTTCTGGCTGGGGAGAACCAGTGCTGAGGTGGGTTTGGGGAGGCAGCAAATCAGCCTACAGACTCTTCCCCTCCCACTGTTTTGAACAGCCTTGAACCCCAGACACCTCTTCCTTGCAGGGCATTTTGACCTACGCCCTGGGGGCAAACCTCAGCTTACTTCTCAACCCATCCCATCCCATCCATTCACCCTCCCCTTCCCTTCTTCCAGTCCTCCCACTGTTGCTGCTTAGGGCAGCAGGGGTAGAAGGGAAGAGATCAGACAGAAGGGGCAGACACCCAGGTCATTTCAGCAACCCCCCCACACACCCCACCAAGCCGCCAGAGCTGTTTGCTGACGCGGGGTTTTCAGAGCCAGGCGCCAGTCCGCGGGTGGCTCTCTGCAGGTGTCAATTTATTCCAGAGATGAGGACACAGGAATCCTTACCACTCTCACCCAATCATGCCCTCCCCCTCTTCAGGTCCTCTTAAACTCCTGTTTGTTCCCACTACCTGGGTGGGGGCTTGGGGTTGACTCCCCCAGAATCTCCTCTTCCTATGCCGGGCTGGGCTCAGCACCATGGCCTTGTGTCCCCTCCCCCTTCCCACAACCTGGCCTGCCTGTCACCCCTTCTCCCTTAGGGTACTTTGGGCCCCTGGCCTCCTCCTCTCCAACCAGCTTTCTCTCCCTTCTTCCCTCCCACTGAGCAATCCCCCCCTCCTCTCCATAGCGCTCCCTGAGCATCTTTCCTTGGCTTCTTCCAGCTTGCTGTAGCTCTTGCTTAGATCTCTTGCTCCTCACTCTTTTTTCATTTCTCTCTTCTGCATCTCTCTCCTTGGTGTTTCTCATCTTTCTCTCTCCTCCAAATACCTTCCCCAATTCTCTCTCTCTCTCCCTCTCTCTCTCCTGTCTTTCCCTATCTCTGTCTTCCCCATTTTCTCTTTCCATCTCCGTCTGCCACATCTCGCTCCCCCTCCTTCTCCTTATCCCTCTGCCTTGCTTTCTCCATTCCAGCCCAGGCCCGACTCCCCAGTAAGGAGAGTTGAGGGATGGGGGCTTAGGCCGCAGCCCCCCCTCCTTCCCGCAGTGGGGAAAATGGTTTGGCCGGGAAGGGGAGAAGGAGGGGGAGGGGGAGATGGGAACACACGGGGTCTGTGGGCCCATTCAAAGGATCATTCATGGACTGGAGAGAGGCAGAGACAAAGAGACCAAGACGCAGAGACACAGAGAGAGCATCCCTAGGCGGAGACACGCAAACGGAGCAGGCAGGGGGAAACCAGGCGCAGGGAGGGAGATAGAGAGAGGGAGACCCCAGCGGACCGCCACGCAGCCCCTTCCACCCAGCCTGGCTTAGCTCCTACCTGGCTCAGCCCTGGGGCCGTGGTGCCTCCATCCAGGGCTCCGAGTAGGGGGCGGACGGGCTTCGAGAGGGGGGCGGCGGCCTCTGAGCCCCCGCGGCCCCGCAGGCCCAGCCCCCGCCCGCAGCGCCTCACCCGGCGGGGGAGGAGGATCGCCCCAGCCCCGGGGGGCGGGGCCGGGATCCAGTCGATCCCCGGGAAAAAAAGAGCTAGGGTATGAGGTCAGGGGGAGCCCAAGAACAGGGAACCCCGCAGTGGGGACGGCAGAGCAAGAAGGGGGCAACGGGACAGGACTGTATTGGAGATCCACTGGCTCCGTGGGCCGACTTCGAGGGACCAGAAGGCGGTCCAGGCGAAGGATCCTAAGGGATCGGGTGCTAGAGGAGGAGTCCACGGCAATCCCCAGGCGCTCGGGGACTCGGAGCGCAGGATCCGCGGTGTAGGGGCAAGGATCCAGCCGGAATCCTCCGAGAGGGGGAGGGATCTAGTCGATCCCGAGGGCGGGCGGGAGGGGGAGGTCCGGGGAATCAGAGGAGGGCGGGAGCAGAGTCCGGAGCCCCAAGAAAGAGGTCGGCGCGGCTCCTAGGAGGGAAGGCGGGGGTTGGGGGAGGCTTCGGGGGACGTTCAGCAGCCAGGAGGCCCGGACTCCTGGCTCCGCGCGCCAGGGCCCGCCCGCCCCGCGTCCATCCCAGCCAGAGAGTGATGATCCGCCGGCGGAGCAGCCGCAGCAGCCCCGCGCGTCACCGCGCGGCCGCCTCCCCCGCCCCCTGCCGAGAGAGCGGCGCACACCCCTCGCTCGCACCCGCCTGCCCGCCCGCCCTCCAGAGTGTGGGGGGATTGGAGACGGTGAAGGAGGGGAGTGGACAGACGGACGGATGGACGTAGCCTGCCAGGGCAGGGTGGAGACATTCCCCCGGATCTCCCACCCTCGCAGCTCTCGGGGTCTAGGGAGGGGGAGAAGAACTGAACTATGGTGGGCGGGGCATCATACAAGAAGGCGGAACCTTTGGGCATAGAGGAGGGACCATCTTGAAGTGGGAGGTGCTTAATAGCGGTGGGTGGGGCTTGGGTATCCGTGGGGCCGCCTCTTACTGGGAGTGGGTCTGGTTTGAAGTTGATTGGGAGGAGCCTGTGGGGAAAGGGGCGGAGTTCTGCGTGGGGACAGGGATCTTTGGAAATTAGCAGGAAGTCGGGGGGGTGGATCAAAAAGGCGATCAACTTGGAAAGTGGGCCAATCCGTGACGCAAATCCTCTAGTCCCGCCCTCGACCCCGCCCCCCCACTGCTCCGCTCCTCTGCTCCTAATTGGTTCTGGTTTCTCCGCCCGCCAGACGTCTTCGCCACTCAGCAGCTGTTTTACAAAGGCACAAGTACGTGGATGAAGACCTGGGCGCTGAAGTGAGCACAGCTCTGATTGGGGATCTCGGGAAGCTTATTCGCATGGGCGATCAGAATTGGCTGGTTTCTTGGGCGGCCTGGGCGGTGTTCCTTCCGCGTGTGACCGCTTACAGCTATGGCCGGGCTAGGTCTGCTTTTCGCCGCCTTGGTGCCTTGTCTGGAGCTGGGGCCTTGGCTTTGGCCTCCTACGGGGCGCACGGTCAGGGGACTGGGGACGTAACCAGGCTTTGCTGGGGGCGACCTTTGGGTTTGGTGCAAGGGCTGAGCCTATAGGAAATGCCCGGGCTGGCGTAGACTAGACAGCCGCGGAGACCTAAAACCTTATTAAGTCCTTAAGTGGATCCAGTTGCTTCACAGCACTACCTGATGTGTGTTTCCACCAATCGGAAGCTTCCTGAGGGGTGTCCTTTCTCTCCTGGGTTCCCCGGGATTGGGTACCCTAGGGACTGGGTACCCTAGGGACTGGCAGTAGATGTGATAACCTTTGCCTTTCCTCTCCACAGGCGCCCAGTTCCCGGATGCCTACGGAAAGGAGGTGAAGTAACTGTGCTGGGGCTCCCCGACTCCCTGGTTTACAGAAGCACAGTCTGGGAGCCCTGCAAGTGGGAAGTGGGAGCAAAGCCCGGGTCTCTAGAGTAGCAAGGACTGCAAGCCTGTGGCGGGGGTGCCTGAGGGAGCAGCAAGCTGAACTTCAAGGGTGGAGGTGGGGGAAACTGTTATCTCTGTGTCACACGGTATCCCATGCTCCTTCGTTGCTTAGGAAGAGTCTCCTCATGGCTCTCGTCTTTCTTTTTTTTTTAAACAGCTCTTTGACAAGACCAACAAACACCACTTCTTACACAGCCTGGCCCTGTTAGGGGTACCCCATTGCAGAAAGCCTCTCTGGGTAATCTGTGCCCCTGACTAACCCTGACTAAGCCCCCATATACCTTTCAGACAGCTCTGTTTTTACAGAGCTGTATTCTGTCTTGTGTCTCCTTTAGGCCGGGTTGCTGCTAGCCTCTGGAACCACCTTGTTCTGTACCAGCTTTTACTACCAAGCTCTGAGTGGAGATCCTAGCATCCAGACTTTGGGCCCAGTTGGAGGGAGCCTGCTAATCTTAGGCTGGCTTGCCTTGGCTCTTTGAGATCTTTTTTGTTTAGTTATGGGCTTTCTGGGTAATTTTTTAAGAGTTGGACCATTAAAAAAGAAAAACAAATAAAGAAATTTGGAGACTTCGTTTATCTAACATCTAGGAGAAGAAATGGTAGGGATTTAACCTTTGAACTCCTTTTTCCTAAGACTGGGCCTTGCTTCTGGGAATTCTGTTCTTTTCAAGTTAACGTGTTATGTTCTGAAGATGGCAGGCATCAGAATATTTGAAATGCTGCAGATTCCTGTAATCCCAGCACTCAGAAAGGCAGAGGCAGGAGGATTGTGAGTTTGAATCCAACCTGAGCTGCATAGTGAGACTGTCTCAAAGAAAAGAAATTGCAGATTCCTACAGAGATCCTCTATGGCACCTGGGAATCTGTGTTTTAATAAACTCATATAGTTCTGATATTCACTGGAATTTGAAGATTACTGCAGGGTAGCGGTTTTCAACTCTGTTGTTATTCTACAAGTTTGTTGCTTATGTATATACTCAGAAGTGAGGGTTAAGGCAAGGCAGGACAGGATTATCATTAGTTCCAAAATACTTTGGGGTTCAAGACAGAAACAGAACATCATGTGTTAGAGATCAGAAAATGCTTCACAGTGGTGGAGATGATCCTTAAAGGACCTCTGTTGTGGGGAGGTCACTCAGTGAACAGAGAACAAGGTAGGAAGGGGAAAGGATTTGGGAGCAAGTATGAGTCTTCACTATGGGCTAACTTTCTAAGCTAGGCAGGAAAGGAGAAAAAGTGGCAAGACAGGCTAGAGTAGCACAGCTTGGAGAGAACTGGAAGATATTTAGATGGACAGCATTTAGTAACTAATGTTGACTGTGTGACAGACATTCAAGGAGGTCGAACCATGAGCAAGACAGTGTCCTTTCCCTGATGGAGTTTCCCATCTAGTAATGGAAACTGATCTCAAACAGCTAAACACAAAAACATGATTGTGAGTTGCACTATGTGCTTGAAGGAAACAAATAGAACAACTGGATAGTGAAGGATACCTTTCTACCTTACACATACTTTCTTCTTTATTTCTTTTTTTTTTTTGCAGTAATGGGGTTTGAACTCAGGGTCATACTCCACCAGCACTTTTTTTGTGATGAGATAGATTCTCATGAACTATTTGCCTGGCTGGCTTCGAACCACAATCCTCCTGAGTTGCTAGGATTACAGGTGTGAGCCACCAGTACCTGGACTTTACTTCACTTTTTTGCAGTACTGGGGTTTGAACTCAAGGCCTCATGCTTGGTATGCCCGCACTCTACCACTTGAGGCACTCCACCAACCCTGTTTTATGTTAGGTATTTTCGAGATAGGGTCTTGGAAGTGTTTTCCTAGGTTGGCTTCAAATCGGAATCCCCTGATCTCTGCTTCCTGTGTAGCTAGGGTTATAAGTGCCTGGCTTCCACACTCTCTTTCTTTCATTCTCTTCCTTCTTTCCTTCCTTCCTCCCTCCCTCTCTCTCTCTCTTCCTTCCTACCTTCCTTCCTTTGCCTACACCTTGAGTCACTCTGCCAGCGCATATTTGTGATGGGTTTTTTTGGAATAGGGTCTTACAAACTATTTGCCCAGGCTGGCTTAGATCAGAGATCCTCCTGAGTAGCTAGGATTACAGATGTGAGTCACCAGCACCTGACACACACACACTTTACACAGGAAGATGTCACCAAGAAGGTGCTTTGAAGCTGGACTGACCATGGCAAAATGGAGAAATGTAGCCTGACCAGTGACTCAGACCTATAATCCCAGCTCTCAAAAGACAGAGATCACTAGGCCCCAGTGACTCACGCCTGTAATCCTAGCTACTCAGGATGCAAAGATCAGGAAGATCACAGTTTGAAGCCAGCCCAGGCAAATCGTTCTTGAGACCCTACCGAAAATACCTAACACAAAAAAAGACTGGTGGAGTGGCTCAAGGTGTAGGCCCTGAGTTCAAGCCCCAGTGCCACAAAAAAAAAAAAAAAAAAAGGTGGGGGGGTTAAGGTGTGGTGCAAGTGGTAGAATCCTTGCCTGGGCTCTTGAGTCCAAGCCCTAATACTGAAAAATGAAAAAAGAGAGAGAGAGAAGCATATTCTGGGGAGAATACCTGGCAAGATAGGCTGAAAAGAACAGCTCAAAATCCTTGAGGGATTAGAAAATTTGGCAAATTGGAGAAAGATAAAACCAGTGTAGCTGTCATGTGGTGAACAAGGGGTATTGGATGGCTGGTGCAGGCCTTGTTGACAGTGGTAAGTTGCTTAAGCTTTTTTTTTTTTTTCAGTACTGGGGCTTGAACTTGGGGCCTACACCTTGAGCCACTCCACCAGCCCTTTTTGTGAAAGGTTTTTTCAAGATAAGATCTCGGAAACTATTTGCCTGGGCTGGCTTCGAACTTCAATCCTCCTGATCTCTGCCTCCTGAGTAGCTAGGATTACAGGTGTGAGCCACTGGTGCCTGGCCAAGCCCAGAATTTCTATATTCTACCCTACTCTCTGCTGAGTTGCAGACTCCTAGACAGCTTTTAAGGCAGTCCTGAGCAAGAGAGTAGAAATACTGGTGCTGGGCATGGAGGTTCACACCGGGAGGTAGAGGCAGGACGATCTTGACTTCAAGGGCAGGCTGGGCTAGACTGGGCAACATAGTGAGTTAGAGGCTAGCCTCAATTATATAGTGAGACCCTATCTCAAAACAAAAGGCATAAATAAATAGATTTCTGGTGTCTGGTTTGAAAATTGTGAGAGGGTCAGCAGTGAGAGATGAGAACAGAAAAGCCAAATGGTGGAATCTCTCCTAAGTGCAGTGAAGAGCCACTAGAGCATTTACTTCTAGAAAGGTAGCATGAGTTGTAGTATGTTAGTAGAGGATCCCAGGCTGGTTTAAAACTTGATATCTAGCCAGGCGCTGGTGGCTCATGCCTGTAATCCTAGCTACTCAGGATGCAGAGATCAGGAGGATCATGGTTCCAAGCCAGCCCAGGCAAATAGTTTGAGAAATCCTATCTTGAAAATACCCATCACAAAAAGGGCTGGTGGAGTGGCTCAAAGTGCAGGCCCTGATTTCAAGTCCCAGTACCAAAACAAAACAAAAAACCTTGATATCTTCCTGCTTTAGTCTCACAAGAGCTGGAATTATAAGCATGAAGCACCATGCTCAGTTTACTCATTTAAGAGTGACCCAAAGGTCAAAGAGTCAACGCTGGATCCCCAGGCTCCTATCTACCAGGCCAGTATCTTGGCATTTCCACTTCTAGGACAGAAGAGGAATGTCCAAATTGAGGAGACTCCAGGTATCTGGAATAGCCTGCTTCCTGTAATGGCACCCCCTAACACTACCTTTGGTCCTGATAGTGGGCTGGGCTCTTGGGGGTCAAATAAGGCTAGATAACTGGTACCTATGATTTGTTGAGTGAAGTGTTTAGGTTAGACTTGGTGTAGCCAGGTGTAGCACAGTGAAAGACACATGGATGAGAATGGTGAAAAGATTATTACAGATCCCAGAGAAGAGGTCAGCACACTTCACAAGATCAACAGGAAGGGGGAAGGTGTCCAAAACACATGCTCAATCAGCAGGTGAGAGCAAGATGGAGGGAGTAATCCGTGAAGCCTTTATTGGGGCCCAAAGCATTACTAAAGCTAAGGTGGGAAACTCAAGGGTTGTGTTACTGGGTTCACCAAGCTCAAAGGAAAAGTAAGATGGTCAAGTGGTTCAGAGTATAAGTCTTACCTACCTAAGACATAAAAATGGGACTTCAGGGAGGCTGCCTTAAAAAATGTAGGTTGGGTATGACAAGCCAAGGACAGGACAAATGAAAGCCAAGAGCTTGGGGTGTGTAGCTCAGTGGCAGAGCACTTGCCTAGCATGTGCAAGGCTTTGAATTCCATCCCCAGCACTACAAAAAAAAAAAAAAAAAAAGGCTGCAACAGCATTAATATGAATGTGTGAATGAGAATTAGGACATCTTCTGAACATTGTGTCAGGTTTTCTTTTTTTTTTTTTTTATTTATGTACAAGGGTTTCTTTTTTTTTTTTTTTCATTTTTCTTTTATTATTCATATGTGCATACAAGGCTCAGGTTTTCTTAACATCCCTACAAGTTAGTGAAAAGGAAGCGACCTGGTAAGCTGTGAGTCAAACTCTAACTCCCAGAGCTAAGTTCTATTCTTCTACAAACCAAGAAATTCAGATTTCAGCAGTGAAGACAGTGATGATCATGTGATAGAATGTGTTCAGTCTTACAAGGAGAAGCTGAGGTGGGGCCTCTTTTGTCTTTGAAGACTGGTAAAACTTTGAGGACTGGTAAGACTTCAGTTCATTTGCTGGATTTTCAGCATGAATAGGAAATCACCAGAAAAAAAGGGAAAAGATCATAGGGGTAACAAGTCAAGAGGGAGAACAGGATATCTGGATCCCAAGATTGGGTGGGCATGCAGGAGATGATCAATTAGAGGTAGAAGGGTCTCCTGAGCCAAGCATGAGTCAACTTCAAGTTATTTTTTTTTCTCACATTCTATCTATGAGCTGTCATCAAGTTGTGTTGGCTCAAGTGCATGTCTAGAATCTGAATATTTATTTTTCTTTCTTTTTCTTTTTTTTTTTTTTGTAGTACTGAGGTTTGAACTTGAGCCACTCCACCAGCCCTTTCTTGTGATAAGTTTTTTCGAGATAGGGTCTCACAAACTTTGCCCTGCCTAGCTTCGAGCCTCCTGAGTAACTAGGATTGTAGTCATGAACCACTGGCGCCCGGCTGGAATCAATATTTCTCACCACCAGCACGGTTATTGCCTTAGCCTCTGGCCCAAGTCACCATCACATCACAGACAGATTTCTTTTTTTTTTTTTCTTTCAGTACTGGGATTTGAACTTAGGGCCTTGCACTTGCTAGGCAGGTGCTCTACCACTTGGGCCATACCACCACTCCTTTTTGCTTTAGCTTTATTTATTTAGTTACTTTAGCTTGAGTTATTTTAGTTATTTAGTCTCGAGCTTTTGTCCAGGCTGACCTGGACCATGATCCTCCATGGATCATGTGTCCCATGTGGCTGAAACCACAGACATGTGACACCAGGCCCAGTTTATTAGTTGAGCTATTTGTCTGGGCTGGCTTCAAACTGCCTCTGCCTCCTGAGTAGCTATGATTATAGCCATGAGCCACTGGCCCAGCAGTTTATTGTTTTTGTTAAACTGTTACATATTCCTATCATGTCAAATGCTGTCTCCAATATAGTAGGTGCTCATTAAACTTTTGTGGGCTAACTGAACCTCCAAATGTTTATGGCTTGGTGGAAGCTTGGTTTTTAGCACTAGGGGATACAGAGAAAGGTCAAGCATTTGGGCCTGGAGCAGATGATGACTGAAACTGTGGAAGGAGCTGAGCAGTCCTGGCAGAGGGAGATGGGACTAGCCTACAGGAACTTGGACCTAGGTTCAGAAGGCCCCCAAACCTGCATCTCCCCATGCTCATCTTGGTGGGTAAGTTGCATCAGCCTGGTTACTGGGTCTTTCTGGACTCATCACCTCCACATATAACCAACCAACGAAGTTCTGTTATTGTCCCAATATCTCTAAAGCGAATTCTCTAAATCATCCTTACCATGGCCTTTTTTCCTGAAGACTACTGTTAACTGCTGAGCTGGGGAAACTCCATGGTTCTTCATATTGTAGTTTGAGGCATCTTTCTTATTTAATTTTTAATTTTAATTTTTGGTTTGAACTCAGGGCTTCAGGCTTGCTAGGCAGGTGCTCTACCATTTGAGCCACTCTGCCAGCCTGAACCATCTTTCTAAAGCGCAAATTTGATCTCTCTAGGTCTTAAAATCTTTCAGTGGGCTCCCTGCTGCCTGTGGGATCCAGTCCCAGGCCCTCAAAGTCCTCTGCATGTGGAGGGCACTGCTCTCTAAGTGCATCTTTTGCTGCACTCAGCAGCAGTCTCCAAGGCTCAGGCCTTCAAACACCTGCGGACCTCCCAGGGCTCAGGATCCAGACCAAGCGACTCACTCTTTGGAGAAGCCTTTTCTGACCAAGCTTCCTCTGTATCTCTGAGCCTCAGCTCACGCACACTCATTAACAGTGTTTGGAGGCCTGTCGCCCGCGTGGCTGGGGGCTCCTGAAGGAAGTAGTGTAATTGGGAGGTGCCTGTGTGGGTGACCTCTGCACCAGAAGAACATAACGAGGTCGCCCAGGGAGGTAGATCCCAGGGCCAGCTCTGGAAGCCAATGAGTGAGTGTGAAGGGTGTTCCGCTGCGTCAGCGAGGCCCGAGTCGCCCTTGGGAGGAGGAGCCCAGGGTCCAGCGCGGCGGTCCATGCTTCCCACCAAGGGACGCTGAGCACTGAGCGCCCGCAGACCTGACGAGGATCGAAGGGCTGGGGCTAACCGGCCACTTTCTCTCGGTGTTCTCTCCCGCCATCTGCAATCAGAGCGGAAGAGGCGGGGACCGCGTCGAAGCCGTGGCACTGTAGGGCCAAAGTCCGCGGCCCCGGGGGAGGAGAAGCGGCCTTCTCTCTGCGCAGCCGCGCCGCCCAGGCTCGGGAGGGGCGTGGACGGGACTGTCGAGGGGGCGGAGTCAGAACCTGAGCCCGCCTCCATCAGCGCCTTCTAGCCGCGGAGTGCGCAGCCCCCAGGTTATTCTGGGGGCTTCAGGTAAGCCGGGGCATAGAGGGGTCAGGGAGACCTCCATCGAGGTTGGGCCGTCGGTCTGACCGCAGGTCCATCTGTCCTGTCGTTCGCTAATAGCCGCCTGTGCGGAGAATGGGAGAACAAAGGGAGGGGGCGGTTCTGGGGCCCCTGAGGGAATTCAGGGTCCCAGGTACTTCGCCCCGCCCGCTGACACTTTCGATTTCTCCCCGAGTCATAGGCGCCGCCCAAGAGACCCTGGGCCGGTGCTGGGCGCAGCTGCCTCTTCGCGTTTGCCTGTCCGTCTTTGTGTCTGTCTGTCTGTCTGGCTGTCTCCTCCGAGCCTGCCTCCACTTCCAGAACTAAGCTGCCCGAACACCGACATCCCGCGAACCCTCACCCCTTTCCCATGGCAGGTAAGTGGGCGCTAGACTGGGGGTGGGGGTCTCCGTTATCCCCTCATGGACTTGGGTGCCAGTTGTCGAACACATCCTCCAGGAATGTGCTCAGACTGGCTGCGTGGGGCCTCCCTTTCTCCCGGGGAGCCACCGCCCTGCTCCCCTGCCCCATCTTTCTCCGCCTCCTCCCACCACATTTCCTGCGAAGCCTCATGGCCCTTGGACAGAGGAGTAAGGGATGAAACCGCGGGTACCTTTTTAATCTACCTCTTCCCCCCTCCCCACACACACACAGGCTACTTGCCCCCCACAGGCTACGCCCCTTCGCCCCCACCTCCCTACCCTGTGACTGCTGGGTACCCGGAGCCTGCGCTGCATCCTGGGCCCGGGCAGGCGACCCTGCCCTCCCAGGTGCCTGCCCCTGCTCCTGGCTTCGCTCTCTTCCCTTCTCCGGGCCCTGTGGCCCCAGGATCTCCTGCTCTCTTCTTGCCGCTGCCAGGGGTGCCTTCTGGCCTCGAATTTCTGGTGCAGGTGAGTAGGAGGGTGATGGTGAGGGAATCTGGGCGTTCAAATTGGACGGTTGATGTCAACGCTGGACCTCCTCTTTCCAGATTGATCAGATCTTGATTCACCAGAAGGCTGAGCGAGTGGAAAGTAAGGAAGAGCTGGTTGGGTCTCTTGACCGGGGATGGTGGGCTTCTGGGCGGGTGAGGCTTCTGAGCCTCAGCGTGTCACCCCTAACAGCGTTCCTAGGCTGGGAGACATGTAACAGATATGAACTGCGCTCGGGTCGGGCAGCCCCTGGGTCAGGCGGCGGAGGAGAGCAACTGCTGTGCCCGTCTGTGCTGTGGCGCTCGCCGACCACTGCGTGTCCGCCTGGCTGACCCTGGCGACCGCGAGGTGCTGCGCTTGCTCCGTCCGCTCCACTGTGGTTGCAGCTGCTGCCCTTGTGGCCTTCAGGAGGTAAGTGGGGTGGGATGGAGAGCCTTGATAGAGAGCCTTGATAAGGTGTGGCTCCGGGGGAAATAAATAGGTGGGTGGGGATGGGAGATTAGTGATGTGGCCCAGAGACTGTGGAGTGATAGAGTCGGGTTCAGTGAGAGCTTGGGCCAGGGTGCCCTGGCTTGGCAGTGAGCGTGTTGTTTCTCACTCCAGATTGAAGTACAGGCTCCACCTGGTACCACTATTGGCCATGTGCTGCAGACCTGGCATCCCTTCCTCCCTAAGTTCTCCATCCAGGATGCTGATCGCCAGACGGTCCTGCGAGTGGTGGGCCCTTGCTGGACCTGTGGCTGTGGCACAGACACCAACTTTGAGGTATCAGAAATAAGGGGAGAACCTGCCCTTCATAAACCAAGATGGCAGCTTTCACCTGGCAGAATAGCTTAACCAAGGTCAAGACCCTGAGCTCATCAGTCCAAACTCATTGTGACTACTACCACATCTCCAGTTTTCTTCCATTCAAAAATGGGACGCTCACAAAAGCATAGCAAAGATTTTATCTTCAAGCTGGGGATGTAGCTCAGTGGTAGAGTGTTTGCCTAGCATGTGTAAGCAAGGCCCTGGGTTCAATCCCCTGGACTAAAAACAAAACAAGATTTCATCTCAGATCCAATGCTGATTGTTACCTACAGCCCTGAATAGGGGGACAAATCTAAGACCAGACTAGGGTGATGGATGATTATATTTCAGTCTACATTCAGTCTTTAAGCTGCCATGGAGTGGGACCTGGTGGCTGTTGTTCATGAGACTGTGAGTCTAGACCCTGAAGCAAGCACTGATTTAACATCCTGGCTTGCCCTGCCAACCCAGAAGTCCAAATAATCTGCCCAACTTGAAGTCTAGGTGATATCCTTCTCCTTGTGCCCTCCTGTCACCAGCCTGCGAGCCTGGAAAACCCAAGTGGAGAGAGTTTCAGATTAAGTCCTGGGAAACAACTTAGTTTCTAGAAGATAAAGGCACTCCACAGATCCCTGAGTTCTTTAAAGCATGATTCTCTGTGCAGATAAAGGAGAAATAACAGGTGTTACTCAGTAGTCTTTCCAGTCTTCTGATGAGGTGCTTTACCTATGGTTACGTGTAAAAATGAGTAACCTTGGTAGTCAGAGGGAGGTTCTATGATAAGAACCAGTTGGGAAGGAGAAAATTGTGTGGTCTCTGGATGGGAATGTGTAAAGTATGGGGTTCTAATAGAACCAGTGTCCTTTTTACACAATTGTGAATGGTCCTACTTGAAGCTGCACTGTTTGGGACTTCAGTGCTAGCTGGGACAGGCCTTGCCCAGCCTGGATCTGGACTGCAGGAAGTATCCCAGAGCTATAGTATAGTGGAGGAAGCAGATGAACAGGACATAGAAGGAAATAGCTTTAATTCTAGTCACCAGAGACTGAACATTAAAAACGGACCAGGAAGTCACTGAGTTACCACCCACTTCAGCAAGGCTTATTGCTGCTGGGCTCAGAGAAGCCAGTGGAAATTCCAGTCCTCTGAAGCTACCTACTGGTGTACTTCCCCACCATCCATAGGCTTGGATCTCCTCTTGAGGCTCACATGCAATGCTAGCAAGATCATTCCCCTACTTTGCAGATTAAAGTTACCCCTTCAGGCAGACACAACCTCTATAGGAGCCTGCTTGGCTGACATAAAGTGCAGCTAGATTTTGGCAGCTTCTTTTGCCTTCTCAGCAAGACTACTATGTGTAGGGCACAGGCTGTGCCAACTGTGGGTTTCAGGGATGCTGGTAACTAAAGCAAACCTTGAAACCAACCATGTACCACTGATGTTCAGTTATGTCATGCATGGCCTTTGGAGAGCACCAGATCTAAGTCTGAATCCTAACTTTTTTTTTTTTTGTGGTACTGGGACTTGAACTCAGGGACTTCACCTTGAGCCACTCCACCAGTCTTTTTTTTTGTGAAGTTTTTCAAATAGGGTCTTGCAAACTCTGCTTGGGCTGGCTTCGAACCACGATCCTCCTTATCTCCTCCTCCTGAATAGCTAGGATTATAGGCATGGGCCACCAGCGCCCAACCTGAATCCTGATTTTTTGTTCTACACTAGTATTATGACTTAGGGTGCCTCAGTTTCCTCAGTTGTCATATGAAAACTTGAATCTGTTGGGAAGATTCAGAGTGCATAGCCTGCACCATGCATCCATGGTAACTGGAGTGAGATTGGAGGCAAGTGAAATTGGATCTTTCCTCCCTCTTGACAGGTAAAGACTAGGGACGAATCCCGAAGTGTGGGCCGAATCAGCAAGCAGTGGGGAGGGTTGCTCCGAGAAACTCTCACGGATGCAGATGACTTTGGCCTTCAGTTCCCCATGGATCTGGATGTGAGGGTGAAGGCTGTGTTGCTTGGAGCCACATTCCTCATTGTGAGTTCGCTGCCCCTGCCCCTCCCTTCCTGTCATTCCTTTGCTATCACTTGAAGCTTTGTGCTCTTCCTTCCTAGCCTTTTGCTAGGAGGTTAGGGACAGATGTTATGGGGGGTTACAGGTAGTAATAGTTGAGCCATGCTGGCCCAGCCAGATCTCCTGTTAACACTGGCTTTCCCTCAGGACTACATGTTCTTTGAGAAACGAGGAGGTGCTGGACCCTCTGCTATTACCAGTTAGAGGTTGCCTCAGGGTGAAGAGACCATCACCTCAACCAGAATTCAAGATGGTCGACTGCCCTGGCCTGTCCCCTCCTCACAGCCAGATCCCTTCTTCTGTGTACACTGCAGAGGACAGACAGGGTGCCTGTTTGGGAGCCATGGTACCCCATCCCTATCCTCTCCCCTGGCCTCCTTCACTTGTGACCCTGCAGAAGGGTGTGTATAAGAGTCCTTCCCTGCTGCCTCCCACCATCTTCCAGCAGTCCCATGCACACTGGCATATCAACTTTTAAACTTTCCCTACCCTTTCCTCCTCCCTTCCAGGGCCTCTGCACCAGAGGCCTTTATTATTTGTTGCTTGTTCCTGTTTTTTGGTTTTTTTGCTGGTACTGGGGAATTGAACTCAGGGCCTCTCATTTGAACTACGCCCCCAGTCATCAGAGGAGGCCTTTGCAACCCAGGACTCTGATTTTGTAGCAGAGCTGGCAGAAGAAAGGCAAGCAGCACCAAAGTTGGCAGACATGTTCCCCTTTCCCTGCATCAGCTTGGCCAATTAGTGCAGCCTCAAACTATGGCATTTTGAGGGGCTTCCCACCTCCCCACCAACAGCTATAGAGGCTGGGCCCCAGTGCCAACTTCCTTTCCCCCCTGGGCCCTGCCCACAGCTGGTGCTTGCTGCAGCTTCCTGTGCCTTATTTAACCACTCCCTTCCTTTCCTTGCTCTAGGAAGGAGGCTGCATCTTTGTATATTATATTCATATAAACTTTGTAACTTTTTGAACATTGGAAAATGTATGTGAGGAGGGGAGTAGAAGAAAGTTGGTATGGGGAAAAAAACAAAGGGAACTACAACAGCTGGGCTGGGGTTGTCCCATCTCATAATCTGTGCTATTAGGATTGAATGTCCTTGAGCCCACAGGGCAATTTTCATCACACCTGGTGGCCCTGGACCAAACCAATGTAGTTTGGACCATGTGCCCCAAGTCAGTATGGCTGCTTCCATCATCCAAGATGGGTGCTCCACAGAGTCCAGTGAGGTAGCTAATGACAGTTCAGGATGGCTCTTCCCATGGTCCAGTATGGCCACTTGATCACTGTCTGTAGCAAGTAGAAGCTTCCTCTAGATATCATACATTGCAACTCTTTTCCTGCAAGTTCTCCTCTTGTTTAGGAATGTGGTAGGCAGAGTAGACTAGATCTTCTTGGCCCAGCTAAGGGTTCTTTGGCCCTCAGAGGCCAAGAGACAGGGTAGGGAGGAGACACTCATCATTACCTGACCTGGGTTCCCCTGGGTACTTCCTGTACCTGCTTATAACAGGTGAGATCTCCCTAGGTGGGAGTCAGCCTCTGTCAGGACTTTACTCTGGTTCTGCTTGGTCCCATGCGGCCAGCCCCTGAGAGGTCCAGTTGCTCCATGTTAGTGTCCATGCCCATGGAAGCAGAGCTCAGGACCGTGCCAGGACATAGCGACTAGCTGCTGAGAGGTCCCACTGGTGATGCTCCAGTATGCGCCAGCAGTCGGCTCTGGACCGGCTACTCAGGTGGAAGAGCTGGTCCACCTGTGGGAGCAGGAGGGAGGGAGCTGACTGTAAGCAGCAGAGTGGGAGAGAGGGAAGCACAGAAGAAGGTCGAGCTTTTACCTTGAGGTTCCTGATGGCGGAAACCACATCTCCTCCAGTGGCTCTGAGTGCTGCTTGGCACTCCTGGTGGGTGACTCCATGCACACTCAGCTCCACCTGTGAGGGATAAAGCCTTTGCTTAGATGCCGGACACCAGTGGCTCATGCCTGTAATCCTAGCTACACAGAAGGCAGAGATCTGGAGGATCATGGTTTGCATCCAGCCCAGGAAAATTGTTCACAAGACCCTATCTTGATAATACCCATCACAAAAGGGCTGGCAGAGTGGCTCAAGGTGAAGGCCCTGAGTTTAAGCCCCAGTACCACAAAAAAAACAATAAATAAAAGAAAGCCTTGCTCAGGTCCCTGCCCCATCCTGTAAGACCGTCTGGATCCCAGGCCATTTCAGTGAGACCTCACCTCTATAATCTTCCTCTGCCACTCAGGGTCAGGCAAGATGCCTCCAGAGGGGGTGGTGGCTTTACTGGCTGCAGATGCTCCAGTGCAATGATTGTGTGGAGTTTCTCTTTTGGGGCAGAGAGGTCGTGCTCTGGGGGGCTGGCTGGGCTGAGAAGAAGAGCTGGAGGTAAAAGGAGGGCGTGGAGGCAGGTCTGGAGGTCCCCGGGGCACAGCTCTGGCATGTCGAAGTTCTGGGGGGCTTGAACCACCCGCTGTGGGGCGAGGACCCAAGGATAGAACTGACTCCAGACTCTTGGAAATTCCTGCATAGTAAAGAAACAAATAATTGAAGGGAGGCCCAGGTGTTCAGTCCCACCTTCCTGCTTTCTTCTGTCTTTATCTGCACTAAGCTGGGTGATTTTGCAGGAATTTTCAGATGAGCTAGCCGGCCTTGTCCTTGGGTAATCCATATGATAGAGGAAGCAACTAGACAGGTGTACAAATGGGCATCAAGACCTACGTGATTAGGGGCCCAAAGAACTGAAAGTGCAGGGCCCAGAATGGGGAGATACTCCCCAGTGAGGAAGGCCCAAGGCCTCCAGTCTCTTAAGATACAAAGCACAGCTAAGATGCCCACAGGTGAAATTTGGAGGAAGGAAATCACATATGCAAAGGCATGGATTCTAGGGAGTGGGGAGAGAACTGGAGGATTGGTCTTGATCTTTTGAGCCCCTGGAGTCCCATCATACCCACCTTTCATCCTCTGCAGGGGTGCCTTCCTTCTCTGGTCCCGTGCTGGAGGTAGATCCCAAGGCTTTTCCTTCTCTCTGTCCCTGTCAGAAAATGACCCAATTTATCCTTCACAATACCCACCCCCCTCCACACACATATCAATGTCCCCTCACAAACAAACAGGTTCCCAAGGTTAGGGGTATGGCTCAAGTGATAAAGTACTTGCCTAGCAAGCATGAGGCCTCAGTACTGCCAACAAAAGAAGGAAAGAGGGAAGGAGAGAGGGAGGGAGAAAAGAAGGAAGGAGGGAGGGAGGAAGGGAAGGAGGGGGAAGGGAGGAAGGGAGGGAGGGAGGGAGGGAGGGAGGGAGGAAGGAGGAGAAAGAAAAAAGAAAGCTCCCAAACATGCTTCAAGGCCCTGGGTGGAAGCTTCACCTGGGAGGTGAATCCATCCTCACCTCCAGCTCTGCCCTTGTCTTGTCCTCAAGGTTTTCTTCCAGAGAAGTTTCTGGACTTGGTTTGTCCCCCCAACCCAGCTCTGTCCTCCACCCTTTCAGCTCCTCACCTATCTATGTTTCCTTGGCATCGCTCTCCCTGGGCTGGGGGGCCTCTATGGACTGGACGGGCAGCTGATGAGCCCCCTAAATCTGCCACTGTCACTGCTGATGCTGGGAAGTTGCCCACTGTGAAGGTGCGGCCATTCTGGCCCTTCCAGGTTGTGGAGTTCGGGCTATGGGAAGAGGAGCTGGTGAAGGAGATGGAAGCAAGGCAGCTATGCTCTGGCCACATTTAGCTCATCAAGGAGTGTGCCTTGCAGCTGCATCCACCTGGAGGAAAGGAAACCTCTTTCTCCCCAACACAAATGTGTTCTATGGGCCAGCCAAGGCTCCAGCAGAAAGGATGGACTGCACTGGAGCCTGGGGCTGAGAAGGGAGAGAAGACCCACAAAACCAGGGTTTCAGGAGTTGGGGAAAAGTAGAAAGTGGACCAGAAATCAAGAAGGGTGGGAGGAGCAGGGCGCTAGTGGCTCACACCTGTAATCCCAGCTACTCAGGAGGCAGAGATCAGCAGGATCGCAGTTCGAAGCTAGCCCAGGCAAATAGTTCTTGAGACCCTATCTCGAAAAAACCTTCACAAAAATAGGACTGATGGAGTGGCTCAAGGTGAAGGCCCTGAGTTCAAGCCCCAGTACTGAAAAAAAAAGGGTGGGAGGGAGGCCTCCCCTAGGGATGCTTGAAAGACATGAAGCTGTTACCTGCCCTCGATGATGGTGATGGGGTCACCAGGCTCCATCCGCAAAGCACCTGGCTCTGTGACGTCCCTTACACAGCGTCCCTCACGAGGCCAGGCCTGTGGATATAGGAGGAAGGGTATTTGGGCTTTTGGCCTTAGACAGAAAGGTAATATGCAAACAAGAAAGAAAGGGCCTCCCTGTTTATGCACCACAGTCAAACTCACCAGGTATGTCCTCTGTGCTGCCTGGGATGGGACTATCCCTGGTAATCTAGTGGAGGGGGATCAACCTGGATCCCATGCCAAGCTGGTCACAGCCCAGGATGCCCAATGGGAAAGCCATTCTGTTCACAACCTTTACTCCATAACCAGCCCATCGTGTTTGCCTCTTAAGTAGCTCTGAAAATTTTCCACTCCTTTCCAGCCCCACTGCCTCAACCCTCATCCAGACCTGTTCCTCATTTCTGTTTCATGGCCATTGTCAGCATAATCATTCTTGGGCCAGGCCAGAGTGAAATGACATGCAAATCTGGCTTGTAACTCCCTGCTCAACACCCTTTCTCAACTCCCAAGTACCCTCAGTGAAGACCAAGACCAACCTCCTTTTTTTTTTTTTTTTGCTGGGAATGGAGTTTGAACTTTAGCTTTACCACTTGAGCCATGCCTCCAGTTCATTTGCTCTGTTTTTGTTTGTTTGCTTGCTTGTTTTTGGCAGTTTGGGGTTTGAACTCAGGGCCTCATGCTTGCTAGGCAGGCACTCTACCACCTGAGCCACTCCATCAGCCCTGTTTTAGGTTGGGCACTTTTTCAATATAGGGCCTTGCAAACTATTTGCCCAGGCTGGCTTTGAACCACGATCCTCCTGATCTCTGCCTCCTGAGTAGCTAGAATTACAGGTGTGAGCCACTGGCATCCAGCCCAAACTCCTTTAACAGTACAGTACAGAGATTTAGGGAAAAACTGCGAGTCACATGGACTGATGCTACCCCAAATATCCAGTTGTATGACTTTAGGTAAGTCACTAAATTATCAGTGCTTAAACTGTTCTGTCTATTAAATGGAGATAAAATCATTGCCTCATGGAGTTGTTGAGAGAGTCTGCATGATTCTCTCTATAAAGCACTTAGTACAGTAAGTATCTCACACTGCCAAGCATTTCCTAACATGCCCAGGAACTCTTCAATGGGGCAGCCCTGTTCTCCTTGTAGCCTCATTACTCTATTTCCCCTCTCACACAGAGCTTCTCTTCTTCTGCCTGTCAAAAACCCATAGGGATTTACTGCTGTCTCCTCTGTGCCCCTTTTCTGACCCAAACACAGACCCCAGCCTTTCAGCCTGCATCTGTATAACCCCCAGTTCCCTCTCCCGGGCCCTGAGCACCCTTCAGGTAGGGACTGAATCTGTTTTGTTCAGAGCTGGGTCTCAGAGCCCAGCACAAGCATCAGGTTATGTTGGTCTTATGCATGGAATCCTGGGATACAGAATGCAGAGGTTATGTATATCAGAAGAGTTAGCCTGTGTGTGGTGAGTCCCCCACCTCTTGGAGCAGCCCTTCCAGGTAGGAAAAGCTAGGCCGGTCCTCAGGGTGGGGGGCCCAGCAACGCAAGGCGAGGGAGTAGAGGGCTCTAGAGCAAAGGGGTGGCCTTGGCAGCCGGGCTCGGTCCTTCTCCAGCCGATGCAGGATGAGGTATGGTGGGACGCCAGCCCAGGGTTCCTCGCCTCTGGAGAACATCTCCCACAGTGTCACCCCAAACATCCACACATCGGAGGCAGATGAGAAGGCTCCCTGGCGCAGGCTCTCTGGGGCACACCTGTAGAAGTAGAAGCTGAAGGGGGCTGAATATGTGCCCAAGGGAGCTCACCTTCCACTGAGCAATCCCACCTTTTGCTGCTGTTATCCTTAGAAGTCCTCCTTTCCAAGCCCCTCCAGACCTGACAATCCCTCTGGTCCCAGCCTCTGTGAGAAGACCAGACCACTCCAAACTGCTGTCCTTCAGATCTGCACCCCCAATTCTGGCTAGAGCAGGACTACACGCAGGCAGAGTGCTACCCTCACCAGGCATAGGGGATGGGGCGGGGCCCGCCCATTACATAGCGTCCCCGGGCGCCGCCCAGTGGCCGCACCAGTCCAAAGTCCGCCACCTTGATGGTGCGTGGGGTGGTCAGCAGCAGGTTGCGGGTAGCAAGGTCCCGGTGCACTAGCCCTTGAGCCCCCAAGTACGCCATGGCCCCTGCCAACTGCTTCAGAAAGAGGCAGAGCAGGGCCACAGGAAGTGGGGGCGTTGGAGTTGAGGCTGTCAGACGAGCATGTAGGGAGCCCAGTGGTGCCAGTTCCATCACCTGCAGGGGACAGCACACCCTGAGCCATGGTCTAGCTTTACAGGGCCCTCCTGCTGCACATCAGCCCTGGGTCTATGGGGAACCAACACCAGGATCTGCTGCTCACCATCTGCAGAGGCTGGCCCAATACCAGGCCATGCAGATGGAGCACATGTGGGTGGTCCAAGTTCATCATAACCGACACCTCTCGCAGGAAGTCTCCCAGCTCTGTGCCCACTGGGCCTCCAGGACCCACCCGGAGGGACTTGATAGCCACTGGGACCTGGAGATGGAGGGAAGCACCATCAGGCACCATGGGGACAGCCAGGCCAAGGCCAAGCAGAGAAGGCATGAGGATTGCAAGGGCATCTTGCCCAGGTGTCCTGAGTGAAGTATGATCTTTGAACACTCACACTCTGGCCACTAGGCAGGGTCCAGAGCCCTCGGTGCACCACGCCAAAGCAGCCTGAGCCCAACAGCTTCCCTCTGCACATAGCAGCCTCTGGGATCAGACACTTGAGTCCCCCATCTGGCTCAGGGAGGCGAGGGCTCTCTGATGGTGGGGTAGTCTCCTTCTGCTCAGGGGCAAACCCTCCCAGGATCTGAAATAAGAGTAGGAACTCAGGTATGCTGAACTTTCCCAACCTGCCCCATTCCCAGGCCTAAGCTGACCCTTTAAGCCCCTCAAACAACACCAGCACATACCTTGTAGACCCGGTTCTTAGACTTGACCCCTGAACGGTGCCTCTTCAGAGCTTCAGCTAGTCTGCGCTGAGCTGGGGAAAGCCATAATCAGAGGGCTGGAGTGGAGGTGGGATGCAGTGAGACTTACAAGCAAGAAGAGAGCTGGGGTCGGGGAGCATGTCTGGAGCCAGCAATAGACAGGCTGAGGAAGCTACCAGGGCCTCAGGGCAGGGGTTCCTCACCAGGCCGGCCCATGCCAATGCCGTCCAGGTCCTCAGGCCTTACAAAGTCGAAATGCTCTGGCCGAGTGACATTAAGCTCTTCAAGGATGGGCCGATAAAACTGGGCCAGCTGGATGTCCCGGAGCAGCTGAAGTAGCCAGAGAGAGCTGGATTCAGGGAGCATGTCTGGAGAAGGACCTTTGAGGATGACAACAGTCTCTTTCAGATGTATTATAGCCCAGGGCAGGAACCCAAAACACTCAGACATCAGAGGTGGGTCTCTACCACCACCCTCAACCCATCAGAAATTCAGGTATACAGGAAGAGACACATCAGAGGGTTCAAGGGACCCTGCCACTTGCACAGCATGTGTCCCGTCTCCAAGGCTACAGGTACTCTACCCCTTACCACTGAGCAACCTGTCCCTCTAGCATCTGACGTTTCAGAACACTGCCTTCCCAGACTACGAAGTCCTCACTCTGGAGACATGACACATTGCCCCGGTACCCTCTGGACACCCAAATATGCTGCCTCTTTAGACCTGAGCTACCCCTCTGCACACATTCCTCATATACCCCTGAGACACTTCCCCACCTCAAACACAAGACAAACTCACACTGAAGATGCCCAGAGCCAGTCATGGTGCCACACACAGGTAGTCAATGAGGGGAAGAGAAGGAGGCAAGCAGGAGAATCACAAGTTCAAGGGCAGCATGGGCTACACTTTGGGCTGGAGGCATGGTTCAAGTGGTAGACTGCCTCCCTGGCAAGCCAAAGGCCTGAATTGAAACCCAGTACCACACACACACACACACAAAAAGCCTAGATATACTAACCACACCATACCTCAGACATGTAGATAGACAGACAGACACATATGAAGGTATACCGCTCCACATATAGAAGATACCTAAGATAGTCACCTCACATGTCTGACACACCAAGGGTCACATGGGAGACATCAAGGTACAGAGGCTTGAATTAGGTAGACATACTGCCCCTCTCGAGTGCCATCCAGGGTAATGGCCTCTTAAGACCCAAGGCAGCAACACGGGAAATCAACTAGGCATTTGTGATGGCACTAAGTGAAGGGCAGTGCTAAGCTCAGGTACTGCCTACAGAGCCACTGAGGTTGCCAGGTGTGCTGTCCCTCCACACCCACCTGAGCTCAGCTCCAGGTACAAAACCCTGCCACGCACCTGCGTCACTCAGCCTAACTTGGATTCAAGGTTAGTCCACCAGCCTCCATTAAACGAGGCTCTAGGCCTCTGGGTTTTGCCGGCCTGCATACTCTCCCTTACAGACACTGTTCCCTTCCTTTCCGTTTCTCAACCCCCCGCCCCTTTCCCGGCTTTAGTTAGGCGCGTCAGGAACTGGGCCGGAGCAGAGGTAAGAAGAAAGCCCAGGCCCAGAAAGACCTGGCACTGCAGCTCAGGTGGCAAGGGGAAGCGCGGAAGGCAAGAGAAGGATCGGGAGATGAGGGGCGGCCCGGGACCCCGCGGACGCGCCCCACGCCATAAGATTCGGTCTGCCAGCCGCAGCCGGGGCGCCCCTGCTAGGTGCGGACCCTCACCTGGCGAAGCGGAAGCGGCGCTGCGGTGCAGCCCAGGCTGCCAGCACTAAATCCCGAGAAGGGCGGGACCCTGGCCGCCGAGGGCGGGTCCTGGCAGCTGGCCCGGGCCAAATAAGGGCCGCGCCCCCAACTTCCCGTGGCCCAGGTGAGGGTTCCTGGCCGATCCTTCCTCCTGTAAGCCAGACCAGCCCACAGGTTATGAGAAACCTCTCTTCTCCTGCTTTCCTTCACATTCTTTCCAGTTCCTCAAAAAACTTCCAACCCCTCCCCAGACATCCTCCTCTGGGTCCTGGCCCCCGCATGCCCTTTCTCCCCAAATCCTTCACCTGTCACCAGGAATGAATAAGCACTTGATGGAGTTACCTGCTCAGGCCCTGGAAATGTAGGCTAGGTAGTACAGGGGCACTACCCTGTAGGAGGAGAGCAGCCCTAACTGACATGCTGTAACTTATGAGATGTAGCCAGGCCAGGCAGGGTGCTTTGGCATGAACCCAGGGCACAGAGATCTTGATGTTGACCCAGAACTCAGCCCCAGAATTGACATTATGGCTTACTGTACTGCACTCTATGCCTCAGGGGCTCCTTTCCTATCACTGGTATTTCCTGTATAACACTTGCTCCCCATATAGCCTCTGCCCATTTCAGGGTCCTGTACCCTGCCACTGGGCCTGTGACCACAGGGCCACAGTCAGGGACCTAGAAGAAGGCTCTGAGAGGGTTGGGGGCATGGCTCAAGTGGTAGAGCATTTGCCTAGCAAGAGGAAATGAAATCCTGGCTGGGCGATGGTGGCTCATGCCTGTAATCCTAGCTACTCAGGAGGCAGAGATCAGGAAGATCACGGTTTGAAGCCAGCCTGGAGCAAATAGTTCAGAGACCCTATCTCAGGAAAAAAAAAAAAAAAAACACTCACACACACAAAAAGGGCCGATGGAGTGGCTCAAGTGGTAAAACCCCTGCTTAACAAGCATGAGGCGCTAAGTTCAAACCCCAGCACCACCAAGAAAAAGGCTCTGGAGGAGGACTGTGCCTTCTTTTTTCTTAGGGCCTTCAGAAAGAAAGTTGCCTATGTTAGGACACCTGGCCTGAGAACACCTAGACCCATTGTCCCAAGAAAGAATGCATAAACATAGCAGCTGCTGCACCCTGAGTTTCTAGATATAAAAGCCCCTCCCATATCAGTAAACACACTAGGATGCTCCAGAATTGGTAGGAAAACCTTCGTAATGCAATTCTACATGGATGTGTTCTTGCCAATTCTCTTGCCCTCCCCCAGGCCAGCTCAGCATTCTGTAATTGTTTCCTCTACATCTGTCGTATCTGATATACTGTAAGCTCTGCAGGGTAGGGAATGGGCCTGTCACACTCATCTGTGCTCACAGTGAACGTATGTAAGAAGTACAGTGCATTTTGACTTTGACTGTAAAGAAGTCAGCTCAGGTCTACTGCCATACCACCCTGAAGTGCCTGATCTCATAAGCTAAGCAGGGTCAGAAAAAAAAGTAGTCATCTCAATCTAATCTGGTATGAGGATATTCTTGGATGATCTGTCATTGTTCCCTGCTTTTAAGATGTCATTGGTGTAGCTGGACACCAGGTGCTCAGGAGGATTGCTGTTTGAAATCAGCCCAGGCAAATAGTTTGTGAGACCCTATCTTGAAAATACCCAACACAGAAGAAGGCTGGTGGAGTGGCTCAAGTAGTAGCAAGTGTGAGGCCCTGAGTTCAAGCCTTAGTACCACACACAAAAAAGATATGATTGGTGGGCTGGCAGTGTGGCTCAAGTGCTAGACAGCCTGCCAAGAAAGTTCAAAGCCCTGAGTTCAAATCACAGTACCCCCACCAAAAAAAAAGATTGTCATTGGTGGGCCAGCATAAGTGCAAGGCCCTATCTGAAAAAAAACAAACTAAAGCAAAAAGGACTGAAGGCATGGTTGAAGCAGAAAACATGAGGCCCTAAATTCAAACCCCAACACCAGAAAAAAGTACTTATCTTTGTTTTTTGTGGTTTTCTTGCAAAGCATTTAGATATCAATTCCTTTCTATTTATTCTGCTCATTATGTTGTAGTTCTTATATTTCTGAATTCACAACTTTCATCAGATTTGGAAGATTCTCAGCTGATACCTCTTCAAATACAGTCATGTTCCACATAGCATTTTAGTCAATGAAAGACCCCATACAAAGCCCCATGAGATTAAAATAGAGCTGAGAAATTCCTACTGCCTAGTGACATTGTGGCCATTATAAAGTCTCATTGCAACAAATTACTCAGATGTTTGTGGTGATGTGATCATAGTGTAAACAAACCTATTGGGTTGGTGGTTATATAAAAAATAGAACACAGGGCTGGGGAGTGGCTCAAATGGTGACAGCGCCTGCCCAGCAAGCATGAGGCCCTGAGTTCAAATCCCAGCACTACAATAAAGAAAAGAACTAGAGCACATACAATATCAACAAAATAATTGATAAACACATATGATGACTGGGCACTGGTGGCTCATGCCTGTAATCTCTGTAATCCTAGCTATTTAGGAAGCAGAGATCAGGAGGATCACAGTTCTAAGCTAGCTCCCAGCAAATAGTTCTCAAGATCCTATCTCAAAACAAAACCCTTCACAAAAATGGGCTGGCAGAGTGGCTCAAGTGGCAGTGGCAGCACTTGCCTAGAAAGGGTGAGGCCCTGAATTCAAACACCAATGCAGCCAAAAAAAGGGGAAAAAAAAGTCTATGGGATGGGGCTCAAAGGGTAGAATGCCTGCCTAGTAAGTGCAAGACCCTGAATTCGAACCCTAGTACTGCCAAACAACTATATTACTAGTGTATGTGATTATTATGCTATATATTTATCATGTTTATTTAATTTATTTAATGTATTTGTTTGTTTGAGATAAGATCTTGCTAAATAATGCAGGCTGGCCTTGAACTCGAATCTCAGCCTTCTAAGTGCTGGGATTATAAGTATGAATCACCACACTCAGCATATAGTTATTTTAATGTACTCTTTCTACTTTTTTTTTTCCCTTAAAAATTAGGCAACAAGAGGATTGGACTTTGATCACATGATGAGGCGAGAACACACAAGGGAGGTATGAGGATAGGCAAGAAACCCAAAAAAAACAAGGTAGCATTTGATGTCCTCAATGCAAAGGAACTAATGCAGAAACTTTAAAGTGACAGAGGCCAATGGGAGAAGGGGACCAGGAACTAGAGAAAAGGTTAGTTCGAGAAGAATTAACTTAGAAGGTAACACACACGCACAGGAAATCAATGCGAGTCAACTCCCTGTATAGCTATCCTTATCTCAACTAGCAAAAACCCTTGGTCCTTCCTATTACTGCTTATACCCTCTCTTCAACAAAATTAGAGATAAGGGCAAAATAGTTTCTGCCTGGTAGCCAGGGGGTAGTGGGGGAGAGGGAGGGAGCAGGGGAAAGGGAGGGGGTGGGGGGAAGAGGGGAGAAATGATGCAAACATTGCATGCACATATGAATAAAAGAAATTTAAAAAATAGTGTAAGGGAAGCATGGTGGTACTTGTCTATAATCCCAGCACTGGGGAGACTGAGGCAGACTCTTGACTTCAAGGCCAGCCTGAGATACATGGCAAGACCCTATCTCAAAACAACAACAAAGTTTACAGAGGCATAGCTCAGTGGTAGAGCAATTGCCAAGCATGCATGAGGCCCTGAATTTGATCAACAGCACTGCAAAAGAAAAGAAAGGAAAAAGGAAAGGGGAAGAGGAGGGAAAGGGTAGGGGGAGGGAGGGGAAAGGGAGGGAAAAGAAAAGAGAAAAAAAAAGAGAAGAGAAGAAAGTTTACGTAAAACAGTGTGCTTGGCCAGGCACCAATGGCTGGTGCCTATAATCTTAGCTACTCAGGAGGCAGAGATCAGGATCATGGTTAGAAGCCAAACTGGGCAAATAGTTCATGAGACCCTACTTTGAAAAACACATCACAAAAAGGGCTGGTGGAGTGGCTCAAGGCGAAGGCCCTGAGTTCAAACCATAGTACGGCAAAAAAAACTGCATGGAGTGGTGGACCTATAGCATCCATGTTTGTGTAAGACAACTCATGATATGATGTTTGCACAAAAAAATTGTTCAATGACATGTTTCTCAGAACATATCTCCATCACTAAACCTACCCTCAGTACCAGGTATACATTTAACTATGGAACTCAATGAATTTCCACATGTCTACACATCCATTGATGCATATAAAGATCCAGAAAGTTCTCTCTTCTCCATTTTCAATTAATCCCCCAGATGTAGCTATTATTTTGATTTCTAAAACCCATAGATGACTTTTGCCTGCTCTTGACTTTCTTATAGAATCACACGGTTTTTATTATTTGTTTTTGGCTTTTTTTTTTAACAAACATAGTATTTTTAGCATTCACTTACAGTGTTGTATATATTAGCAGTAATTTTTCTTGTTGGGTAGCATTCCATCATATCAATAATTACTCTTTAAATCTAGTATCTTGCTGATGGATATTTGAATTATTTTTATTCATGGGAAATTTCTAAAGAATTTCATTGAAGTATGATTGACATTCAGTAAACTGTCCATATTTAAAGTATGCAATTTGATTAGCTGTGACAAGTGTATGCACCCATGAAGCCACCACCATAATCAAAGTAATGAACATAATTGCTACCCCTAAGAGTTTCCTTACATCCCTTCATAATCAGTTCCTTCCACCCTTCATTCCCCAGACAAATGTTGATTTGCTTTCTGTCACTCTAGACTAGTTTGCATTTCCTAGAATTTCATATAAGTAGAACCAAACAGTATGAACTCTTTTTATATGACTTCTTCTTCCTCCTCCTCCCCCTCTTCCTTCTCATCCTTCTTCTTCTTCTTCTCGGCACTGAGTCACTTCACTGGCCCTATTTCTGTGATGGCATATCAAGATAGGATCTCTTGAACTGCTTGCCCAGGCTGGCTTTGAACCACAATCCTCCTGATCTCTGCCTCCTCAGTAGCTAGGATTACAGGTGTGAGCTACCAGTGCCCTGCTACTTCATGCTTTTTATCTTATTTTAAAATTCTTAAGAATTTTTAACTTCAATTATTGTATTTTTAGTTCATTTTTGGTTCTTTTCTCAAATCTTCCTGGTCATTTTTAATAGTTTCCTGTTACGTTCTCATTTTTTTCCTCCACATTTT